ATTAAAAGTAGTTCATTTTGTCTCTGAATCTGTAACAGTCTCTTTTCACTACCAAAATCTTGTCAGTCTGTCAATTTTGTAGAATCTTTTTGGTTTTTGGGGACAAGGTTTCTCTGTGTAGCTTTGGTGCCTGTTCTGGAACTAGCTCTTGTAGACCAGGTTGGCCTGCCTCTGCCTCCCAAGTGCTGGGATTAAAGGCATGCACCACCACTGCCTGGCGACTTTGTAGAATCTTTAAAGATTCTACAAAATTGAATCTCCGTCCCTCTCTCTGTCTCTCTTCTTCTATTCTCTCCTGCCTGCTCGCCCTCCCACCTGCCTCCCCTCCCTCCCTTCCTTCCTTCCTCCCTCCCTCCCTCCATCTACCCTTCCCCTTTCTTTCTCCCTCTCTCCCCTCTGTCTCCCTCCCTCTCTTCCCCCCTCCCCTCCCTTCCGCTCCCCTCCCCTCCCTTCCCATCTCCTACTCTCTCCTTCCCTTCCCCCTTCCCTCCCCTCTCATCCCCTCCCTTCCCCTTCCCTTTTATTTCTTTCCTCTCCTTTTTTCTTTTCTTTTTCTAGAAGCTAGATTATCTTGGTGAGCCAGTTTGAGGTTACTTACAGGAGCATGGTGACTCAAAAGTAGCTTTATTATATTAAAAAATCCTAATTTGGTATGGGTGAAAGCCTCATCAGTGGATTCCTACCCTCAGTTGTGCTTATTTCTACATATTCTAGGATTTTATTTCAAGACTTTGTGCAGGTGGGTGGGGGTCACAAGGGAATAGTAGCTGAAATCCCAGGGGATGGTCTGGTGACCTTACGCTTCTCCTGCTAGGCTGCGTTAGCTGCCTTGCCATCATTATCCTAGCTGTCAGTGTGTTGTTTGCTGATTTGTTGCCATGTCTCTAAGCTGAGGTACCCTGTAGGTTACTATAGTACTCTGCTCCTTGGTGCATGGTAGTAATGTTTATAAAATGATGTTCTTTCTGGAGCAGAACATTGTACCTTCTTGGAGAACTGTTCCCTTTGACATTTGTAATGCCACTGAAACTGGTAGAGCTACTGGATATGTTGTCATTGTATATCTCTCACGAACCCTTTGCTTTTAATCTGTTTGTGTCTTTATAATTGAAGTGACTTTCATGTTTTTTATTTTTTTTTGTTCATTTTGACATTTTTCTTGTTCAACTTTCCAACAAGTTACATCTAAAGTCACTGTTGATGTAGTTGGATTAATGGGTTTATACCTATAGTGTGTGATATGTATTTGATGTTTGTCTCTGGTTTCTATTGCAGAGCTCCTATATTAATGAAATTTCATATGACAGGATTAATTTTTGTTCCTCATGATGAGTCCCTTTGGCAGTTTGAATTTATACTATTGAGGTGACAGGGAAGGATCACTAGATAGGTCGTAGGATGGACCAATCACCAGAAATACCAAGTGGTTAGAATGTTAGAAAATTGGAACCTTCAGCCCCCACTCATCAGTCTCTAGGAAAGATTATAGTCTTGGAATTCTAACTGTAAGAACTCTTAGGGCAACTTGATGAGCTTCTTTATTAGAAAAGAGGTGAATTTGATGGGACATGATGGGCTGGCTTGCTTGTTGGGGCTAATGTCCCGCCCAGTTCCCCCACAGCTGTTGAGCCCCAAAGAAAATCATATAGAGGTCTCTATAAGTTTTAAAGCTGATTGGTCCATTTGGTCAGGCTTTTTATTGGCTAGTTCTCATATCTTGATTAACCTATTTTTTTGATCTATGTTAGCCATGTGGCTCAGTATCTTTTTCAGTGTAGCAGATTATATCCTGTTGCTTTGGTGGTCTGGGCAAGAGTGGGAGGAATCAACTTCCTCCTTTCCAGAATTCTCTTGTTTTCCTTGTATCATTTTTGTTTTTTGTCTGTTTTTTCCATCTATATTTCCTGCCTGGCCAATCAGCGTTCATTTAAAACATGATTGACAGATTACAGACAATTTTCCCGTATCATTTTGATAGACTTATGGCATATCCAGAGAGGGTGTAGTAGCACTATGATCATCTGAGCAAACTCAATTCTGCATTTCCAGGTTTGATGTCAAAGTTCTCTTCAGATCCCCGACTCTTTTTCAGCTTTGTTGACTGCAACACACTTTTCTCTTTGGGGCTGATTTCACTGACTCTTAGCAGCTTTTCTCAACAGGTATCCCATGAGCCTGACATTTCCACCATCTTGGGGTCTCCAAGACAATGCAGACTTCACCTTCACAGCTTCACACAGTGACCTCTCTGGGCCTCCATACAGGGACATACCTGACACATGCATTTTTCCTTAGTCATAGAGAAAGATTCTACAACCTTTTTCTTGCATTCTTAACTCTAAAGCCAGAGCCACATGGCTGAAGCTGCTAAGTTCTGCTGCTAGATGCTAGGCCATCATAATCTGCATTGCTCTCAGTTTTGCTGTTGTTCCTGTTCCTACTATGATGACCCTAGGCTGTAGGCCCGTGGTGCTTAGGATGGCCCATTAAGTCCCACTTAAAATGTTCAGTTGTTTTTCTAGCTCAAAGTCCCATCGTGTTCCATATTTCTGCAAACAAAAGCATGGTCAGGCCTATCACACAATACCCTAGTCCCTGGTGTCAACTTCTGTTTTAGTCAGTGTTCTGTTGCTATGAAGAGACACCATGGCCACAGCAACTCTTATAAAGGAAAAAATTAATTGGGGCTGGCTTTTACAGTTTCAGAGGTTTAGTCAGTCCATTGTCATGGCAGGAACCATGACAGCATGCAGACAGATATGGTGCTGGAAAGGTAGCTGAGAGTTCTACATTTGGATCGCCAGGCAGCAGGAACAGCAGCGCCACTCTTTAATAACCAAGCATTCAAATATATGAACCTATGGGGTCCATTCTTATTTAAACCACATAGGTCACAACCTGGACCTATTAGTGTAGAAGTGATGGGCATTTTTATGTGATTAGACTCTTTAATTTATGGAATCATCTCTATCTCTAGATATAAAATGTTGGCCTGGGATTGAATCCTAGGACACCCATTTGATGGTCACTGAAGAACTACCTAACTGTTGCATAGAAAACTCAACGATACATTTAGTTGTAGAGGGTTATATGTTGAATGCAAGAAAAAACTTTTTGAACTTTTTGTTGTTATCATATTCTAACTATTTTCTATTTGTTGGACCTGTTTCTTTTTAAAAAAAGTTTTTTGCCTTCTCTGGTTTTCATTGAACATTTCATTTAGGTTTTGTTTTTTCTTTCATATTAATTATACTTTAAAAGTTGTCTTAGAGTTTATGGTATTCGCTTAAATCTAATCAAGGTCATTCAAATGACATTCCACTGCTTCATGGGTAACAGACAATACCAGTTCCTTCTAGAAACGTTGTGTTTTCATTCTCACCTGAGGAGTGAGCTAATGCTTTGTTGCTGTTAATGTTCAGAACAAACAACTTTCCATTAGCGTATTTAAAAATAATGAAAATAAAAGATTGGATTTTACCCTCATTACTTCTTTAATTTTCCTTTCCTCTTAAATCCATTTTTAGCACTCTCTTTAAATGAGTCTACTGGCAGCATTTCTTGTTAATTTTTATTCATATGAGAGTTTTCAGTTTTTTTCAGAGCCTGACCCCATTTGAAAAATTATGGAGATGCAATATATATGTTTACCATATATAGATACACTGTGTATAAACACTGTATATGCTAGGCAGGGTGGCTTGAAGACACAGAAATCCCCTTCACTCTGCCTCCCAAATCCTGGGATCAAAGGTTTGTGCTACCATGCTAGTTTCAATATTTATGTCCTTAACTATGTTGCATGTGTTTACCTCAGTGTCACTAAATTCACAATGTATTAGAGCAGTCAAAGCTCTCTACCTGTACAGCAAGTCAAACACTATCTGTTAAGCAGTAATAACTCATGCTCTGCTGTCTTCAGACCCTGGTAGTGATTGTATTTGCCCTGTATTTTACTAGCTTTTTTCAATGTGTCCTTACATTTTATCTATTTTGTAGCATGAGTTTAAATCATTTTAAAAAATGAATAGTACCTGTGTGTGTGTGTGTGAGAGAGAGACAGAGAGACAGAGAGACAGAGAGGGGGGAGGTTTTTTTCCTCCATCTGTTGATGAGTAAATGAGTTACTCTGTCGTTTGGAATAATGCTGCTGTGAATGTGACTATTTTTCTTCTCATCTCTGCTTTCAGATACCTTGGTTACAAACCTAGAAGTAGAATTAATGAATCATATTCCCACTTGTCTTTGTGTTTTGATTATATGCTTAGAATTTCTTTTCCTATGCTTTTGCTTTTTAGCTTAATGTGTGCCTTTAAGAGTTAGAGACAGACTTTAACACAGCATATTATTGGATGCTGTTTATCCATTGACTAGATCCATTCTGCCAGTTTATGTCTGTTACAGAGTGCTGGAACCCAGGGAGTTGTGCATGTTGAGCAAGTGCTTTAGAACTAAGCTCTATCCCAGCCGTTACTATTTTGAGTCTGGGTCTCACTATGTATCTCACACTGGTCTTGTTCTTGCTGTGTATTAGTACCTCAGCCTCTGGCTTCCAAAGTCCTGGATTTATAGATGTTTGCTTCTTGCTAACCTGTTTGTGTTTAATTACAGTGATAGGGAGTAAGTCTGTGTTTTCATTTTACTATTACGTTATACATATGTCATAGCTTTGTTTGAGTACATGTTGTGTATGTACAGTGCATGTTCCTCGGTGTATGTGTATGAGCTCACAGGACAGAGGAGGGTATCAGGCATCCTCCTTTTACTTTCTGACATTTTTTTCTTGAATTTCATGGAGTCTCGAGTGTTTTTCATCTAGGCTGGTGGTGAGCAAGAGATTCTACTGTCAGACCTTCTAGCCCAGACATGGCCTAGTAAAAATAAATTCTATTTTCAGTTATGACAATTATTTTTCTGTCATTTTAAGATGAAGCATATTTAACTTAGAAATGAAATACAGTTGAATATATTGTTTTCTTTTTTCTTTTTCTTTTTTTAAGGAGCCGTGGTCCTCAAGAACCTTGAAATTAAAGAAAATGCATTGGTAGGTCTTGCCTATGAAATTTTATACTAGTGTATTTAATTAATACATTAATTCCTAATTTAACATGCCACCTTAAATTACTTTACCTATGAGAAATTTTGATGGTTATTTTCATACAATATGAACTTTGCAAAGTAGATCTAAATTCTTAAAAGATAGAAACTTCCAGTGTAGTTTTTATTTACTTAAAATATTTGTAATTTATTATTACAAATAATAAAATATTTGTAAAATATTTTATTTATTTCTATAGGGTATTATTTTGTAGTGTTTAACTTGTCTTCTAATTTATTTAGCATCATTTTAGTATGTTAAATTTCATGGCATGAATTATATTCACAGTCTTTTGCAACTCTTACAGCATCTATTTCCACAACTGTTTCACATTGCTAAGAGACTCTAGCCACATTCGACAATAACTTTTTTTCTCACTTTCCACTGGCCTTGGGAATTTTCTTCATTGTACCCTGGCACTGTACTCACTAAATAATTTTCTAAACCTTGTTTTCCATCCCCATAAATTTACTTCATCCAAATGGTACCATGTCATATTTGCACATTGCTCTTATTTTGTTTCACTTGGTGTAATGTTTTCTTGGGTCATATATGTCATAGCATGTACCATGGTGTCGTTTCTTTTCATGACTGGATATTTTCTATATATACCACATTTGGTTGTCCATTCAGTCTTTCTTCCCTTCAGCTTTTGATGCACACTTAGGTTGTTTCCACCTTTGGGCTCTTTCAAATAGCACTGTAATAGATACTTATGTTCACATATCTAGTTAAGGACCTGCTTTCAGGTTTTTGAGTATGTATCTAAGAATGATTTTCTGGTTTTTCTAATTCATTTAGGCTTTTTCAGAATGAGCCAAGTTTTTTTTTTTAATTTGTTTTTTGTTTTGTTTTTCCTGCAGCTGTGAAATCACTCTATATCCCTCCCAACAAGTTCTAATTTTTGACATTTTCCAAATCTTCTAAAAATTACTACTCTCTGTTTTACACATTAGCCGCCACCTATGATGTAGTAAATGTCTTTCTTGATTAGCAGTTCTCAAATAACTATTATTTCCTGATTAGCTAGTGATATTAAACATCTTCTCATGTAGTTGTTACTGTATTCATATGTCCTCTGGTGAAATGTTTATTCAATGTGCTGGGATTAAAGGCAGGAGCCAGATAACCTTTGTTTTCCAAAATAAAAGTATAAAATTTATTTAAAAAAACCCATAAAATACTGTATAACCAACAGTGATACCACTTGCAAACACTTAAGCAAATCCATGACAAAGATTTAAAATGTATTTTCAGTTGCGGTATTGATTTAGCCTTATTCAGAACCGGTTTTTTAAAAAAATTTTATGCTCAAAGCAAGTAAGAAATGTGAAGTATAATAGATAATTTTGACAGCTCTTGTTACATTTATTTTCCAATTCTAGTACATTTCAATAAAGCATGACATTTCAATGCATTTTGCTAACTAAATCTGAAATCATTTACAATGACTGTGCACCAAAATTCAGCTTCATTGATCTTTCATGTAACAAGTAACTTGGACACTCACAAATATTCAAGTACTAATAGTGAGTGTTCTGTTGTATGCAGAGAACTCAATATTGATCATGTATTAAAAATAAATATGCAAATCATCATGAGTATAATTACCTCTTTGCCTTTTATGTGGTGAAGTGTTTTCCCTGTTTCCTTACATTTGTGAGTGTCCTAGTTAGGGTTACTATTGCTTTGTTGAAATACCAATGCAACTTTGGGGAGCAAGGGGTTTATTTGACTTACACTTCCATATCTCTGTTCATCATTGAAGGAGGTCAGGACAGGAACTCAATCAGAGCAGGAACCTGAGGCAGGAGCTGATGCAGATGCCATGGAGGAGTGCTGCTTACTGGATTGCTCCCATGGCTTGCTCCACCTACTTATTATTATTATTATTATTATTGTCATCATCATCATCATCATCATCATCATCATCATTATTGTTATTATTCAAGTCAGTTTCTCTATAGCTTTGGAGCCTTCCTGGAACTCTCTCTGTAGACCAGGCTGGCCTCAGGATACATCTGTCTCTGCCTCCTGAGTGCTGGGACTAAAGGCGTGTGCCACCACCGTCTGGCCAGCGTACTTTCTTATAGGACTCAGGACCACCAACTAAGGAATTGCCCCAACCACAATGCCTGGATCCTCCTACATTAATCACTAATTTAAAAATTGCTCTGCAGGTTTGCCTATAGCCCCATCTTATGGAGGCATTTATTCTGCTTGGGTCACCGTCTCTCAGGTGACTCTAGCTTGTGTATCAAACTGATATAAAGCTAACCAGCATAACTGACCTCTGTCATTGATCTAAAAACACATCCCTGTTAAGCCACAACCTTTCTTTTCTTGTTCATCTCTAAGATTTCACATTAATAATGACTTCACAACATAAACTTTCAAACTTAAAAGTTATGAGGATTTATACAATAAATCACTAAATGAGTGAGAATGAGCCAAATAGAAATTCACATTAATCTCTCTTTCTCTAGTGGAATCACACTACTTTCTCCTCAGAGAACATTTTTTATGATTTCCTAGTAATGCAACTATATCATCCACTCACACATCACAATCCAAAGGTTGTCCATAGTTTTTACTATAAAATCATTTCTGGAAAAATATCTCTCCTAAAGGACTTATCACAATTCTAACTCATAAAGGCTTAAAAATGGCTCTACAGTACAATAAAAATTTTTACTCTTTCTTAACACTCTGTGCTTATAAAGTTGAATAGTAGCCATTTTATCATAGCACAGATAGGCATTGAAGACATTTGCCAGCATCATCAAGAGTGGGGTCTCATTTGAATATTCTGTATTATTTGGTCAGTTCCCCCTTTTTTGTGATGCAGAATATATTCACCAATGCTCAAAATATACTACCTCCATGTAGAGAAGCTGATAAAATAACAATATAGAGAGGCTACTAGGAACTACAGGTGCAGCTCAATATTCTTAACTCTCTAGGCAGAGATAGATTTGCACCAAATATTTTTATGTGGCTACAAAGTAGAAGGGGGGAAAAGGTGACAAATCTAATAATCTAGAGAAGGTACAGTCTATTAGTGATAGCAATAATTTTGTTTATTTCTCATGGAGGGCTAAGAACTAAAATTGTTCAACTAACACCCATTTCTATAAGAAACAAACTTTCTTTTAGATTTTTAATTTACTTTTATTAAGTATACAGTATTCTGCCAGAAGAGGACACCATATCCTATTATAGATGGTTTGAACCACCATGTGGTTGCTGGAAATTGAACTCGGGACCTCTGGAAGAGTAACCAGTGCTCTTAACCTCTGAGCCATCTCTCCAGCCCCAAGCAGTAGATATTACTTTGATTGCAAGGAGAGTTGACTCCAGAAGTCCTATTTAAAAAACAACTGGAGAAAAGATTATTTTGTTTTTCTGTTTTAATAGTGAAGGAATATTCTATTTTCTATTTGTTTGTTTTTCTCTTTCACTGAACAGGGTGGTTCACACCTGAAATCACAGCACTGGGGACTGAAGCCTGTTCAGGTTACATGGAGTTTTCCAGTCCAGCTAGAGCTATATTGTGAACTTGTCTTAAACAAACAAACAAACAAACAAAAACCCCCAAAACAGAAGTTTGAGCTTGCTGGCTAATGCTTTCAGTCATAGCACTCAGGAGGCAAAAGCCTGAGGATCTTTACATTTTAAAAATTAGCCGGGCAGTTGTGACACACTCCTTTAATTGCAACACTAGGGAGGCAGAGGCAGGTAGATCTCTGTGAGTTTGAGGTCAGCCTGGTTTACAAGAGCTAGTTCCAGGACAGGCTCCAAAGCTACAGAGAAACTGTGTCTCCAAAAACCAAAAATAAATAAATAAATAAATAAATAAATAAATAAATAAAAATAAAAATTAGGTTTTGTTGGTGTGATTGACATTTTTGAGATTTTTATTTATTCTGTATACTGATCACTGGTAAGCCACTTGATTTTTGGCTTATCTGTTGATAGTGTTCTTTGATGTATAAATATTTTTAATCGGATAAAGACCAGTTGATTCAGTTTTCCATTGCCCATGCTTTTGTTTTCATTTCCATGACATCTGTCATGAAGGTTATTTCTTCTGTTTTTCTCTAAATCAGTGGTTCTCAACTTCCCTGATGCTGTGACCCTTTAACATTACTCCTCATGTTGTGACCCCCAACCATAAAATTATTTTTGTGGCTATTTCATAACTTTAACTTTATGAATCATAATGTGAATCTGTGATATTTCCAGGGACTTTAGGTGGCATCTGTGGAAAGGTGTTCAGTCCCCAAAGTGGTTGCAGCCCAACACAGGTTCAGAATCCCGGCTCTACACTATAAAGGTTTAGATTTTCTGTTTAGTTTTGATTCATGTTGTGTTTTACGTATGCTATAGTACAAAGACCCAGGTTCTTCTTTTTACTATTGGAAAAGAAAAACAGTTTTGAAATTATTTTTTGTAAATTTGTAATTATATTGTAAATTTGAAATTATTATTTTGTAAAATGCCAATTTTGTGAATTAAAGTCTTAATTATTATAAAAGTTCTTCTGTTCAGTATTAGGTTTATGCTTAACTATTTACTTTAAAAAGAGAGTCTTTCTGTAATTAAATCATTAAGTTTAAGTGAATACTGATGATAATCAACATGCAAAATAGTTAAAATACCTATAAATGATTTTAGGAGCAATATAATTATATTGAATTTTATATGCATTAATTTTTTTTATGAATTTACTTTATAGAGTGAACTGGATGTACCATTCAAAGTTAAGGTTGGTCATATAGGTAAGTCATATTTATTACTGGGGTGTTCTCTTTGTTGGGCAACTTACATAATTAAACTGTTATTGCTGTAATGTGAACTTCCTAATGTTTATGAGCATTAATTTAAAATATAAAATTTGTGTGTTTTTGTTTATGTACAATTTAATTGCGTAACTTAAAAATATTGTGGGTTAATGTACTACTTGAACAGTAGTTGCTCATTTTAGTAGGTCTTAAAGTTGAGTTGAGAGTCAAAGTAACATCTGACAGGCCTGAAGGAACTGTGGGAACTGTGTTAGTTTCTGTTTCTGTCTAGTTATGTTTGCCATCGTGTAGTCTGTATGAGATGCATGACATAAAGGGTTTGGGTTGCCCGTATACTGTATCTAGCGTCCAAAATGGAATCTTGATTGTGCTATAAAAAATGTTCCAGGTTTTCTTATTCTAGAAAATAAAATGCATTTTGTTTGTTCGTTTTTTAAAATACATGTTTGTAATTCATTAAAATATGAGTTTAAATTAAAGTATGAACTTAAAGTAGTTCATTTATTGGTAGAACAGAAACAAACTAAATGTAAGAATGTAACATGTTTAATAAAATTGTCTCTTAGAATTCTTAGTTCATGCTGTTGTGCATTAATTTAAATGTCATAAAGGTTGAGATCATAGTGTCTTAAATTGAATTATTTCTTCCTTTCTATTTGTCTGTCTATCTCTTCCTATAATAGGATTTATTTTGTGTTACTGAAGCTGTGAAAATATCTGAGAGCTTATATAAAAATATTGTGATGATGGTCTTCACAATTTTGTATATTGTTTCTTAGAGTTTTTATTAGGCCATATGCCACAGGAAATTTTTATTTGACATTTTTAGAATATAAATTTTGTCTTGTCCTTCTCAAGACAGTTTAGCATAAGTAAGAAGGGGAAAATATCACCGGGTATTTTCCTTCTGACATCTTAATTATTACATGTTTCTCATTATTTGGATTGGTAATTTTTTAAAGACTTGTAACCATGGTGTGAGATTTTTTTATAATCTAAGTTGATTTGACTTCTTTTACTTCTTTATTATAACACAATCAGAGGAATACAAAGTTGGATGGAATAATCCTATTATTATATTGTAAAAGAACCTTACAATACATTTCTTGCATGTTGCTTTTAGACATTGGCCATAAATCACTTAAGTTTTACACAGATTATGGTTGAATTTCAGTGTTTGTTGATATAACCTCAATTCAAGAAAAATATAAAAATATACCAAGAGGGTTGAGAGTCTCAGTAGTTTCTTTTGTCATTGCTATGACAAAAGTGCCTGATACAGGCAACAAGGAAGGGAGGAGGGAGGGAGGGAAGGAAGAAGGAAGGAAGGAAGGAAGGGAAAGTGGAAAAGTGTAGGCGAAGGTTTCCATCCTGCCTGGTTCCTCAATAAACACACAGAAACTATATTATTTGCAATACTGTTTGGCTAATAGCTTAAGCGTATTTCTAGCAAGCTCTGACATCTTAAGTTAACAAATTTCTATTATGTTGTCTGAGGTTTCTGTCCTGCCCAGTTCTCACAGTTGTTAAGTTCCAAAGAAATCACACAGAGGTCTACATTAATTATAAACTAATTTGTCCATTAGCTCAGGCTTCTTATTAACTCTTATAACTTATATTAGCCCATTATTCTTATCTGTGTTAGCCACATGGTTCAGTACATTTTTCCGCGAGGAAGTCTCATCTTCTTCGGTGGATGGACAGGACTGCAGAGGAATGGGCTTCCTCCTTCCCAGAATTCTCCTGTTCTCATTGACCAGCCTCTACTTCCTGTCTGATTGTCCCGCCTATACTTCCTGCCTGGCTACTAGCCAATCAGTGTTTATTTAAAACATAATTGACAGAATGTAGATAATTTTTCTGCACCACTATTAATTTATATTTTACCATGGGGCTTATGGCCTACTGGCAATTTCCAGCTGGCAACTCGTGTCTTTCTCCTATGGTGGCTACATGGCTTCTCGCTTTCTCACTGACTCTGCCTGCTCTTTCCTCTTCTATCTGCTTGCAACTCCTGCCTTGTCGTTTTCTGCTAAGCCACTGGCCGAAACAGCTTTATTCATTAACCAATAAAAGCAAAATATAGAAGGACTTCCCTTACCATTTCCTCTTCTTGTTTAAATAGAAGGAAGGTTTTAAGTTTAACATAGTAAAATTACATATAACAAAACAAGTATCAAGTAAGAATTACAGTTACCATATTTATATCTATCTTTATCATAACTAGGTAAAACTATATCTATTCTTCAACTCCATCAAAGACACCAGAAGGATACGATATTACCTAAATAAACAGGAAGTGCAGTTTGAGCAACTTCCAAAAGTCTAGAATTGACAGAGACATCTCGTTACCTGGACAGTCACCCAAAGTTCTCCTGTACCATTGGGGCATCCATCTTCAGCCTACAGGCCCATAGTATCTGGCAGACTTTTCCATGAAGCAGGAAATTTCAAAGACAGTTCCACCTATATTGACAGTTTATCAGTCACTTTCTTCTAGTCCTGCAGAATATTTGGCAGACTCTTTTATGAAACAGGAACCCCGAAGGATCAGAAGGGTTTATTTGGTTTGGTTGAGGGTGCAGTTCATCGTGATTGGGAAGGGACGGCCCCAGAAAAATGAGATGGTTTGCTACATTTTGTTTAGTCAGGAAGGAGAGAGGAATGCTGGTGCTAGCTCTCTTTCCTCATTCATTGTGGGATTGTATTGCTCACCTTTCAAATAAGTCTTACATCTTCTGTTAAACCTCAAGAAATGTCCCCATGGGCACTCCTAGCAGCTTGTTTCATAGTGGTTCTCAATTCTGTTACATTGGCAATGTAACACATCACAATTTTGATCCCAGCACTATCGTATAAAAACAAGTATCTTATATTTGTACATACATAATAAGAATAGATAGACCTATTTTCTTTAAAGTTTACCTTGTTTTTCTTTTTTTAAAAGTGGCAATAAGTTAATTTTCAATATGGAAAGTTCACTAGACAAACAGAATCAGCTGAGATGTTATTTGTGTACTTTTCACATAGTTCTTGTCGTTCTTTAATACTATATTTGCAAGGTTATTTTATTGTGTTTTTACCACTTAGTATATTTCTTAATGTATTTGCTGAATGAAAAAGTACCCAAAATGAGTTATATAGAAGTGTAGTTGATTTTCTAGAAATGTGTGGTTACCTGACACAGGTCGCTTGTTTTACTGATCTTCAAAGATTTCCTCTAAAGCTTTATAGAAAGTACATTGGTAGACATATGTTTAATGAACAATATTCTTTTCCTTATTATTTTAATATAGGTAGTCTTACACTTAAAATTCCATGGAAAAAGCTTTATACTCAACCAGTTGAAGCTGTTTTGGAAGAAATCTATTTACTCATAGTGCCTTCTTCTAGTAAGTCATTTAAAATTTATATTTTAAATAGAAAAATTTATATATATTTATTTTTATTCCATATACTTTTGTTGAAGATAATTTAGGATTTTAATTTGGGATTTATAGGTTCAGATTGAATTGCTTTTTTTTTTAAGTCTTGGTAAATTTTGTTTGAATTATTGATTATTTTCAAGGATAATTTTTGGTATGAGTATATTTAAATTTATGGTAACTAAAATTTTTTTTACGTTTTCTGCAGGAATAAAATATGATCCTATCAAAGAAGAAAAGCAACTCATGGAAGCAAAGCAGCAGGAACTAAAAAGAATAGAAGAAGCAAAGCAGAAAGTAGTTGATCAAGGTAAACTATCAGTAAACAGTGGTAATAAAGGGTAGAAATATTGTAATGGAATATTGATTTCCAATGGATGTACTGAGATTATGGGTTTTTGGTGTTTTTTTTTGGGGGGGGTGATTTTTTAAGACAGGGTTTCTCTGTGTAGCAGCTCTGGCTGCCCTGGAACTAACAGAGATCTTCCTGCCTCTGCTTCATGAGTGCTGAGATTAAAGGCATGCGCCACTACTGCCTGGCTCTGAGATTATGTTACAAGCAGGAAACAGTTATATTACCTGGAAAGTTACATGGTTTGTATGTTTTGTTATGTGTGTAGAAATTTTACGTGGCAGAAATTTAAGGCAAATAGTAGTTTCTTGTGAGGTAAAGTCAGTTTTTAATATTAGCGAATTTATCAAGTACATCTTCTTACCTTTCTAGCCTTTGCCTTTGTATTCCCCTTATATTATTTACTCTTAAATACCAATCCTTTAATGTTTCAATATTTTTTTTAATCTGCACCCCACTTTTGTTCTCAGTTCAACATAGGTCACATTGATCATTATTTAGGTACTTGATCGTCAATAGAAGAGTTATCCCACAGAAACCTAGTTCCTTTGCAGATGTCCTCTTGTGACTCTTACTAGGGACTCTCTGTATCTTTATTCTCACTTCTTCTCTATGTAGGTCTTTCCTTTTAGCTTGTAAGTATATGATAGCCAGTTCTTTAAAGTTTTCTCTTATTCATCTGTTTTTTATTCCACTTTGTTCTTCATTGAATAGCTAAATATCTTAAAATTTTATGAATGATGACTAGTATTCCTACCATACACTGATTTATATATATATACATATATGTGTGTGTGTGAGAGAGAGAGAGAAAAGACTAGGTTTTTTTTTTTTTTTTTTTTTTTTTTTTACTTTTTAGTGAGAAAAAAATCTTGCTGTGTGGCCCAATCTGGCCTAGAATGTACTTTGTAGCCCAGGTTGGCCTTGAATTCATGGTCTTCTTGCCTTTGCCTCCTTAGTGCTGAGACTGTATGTGTCTGCCTTCCTATCTGACTTTGAGCTTTTGTTTTTTTGTTTAAAATGAAAAATAAACTATTAATATATGTTTTGCCTTGTGGCAAACATTAGAAACTTAACACAATCTGTGGGAATATCACATGTAATTAATTCTACTTTCTTTGACACATTGCCTTCATAGTCAATGTAGTTGTTTATCCCTTTTTTAAATCTTCCCTTTCCTAAGTCTGCCAGGCCATTTCCTTTAAAAATTATTTTTAAATAAGATAGTATGTATACATAGATTTAAAAGTAAAATAGTAGTATAGGACTTGTACTTTATAAAAACAAAGTTTATACTAATTCCTTTATGTAGTCCCTAGAGAAATACCATATTGCTGAATAAGATGTTCATATTTTGGTTTTGGCCTTTGACAGTTGACCACATGATATGAATGTTTACTACTGAATCAGATATTCAACTCTAATAAAAAAATATATATTCACCCACATAGTATAGTGTGTAAGTGTGTGTGTGTGTGTGTGTGTGTGTGTGAGAGAGAGAGAGAGAGAGAGACAGACAGACAGACAGACAGACAGACAGACAGACACAGAGACAGACAGGAACTCACTATATATCTTTGGCTAGTCTGTAACTCATATAGATTTGCCTGATTTGCCTCTTGAGTGCTAGGATTAAAGGTATGTGCTATCTTTCCTGGCAAATAAATTTTTAAAAGCTGTAACTTATTATTTACTTAGTGAGTGAATACAGATGTGACTTTATTATGAAGCCTTTTACTTATCTCTGTTTTTGTGTAGGCTCATCCTGTTCTCCATATACTGTTATCAGATTTTGGAGCCTGTTAGGTCTGTTTTATCTGTGATAAACTCTTACATGTTTAGTAGGCTGAACAACAAAAGATAGTTTCTTAGTCATTGGGCTGGAAAAGGGTGGAGTCCTACACATATGACTGCTTGTTGTACAGATTTTAAACCAATTCAAATTTTATGTGTAGCTCAAGAAATAAAAACCCAGAGACAGATACTAGGGTTCAAGCTTATTTGTGTTTATTAATACACAAATAAAACATCACTATATTTCCCCCTTCTTGTTTAAAATAAAAAAAATTACAACTAATATAAGAAAAACTATATATAATAAGTACAATAACTATATTCAATATATATAGGCAATAAGTATATTAACAATGTCTAGTTCATTTGCATTTGACAAATCCAGAGAAAATACTCCATTATCCTATACTATCTTCGTAAGTATCTAATATATTTTCTATCATTACCATCCCAAACTATCTTTTGATATCTCTCAACCTTACACACTTTTTCTTATATTAGTTATAACCTTTTTTTTTTTTAATTAGACAAAAAAGGGGAAATGTGGTGATATTTTGTTCGGGATCTAACAAATAAAGTTTGCCTGAAGATCAGAGTGTAAAGCTAGCCACTGTAAAGCCATATAGGGCAGGCAGTGGTGGCACACACCTTTAATCCCAGCAGCCACACCAGTTAGCCATAGAGGCCAGGCAGTGATGATGCACACCTTTAATATCACCACTAGAAAGGAATATAAGGCGAGTTGAGATAGGAACTCATTCTTCAGTCTGAAGCTTTTGTAGAGGTAAGAGCTCTCTAGTGGTTGGTTGCTTTGCTTCTCTGATCTTTCTGCTTGACTCCTAATAACTGTCTCTGGGTTTTTATTATCTGAGCTACATTTATGTGTAGGGGTATTTTGTCTACAGGTATGTCTGTGCACCATTTGCTTGCGTGGTGTCTGCTTATGTCAGAAGAGGGCATTGGATCCTCTGCACCTGCAGTTACTGATAGTTGTGAGCTATCATGTAGGTTTGGGCATTGAACCTGGAGCTTATGAAAAAGCACAGTGATCTTAACCAGCTCTTGTAACATCCTCCTCTTTCATTAAGTATGCTCCTTGATTACTGTTCTGTTCTGTGTGATTTCAGGTCCCTGAATCTTTCAGAATCCTGCTTTTAAACTCTTATCTTATGATTCAATGACAACAACATCCTAGGTTGTTTAGGATTTAAGTTTCTTCTTCAGCTTGGCTGAAGCCATCTGCTTTTTGTTGCCTTTCCCCAAGTCTTTTACCTTCTTCTGGCCTTGGGAATTTACCTGGTTTTTTTTTGTTGTTGTTATTTGTTTGTTTGTTTCATTTTTTTCCTTTTTTATGTCTTTTATTTTTGCTGTCATGAGGTCTTACTGAAAAGGGGAAATGCATGCAAAATAAACTATGTTTAATGAGCACTTAGTTTACTTAGGTCTGAAATACAAATGTTCAATGAATGTATGAAATTCACTGATGACACCTTATTACCAGGATGAAGTTTAAGAACTTCAACAAGATAGATTGAAATCTTGTATTGGAGTGCTGTCTACTTCCCATCCTTCATAATTAGCTTTGAATCCTATTGTATTCTTTCTCCTAGCCATATTGGCTACTTGGTTGTTTACTAAATGTGTCAGAATCTCCCCACTCTGCATTTTACTTCTTCTATTGTTTTGAAAGTTCCCAACATTAGAGTAAGCAGTTAAATATTTTAGGATATGAATGACATTCTCTGCAGCAACAATATAGAATGAGAAGAGAAAGAATTCTGGGGTTGAGTTTTATGGAAACCTGTTATCTAGTGATTGAATAGAGGAAGAAGACACACAAAAGACTATTTAAAAAGGAATGGCAGATAATAGGATGAAAATTGAAGTTTATGGTTTTATGGGAAAGAGACTATATGCCTATATTAAGAAGCAAATAATATACCCTGATGGAGTATCAGTTACGATGAGGATTATGATTTTATTTTTGACAGCTGGGTCATTGGTTATTCTAAAAGTAGTTGGAATCAAGTGATGATGGCAGAGGAGTTATCTTTCTATAGCTTTACTTCCAAATTTAAAGGCAAGGTCTGCCAGAAATAGAGAGCTGTGGGAGTGTTTTTAAGCTTTGATGGAATGGGTGGAAATAATATACAGTTTACACACAAAATTTTAGATAAATAAGTCTATAAAACAAAGACATTAAACATCATTTCTGTACCTCCCATACCCTCTTTCAGCGTTTCTAATATTTCTTCTACTAATTCTCAAATTTATGAGCACTTCTTTTTTTTTGGTTTTGAGACAGGATTTTTCTATGTAACTGTCCTGACTGTCCTGGAACTCACTCTGTAGACCAGGCTGGCCTTGAACTCAGAGATCCACTTGACTCTGCCTCTTGAGTGTTGGGATTAAAAGCACCTGCCACCACCTGGCCTCATTATCATTATTATTACTATCATTAATTGTGTGTATTCACACACACACATAACTTTAACCTGCTAAATCTAAAGTTACCCTGATGTACATGTGTTCAGAACTAACCTCTTGAGTTTGGATAACTGAAGTGAGAACTTACAACAGTCTAGTTATTCAAACATTTAAATGCTATATTCTGTAGGTCTTTTAAGTTTTTGAAGATTGCCTGTCTATGTGGACTACATCTTTGTGCATCTAGAAAACCCAACTAACATAACTAAAAGTATGACAAATATGGGTGACTATTATCCTGTTATTCTTAATAACATACATAGCTTAAAGACTAAAGTTTTATATTATAAAAATAAACAGTCTGTAAACAGATGTACAGTATAGGGACAATGACCTCAAAATTGTGACAATATAAAAAATATCTTAATCAGAGGTAGAAATGTATAATGCAATATATGACAAAAATATTCTTAATTTACATTAGTAGACAAAATATCCTAAGTGGAAGTAGAAACATACATATAATTTGACAAAAATAATTTTACATTTGTATCAATATATAAAAATATTTTAAACAGAAGTAGAAACATATATTCAATATGACAAAAATTTGAATTTTTGTCAATATGCAAATTATTTTGAACATAAATAGAAAAATAATTTTACATTTGTATCAATATGCAAGAATCCATACCAATGCAAATTATCTAAAATTAATAGTTAATTTATTTTATAAGTAAATACAATAGTTTCCCTTATTGTCTTATCCTATTCTATCCACTTTTTTCTATGACAATAAAATTTTGGGTCTAATTTTTATTGCTACGTCCATAACCATATAATAATATATAATCAGCCATTATAGATGACAATTATCCATAACCTTGAGAAAACCAAAAACCATCCATCCCAACTGTTGGGAGATGGGGTGTGGTTTTCTTAGAATTACTTTCAGCTGTCTGGGGGAGGACAGTATCTCTATGGGATCCTGTTAAAAAGCTACAACAATGGTTTAGTCTCATGAAGACGAGCTGTAACATTTGTAGCTAGTCTCAGAGTAATGGGTAAGGCTTAACTGAAGTTCCGGCTAGAGTGGTGTAAGAAGGTGAGCTACGTCGGCTAGTCACCTTGAAATTGTAGTCCAAAATCAATCTTTGAGTGCTTGACTCGTTCAGTCGGTAGAACATGAGACTCTTAATCTCAGGGTCATGGGTTCATGCCCGACATTGGGTCCTGGGTGAAGTGAAAACTCACAAAAGTCTATTTAACAATTTATTAAGGGGTGCAATGAAAAAAATAAACTCATGAATATAGATAGAACAAAATAGTCGCCACCACTGATCCACCTGCTGCTGTCCCTTCATTCATCCCAAGGGTGATGAGGACCAACTGCAAGGCTAGTTCTGGCTCTGACCACCCAAGTGAGAGAGAATGTACATGCATGTGACGCCCTCCTCAATTTTATCTGCTCACATTTTCAGAGAGAACCACGCCCATATGGCTACCAACCCCACATGTCATTGACTACATGGGTTGAACTCCCACAACAGATAACCTTTCATGAGGCTTGTCCCTGAAAAATACTGAGTCTCCCTTTCTTACCAATCATTGGTTGTCTGTAAGTCTTCACCGGGGGGGGGGGGGGGGCAGGGCCTTCTTAGTTTTCCACTGTGCATTTGTTGACACATGTCAACTGGTGGTGTCGTTATGCAGATTTTGTTTAGGCAACCATACTGTTAGGATTTTATGACTGCAGTATTTTGTTTGACCTTTTTAGAAGACACTGTCTCAAGCCAGGCCATGGTGGTGCATGCCTTTAATCCCAGCACTCGGAAGGCAGAGACGGCGGCGGATCTCTGAGAGTTTGAGGCCAGCCTGGTCTACAAGAGCTAGTTCCAGGACAGGCTCTAAAGCTACAAAGAAACCCTGTCTTGAAAAACCAAAATAAATAAATAAATAAATAAATAAAACCCAATAATAATAATAAGACACTGTCTCATGACAGATGTCCTTGTCCTCTGACCCTTATAATCAGGTTATAAAATTTAATACCAATGAACTTACCTTAGTTGTCTCTAGTCTTATAAGATAGGAAACTAGCTTTTAAACATTGTGCATTTAGTTGCTTTTGAAAACCTTTTCGTATGAGAGATTTTGGAGATCTCAAATGGTTTACTGAAAATGTTAAACATTTTCTTTATCAAGGCAATATGTAACCTTAATATGTTTATACTATAAATGTGGATATTTGTAGGGTATGTGACTCATTCAATTTAAAAAGGAACATTTGCAATTTTAGAAAATCCTCCGGAGGAGAAACAGGACTCTTTTTCAGAAAAATTAATTACTCAAATCATAAAAAATCTTCAAGTGAAAATTTCCAATATCCATGTTCGTTATGAAGATGATGTAAGTATTTTTTCCTCATGTATGTATTTTACTGTGACTGACTTTTGCTCTGTAGTGCCCAGCCTAGTAAATACTAGGAGATGGAAGGACAGACAGCACTCATTTTTAATGAGTGCTTGATTATACTTTGCTTAAGTATTAGAACTTTGGGTTATGAAGGTAATTTCTTTGGAGTTAATGAATTTCACAGATTTTTTTTTTAATTTTATCTCCAGGAAAGAGTACTGGTTTAGGAATAAGTAGAGTTAACTTATTTTTTGCTCTTCAGTAGTTTGTTTCTTTAAATGTGTAATTAGTTGCTATTCTAGTTTTTGGATTATCTCTTGCTGTGATAAAATGCCCCACCAAAGCATCTTTAAGGGAGAAATGGTTTATTGGCTATAATCCAGGTCATGGTCTGGCATTGCAGAAAGTCAGGACAGAAACATGAAGCAGAGAGTTACATTCACAGTCAAAGCAAAGACAGAATGAATGCGCATTCCTGTTCTAATCTTGCTTCTGCCACTCTTACACTGCACAGGACCCAAACCCAGGGAATGATGCCACCCACTGAGGGCTGGGCCTCTGCATATCTGTTAACATCATCAAGTCTGTCATCCCTCCACCCCCACATACCTTGTCCTCCCAGATACACCCATAAATCAGCCTGATCTTGATAGGTCCTCATTGAGACCTCTACTCAGGTGATTCTAGATTGTGTCAAGTGCACAATTATAGATAACCACCCCTTTTGCTTTAAATGTTACTGTATCATTTTTTAAAAGTATATGTCTGACAAGTTTGTCTATGTAATCTTGTGTGGTAGAAATGGTACGGCTGCAGTACATGTGCCATAGAGGATTATGTCATTAACCTGGCTTGCTCTTGGCTCTTGGGTAAGAAACAGCTCCTCTAAATAGCCTCCTTAGCTTCAGACATACTTTTCAGCAATTAAACCGTAATAAGAAGTTGAATTTTTACAGTAACAATATATATAAATCTTTGAGTGTACTCATCCCTTTTCCCATTTAAAATAAAACTATACCCATAATACAAGACCTTTGAGAGGCACTAAACATCTGTGGATGTGATAGAGCTTCGAGATGCTGCTTAAAAGGTGACAGAAGAGTCTGAAATTGGAACAAAACAAGCATAGTATGTACATGGGAAGACCAAGTCTATTAAAACATGCTCAAAGTAGGTAGGTCTTTGAGCCTAAAGTATTTTTTGTTTTTTTTATTCTAATGTGCATAGAGGTTATTTTTAAACACGCTGATGGAGAGTTTATGTAAAAATAGAATATCTTTTCTTACTGGCAAAAGTTGGTGCTGAATGTTTTGGCTATCTCAGTTAAGTTCTGTCCATCTCAGGCAGAGGCGGGGCCTTCTGGACTGTGCTAGTGCGGGTGATGGTGGTGAACTGCTGGATATGCTTGTCTGTAATCTGGTGCTGAGACTGAGTCAGATGTCTCCCTGGAGTAAAGGATTATCCAGAGTTTCAGACTGAAACAAAGCAGGGCTGCACATTGCCTTTGTCACCTGACTTCTTTACTCAGTGACACACAACTCAGCTCACTCCCATTTTAAACAGATTACTGTATCAATTTTTAATGTTTTTATAAATTTAAAAACATTTCAACAAATATAGTAATTTATACAATACTAACACATTAATATTTAGCAATTTGTTTTTAGAAAAAATATAACAAGAATTATTCTGAAAAGAATGTTTTTGAATATTTGATACTGACTTTTTCTATGAAGTGAATTTTATTCAGCTGATTAAGCCATTAAGTAATTTACTTTGTTTTTCTTTAGATCACAAATCAAGACAAACCACTCTCATTTGGTATTTCCCTTCAAAATCTCAGCATGCAGGTACTTTGTTCAAAAAGGAAATGTAACTTTTTAAATAGTGTAGTATAGTCAGGATTATGATTATGTCAGCATCAGAACCGTACCAGGTATGTGTTTGGTTGCCTATGTAGAAGTGGTCTAGGAAGTTCTCAGACTGGATTGGAATTGAATAAGTAAGGGCACATATCATAAATTTGGTTTTTTAAGTTGATTCAGATATTTTATATAGTTCTTCTGTAAATTACTCTTCATTTTACATTGGCTTTCACTTTTATCTTTGTAGCTACATATAGTACAGTTCAACTTAACTCCAGTTCAGCATTACATCTTCCATTTGATTTTTGTGTATAGTTTCTATTTAAAACATGGTCTGCAAGTGAAAAAGAAAAGGAAGTGGGAGGGAGTGAGAGAAGTCAGAGATTACTCAGTAAAAGTGGATGATGTTTGTTGTCAGTGCTCCTGGCATCCCAAAAATGTAGAGAAGTACTATTTATATTTGGTAATGTGAAAATCATTGCCACAGTAGCAGTGGTTTTATTTATTTACAGTATTTTATGCGTATTTGTGTGTACCCGAGTGTATTTGTGTGCACCATACGCACATGACAGCAGCCCACAGAAGTCAGAAGGGAGTACTGGATCCCCTGGTACTGGAGTGACAGGTGATTGTGAATCACCGTGTGAGTGCCGGAAAGCGAGACCTGGCCCTCTGCAAGTGCCATACTTGTTTTTATATACCTCTGAAACCCCACAAACAGTAGGTTTAATTAGTACCTTTAGAGCTTCCTGGAAACTTGTCTGCCATACCAGATTCCAAGAGTTACAAACTCTTGGGTTGGCATCCTGATATGTGTTTTTCCATATTTATTATTATAAGGTTTTGCAGTGCTGGGTTTTGGTGTGTTAGGTAAGCAATCTGCCACTGAACCACATCTCCAGTGTGTAATCTATGCTTTCAAAGTCATTCTTGGTGATCATAATTTGTGCTGAAGTTTGGGAGCCACACTTGCCGTCAGTTCTTCACACAGCAGTGTGAGCCATCTTTCCAAAATCATGATCTGGTGAGGAGTAGGGACACAGAGCTGTTATCCCAGCATCTGAATGCCGAGGTAGTATCATGAGGCCAAGTCCATCTGGGCTGCATATCCAGACCCGGTTTGAACAGAAATATGCAAATAAAGATTTGCTTACTGTATTTCCCATTTTTTATTTTTAAAATTTTGAAGTGTTTTGATTTGAACCTGGGACCTCCTGCAGTGTTCCTTGATAAGAGTTCTTATTATATACTGGCCTTGTCCTCAGGGACTTTGATTACCGTTCGCTTAAAATCTGTGATCTTGTCTTTATATTGTCTATAAAACCTTTGAAATTGGATCCTAAGTAATGTATTTGGTTTTCCCCTTTTCTTCCTGTGTTTTATCCTCTGGCCATATCTTCGGCCTTTGTAAAAAACCAAAAGCAACAACAACAACAACAAAAAAAAAACCAAACAAATAAGTGAACGAACCAAACTATATATTCCCGTCTAGAATTATAATCTTACGATGAGTAGTTTTTATTCATGGCATATGAACTATCGTGATCATAAGACTATTTTTTCTGGAGTCCTTTCAACAAGCATGTGATTTTAGGTTAGTTGTTTTATCTGGCACACCTCTGCATTTAATTTTTTTTTGCCATGTTCTATCTGCTGTTTATTAGATCTCTAAAAATTACCTATTGGAAATTGCTTATTTCTGCTTGTTTTTGACCAAAGAAGTTCCTTGAAAACAAAGCATTAGGGTTAGTGGTTTGATAATAGTATTTTTTACTAAATGATATGTTTTCAAAGGTATTTTTATGAGAAAGTATAATGACTTGCTTGTTATATATATAATGGTAATTCTTTTTACTTATTTATATTTTTTTCCTCTTCAGACAACTGATCAAAATTGGATTCCATGTTTACATGATGAAACTGAAAAACTAGTTCGTAAGGTAAAAGAAATTCTAACCCATGGATTTGGTGAAAAAGAATTTTGGAAAGACAAATGATGATGTTGATGATTTTTGTTTACGTGTGCAAAAATTTATGTGGATTATATCTGTTTGCCTTATTTAGAGTAAGACTCAATTACTTGAGACTTCTGAGCATAGTTAACATTAAAAATTCTTTAAAAAATTAATAGACATTAATAAACTTGATTTATTTTCAGCTAATCCGATTAGATAATCTCTTTGCTTACTGGAATGTGAAGTCTCAGATGTATTATCTGAATGATTATGATGAATCATTGGTAAGTAAATATTTGTATGTATATTTATTTACCATATTTTGTATATTGTTTAACTCCCAGTCAATCATCCATCCTTAGAGTCAGTATTGCTTCTAAACAAAATCCAGCAGGATTTTTAGAAACAGAATTAACTGGAACATTCTTTCATAACAGTTAATGGTGGATTACTTAGCCATTTTAAAATTTTATCCTTGTGGAGTATGAATTATTTATTTGTAATTGCTCTTAAATATTCTTGTAGATAATATACATTTGTAGGATGAAGATATGTTTGCATAAATATAAATAAAAACAATTTATCTTTTAATAGGTAGCCTTGAAAAATGGTATTGTCAATGGAAATATTGTTCCAGATGGTTATGACTTTGGTAAGTTATTAGATAAAATAAAAATATAATTGGAAAAATTAGCATAAACTTTTATGTTAGCATTATTGATATACTGGATTATTTTATGTTAAATTTTCTCCTAGTTATGTGTGTGTGTATATATATATATGTAAATATCAAAATATACCTTTTTAACATAATTTTTATTGTTGGACTTTCTGATTACATTTCAAAACAATAGGAAAAATGTCTAGCAAAAAAGAATGTTAGTGAATTGTATTAAAGTTGAAGGATTATGTCAGGTGGTGGTGGTACACGTTTTTAATCCCAGCACTCAGGAGACAGAGGCAGGTGGATCTCTGTGAGTTTGAGTCCAGCCTGTTCGATAAAGTGAGTTCCAGAACAGCTAGGGCTGTTACACAGAGAAACCATATCTCGAAAAACCAAAAAAAAAAAAAAAAAAAAACAAAAACCCAAAAAACTTCATTATCAATTTGGTTTTTCAAGACACAGTTTCTCTGTAACTTTGGGGCCTATCCTGAACTCACTCTGTAGACCAGGCTGATCTCGAGTTCACAGAGATCTGCCTGTCTGCCTCCCAAGTCCAGCTATAGTGATGTTTATTAAGATGTTTCAGAATCACAAGTACAGTTTAATATCGCTAGATGGTATAACCATAGTGGTATGATCTTTCTGTTTATAAAGTGTCCAAATATTTTTTGTTCTTGTTGTTGAGACAGTCGTCACATTAGTAGCCCAGGCTTGCCTCAAATTTAAAGCGATCTTTCTGCCTTTCCGAAATGCTGAGATTAAAGGCAGGAACTTAAAAACTTTCTCTTTTACTGTTGAGTTATTTTAAGTGAGCTAATATTACCCCCAGGCCTCAGTCCCCACTGTGTTAACTCCTACTATGTAGCCCTGGCTGACCTGGAACTCACTGTGTAGTTCAGGCTGATATCAAACTGTAGTTCAGTTGATACATTCTCGTGACTCTGCCTCCCAAATGCTGGGCTTAAATGCATTCACCTATGTGTCTGGCCTATATATTAACTTTATAATGTCAAGATAATTACTAAAATATAGAAGAAAGGAACAATTTTAAAAACGTATTTTAGCCTTGAGAATACTCAATAAACATCAACTGCTGATGCTTAATTTAGGTCTTGAATTTGGCTTCCTGACATTATAAAGCATAGAATATTCTTCTTTAAAGTTTTCTTGGCATCACTGAAAGTTTCCTTTATGTATTTCTATATGTTATGTGTGCTATTTAACCTTTTTATAATTTCCTTAAATGGCTCTTCTGCCAATTTTGGCAGTTTTTGTTATTGTCCTTGTTTCTCTTTTTTGTTTGTTTCAGTGATGGGGATTGATCCCAGGCAGTCACTCTTTTACTGAGCTACATGCCCAGTCCTTTGTACCAAAATCTTATTTTCATTCTTTTGAAGTTGGTTTTATTTTTAATTCCTTCTCAGAGGAAATATTAGGTCTGATAACTCTGTATCATGTTTATGATATATTTAGATTTGACTTACATTTTCTGTGTTTTAGAGTCCATTGAAGAAAGAAAATACTTAGTAACTGTAGAAGAATATTGGACTAATAGGATTGACAGGTGAAAAGTAGACTAGTAAGATGAAAGGATGAACCCTATGTTTGCGCTAAGGATAAGGTTCTAAAAAAAGACCCTTGCTCTCGTGTGACTAAAACCCAGACCTTGGTGAAGTGAGATGAACATGGTTAAGGTTCAAAATGTCTCTATTATTGTATTAGCAAAGCTTGTTGGAAATCCAACTCTGTGACTGATGAGACTCGTGGAACTGTATCTCCCTGTCTGTGCTCAACGTTAACAGGGTCCTGGGGCAAGGTGTTTGCTGACTGTCCTTAACTGTTGTGCAGTACAAAAGACTGATGTTGAGGAAGTCCTCTGTGCAGTAGTAACTGGATGCAGGAGAAGCCATCTTAGATCAGGGCTAAATGTTAGTGAACTTTGCCTCTGTCTGAGTCTGTTACATGAGTACATTGCGGGACCTGACTGTGTAATTCCCTCTTATCGATTCTCTTAACATAGCATTGGCCAAAATGCTAAAATGGAAAAATACTAAAATAGTAGTGGCCTAAAACTATGCTTGTTTTGTTTTTCTTTTTAAAGCAAGCTTTGGAAAGTGAATTTGGTGTTCATAAGTTGATAGCTGCATATTTGTAGGAAGGCAAGGAGAACTGGTTTGAGTTATTCTCCCTTACAAGTCTACTTCCTCTCCTCTCATCTACTTAATGGGAGAAATATACTTTTTATTTGCTAAGGTGGGCATGATCCAGTAGAACATGAAAAATTAATGATGCAAGAGATTTGGATTTCTGGATTGATGTGGGGGAAAGGGTTGGCATCTGTTGTATGGTCTAGAGTTTTCTTAAGGACAGGACATAATCAGTTCATTTTTAAGACAGTTTTGTTGTAAGAGAAGAGTCTTGGTATTAACTGTATTAGTAGGGAAGGTAATAGGAATTAATGCAGTTTCTTTTCAGGGTATGTATGCAAACATTTTTAAATATCTTAGGTACTGTAAGCTTTTGAAGAGAGAAGCTATGAAATAGTGGTGTAGAAGAGAGAGTGGACTTAAGCCAGTATTGTTTTGAAGTATGGTTCAGACTAGCAGCCTTATCAACACTTGGAAGGTTGTTTGAAGTGCACATTTCTAAGTCTTTCCAAGGCCTTTTGCATCTGACTCTCCTAGCACTAGAGAGTGTAATAATAAGCACTGCGGGTGATTCTGATGAGTTCTCAGGTTTGAAAACCATTGTGCCTAGAGTAGGTTAGACACACAAAAGGGCCATATAGTCAGATATTTTGCCTTTGCAGGCTGTAGATAATCTGATACATACTTTGTTTTTTTTTTTTTGTATGTTTGGTTTTTTTTTTTTTCTAATCAATCTTTGAAAAGTAAAAAATTCATTCTTGGATAACTGACCACCAGGAACAGGCTATAGTATGAATTTGGTCAGTGCCAATAGAAACAAGTAAGTCAACCTTAAACCCAATTGCAGTTGGGTTTTGCTGAGCAAGTACTGCTGTATTAAAAGGGCAAACTTGTTGAGGGAATAGTTAAAATAATGGATAAGAATGTGGAATTGGAGAAGAAATGAGGAAAGGATCATCATTGGGTGTGAAGTTACATCTAGCTGGAGCGAGAAGATCTGGAGTGCAGCACCGCAGTAGACTAATTGTAGTTAACAGCGTGCGTGTTTCAGAAGCTAAAAAGTGAGGCTAGACAGCCTGGGTGAGAATGCTTGCTGTTTAGTCATGACGACTCGAGTTTGGATTCTAGCACCCATGAGGGGCGCCTTACAAATTCCTCTAATTCCATCTCTAGAGGATGTGATGTTCTCTCTCAGCCTCAATGAGCATTCTCAACCCCCCCAAACAATTCTTTTAAAAGCAAGGAGAAATACATTGAAATTTTAAATTATTATACCAATATATAATTACAATGTATACATGAATGAGAACAGCACGTGGATTCTATTAGTATCTGTAACTTTTATATTTATATCTATTAAAAACAAGGAAGAAATAAATAAACATTAATTTTAGCAGTGTAAGGACACAAGTCAAAAGTGAAGGGTGGTGGGGAGGTGTCAGATCAGTGATTTTTTTTTTCTAGGTCCAAAAGTTCAAATATTGAATTATTTTTCAACAATATTTATGTTTATTGTCTAAAATATGTCCTAGAGGTGGCTGATACAAGCATATTACATTCATATACAATTTAGATTCTGACTCAGTAGTTTCTCCTCGTGTAGATTATGCTCTCACTGCTCTCCCTCTGCACACTTACTACTTTTGCTGCTCTCATTTGATCCAAGAAGAGGATCCTGGGCAAATTCCTATTCTGCCATCTATTTATGCAAATTGAAAGGAGGACTAGTTTATAGAGAAAGATCATAAAATGGAATCAATGATAAATATAATCTTAACATTTCTAATATTCTTTAAAATTAAATTAAATCTAGAATTAAAATTGTTCCTTCTCTACTAATTGATGAAGAGTTTGTCTAAGCAGACTCTCAGCAGTGTTCCTATGTAGGACTGTGGAGAGATTGTTAAAGAGGTCAAAGGAGCATTTCTAGCTGATCTCCTTAGTGCTAGGATGGTTGAACTGGAACTCTAATTGTTTTTCAATTTGTATTATTTTTCAGTTTTTCGACCTATATCTGCTAATGCCAAGCTTCAGATGAACCGGCGATCAGATTTTGACTTTTCTGACCCCAAAATAAACCTGGATGTTGAGCTACATACCATAGTGATTGAGTTTAATAAACCACAGGTGATTTTCTTTGATGACATTTAGATTGTTAGTTATTGTTTGATAAAAGCAAAGTTAAGATTTAAGTGTTTTCTGAAATTCAGTCACATACATATTCCTTTTAAGACTCGACAATTTAACCTTTGCCTTCAGTAGTGAATAGGAACCCTGAAACATCTGAAAGCTGTAACTCTGCTTCTCTAGTATTTCAGCCTCATGGAGCTCCTCGAGTCCATTGACATGATGACACAAAACCAGCCCTACAGAAAGTTCAAGCCCAGCGTGCCTCTTCACTACCATGCCAAAGAATGGTGAATGCCTCAGTTGTTTTGAAAGTTTTAAAAAACGTTAACTAATTTTATTATTTCTAATATTTAAGAACGTTTCACAAAACTAAATTAACTATGTTTTTTAAAAGTTATTCTAAGATTTGGTACAAACTGATTTGAGTCTAGGAATATATATTGCTCCCTTTATGTGTTAATGAATTGACTCAAGAAATTCTTTAAAATAATTTGCAACTAAAAATCTTAAAATACTGTAGTTTTCGTGTACTCTAGAAGAATCAGTATATTTGAAATAATTAAACTTTCCTTGGTTTTTCTGGCAGTGCTCCACCCCCTCACCACCAGCCCCTGCCTTCTCCCCTCCCCCCCAGATTTCCATTTGACTCATTAGAGCTGTATTAACTCAGCTTGAATATTAGTAACTGAGATGGTTCTGGGAGGTTTATCCATGTAATCCCATTTTTAAATTTAAAAATTTTGCTGTTCTTTGCTAAGTTGTAGTTTAATTTCTATGACTTGTAGAACATTTTAAAGTAACTATTTCTATAATTATTGACTAGTTTTCCAATTATGCATTAAGTTGTGCAAAACTAATTGTTTAACAAAATTGTTTTGTTTATTTTATTGTTGCAAGCTATAGTAATTAGTGGAATGTTGCTATAAATAGAGTGTTCTGGTAGAATGCTGTTTTAATAGTCTTGTTGTTACTTATGTTAGAGAAAATAAATTTAGTTTTTGGTATTGTTGATCTGGGTGTAAGTACGGGGTCTTTTTTTTTTTTTAAATAGGTGGGCTTATGCTATACATGGTATTCTTGAAGTAAATGTTTGTCCTCGTTTACGGATGTGGTCTTGGAAGCATATTAGAGACCATAGACAAAAAATGAAACAATATAGAGAATTTTATAAGAAAAAGTTAACAAGTAAGAAGCCATCTCCTGAAATTCTCATGTCTTTGGAGGTTAGCATTTTAAAACAATCATTGAATACTTTACTGTGCATAATTTCTCCTTAGTGTTTTTTTTTTATAACATTTATTTGTGTCTGTGTGTGCATGCTCACTGTGGTGTGTGAAGGGGGGGGGTGAAAGGACTCCTCGGAGTCCATTTCGCCTTAACCATTGTGTAAGTTCAGGTAGTCAGGCTTGGTGGCAAGTGCACTCAGGTGCTGAGCCGGCTCTATGGCCCTTCTGTTTTTAGTGATTGCTACATTTTAATTACCTAGTCTGCTTTTTACTGACTATATTCTTTCTCTCTTATTTGGGTGTTTTGGGGCTTTTGCTTTTTAGCTGTATAATAAAAGACCCGGTGACATTATTCACTGTGCTTTTGAAATTTATATTATTTTCAGTTCAAAAGGATTTGGGTTTATATACACCATAAACATATGAAGTTTCATGATATTCCTTTTGTAAGTCTCAGAAGTGATTGCCATATCACTTCTAAACTTCTCTGTTGATGATCTGGTAGATGATATTTCTGTTGTTATTGTCTTACTGTGTATTAGTGGAGTTTCTTCTGTATGTGTAAGCTCCTTTTTAATCTCTGCCTGTGTAACCCTGCTCAGCCACCTGTCCTGGTCTCTTTCTGTACTTCTACCTTAGTCTGCCATCCTTACATGAACTTTCCTGATTTCCTGCCTGTACAAATAATTTGTATCTTAATTTTGTGGTACCTATAGTCTTTAACAGCAGCATGTTTAATTATATGCCTTGAATTATAATATGTAAGCTGAGACTGCTCCTGTTTCCAGGCCACCTAAACCCGAGTAATCACACAGAAACTATATTAATTATAACACTGTTTGGCTTATTAATTCAGGCTTCTTATTAATTAATTCTTATATCTTAAATTAACCCATTTCCATTAATCTATACATTACCACAAGACTGTGGCCAACTGGTAAGGTTCCGGCATTCCGGCATCTTTCCTTAGGCTGCTACATGGTGTCTCTATGACTTCATCTACTCTCTTTGTATATCTATTCAGATTTCTCACCTGGCTTTACTTTACTAAGCTATTGGCTGAAACAGTGCTATTCATTAGCCAAAAAAAAGCAACACGTATACTGAAGGACATCCCACATCAATATTACTTTTGTATTGCTCTTATCTTTTTAGCCTTATGGCATAATCTAAAAGGAACTTTTTAAAAAACAGGTAAAATATACTTTTGAGCTATACGTTTTTCTCTCCTCCCCTCCTGTAACTAGCTTCTTGAAAGTAGTGTAGCCATTTAGAGTCTAGAATTTTCAATGGAAAATTCTGAAAAGATTGAAACTTTACATTTTTCTTTCAGTTTTAAGGCAGATGACTAACTGAAGACAAGAAGTAATGAGGAATTTTTGGGTCTAGGGACCTTTCAGTTGGTTTCATATTTCATTACTTAGTTATGGTCTTAACCGGAATTCTCTAAGTATACTGGGTAGCACAATTCCAAGTAATGCTGTTTTCTAGAATAATAGTAAGTCGTAGTTGCTTCTTTTGGTGGAGAAAATTTGAACCTAAAACTTGAAAGTAATCATGGGAAGGCACAGATGTGTTAGCATTGTAACTTTTCTCGGTTTGTGTCCATAACTGTAACAATTTGAAAAGAGAAGTTAAGAGTAGTTTTTAACAGATTTCAAGTACTTGTAAGCCTTCTTGAAATTATCTTCATAGATATAAACTATTTCTATAAGATGAAGGCTTTGTCACAGTATTAGTTAAAATGATCTTGATGTGTTTATTTTTATTTGTAATTAAAACCTCCGATGAAAGACATTTTAAACAGTGCATGTATGTATGTTTATGAATGTATCTCTATTTATAGAGATTATAACTATATTCATGATAGGGATGATTTCTCTGTTTACAAGTCGTTCTGCTCTAATTTCCAAGCTCCTGTATGTGTGTTTGTTTATGTAAGAAAACACTGCATCCCGGAATGTAAGAGAGGACATATTGATGAAGTTCTATTTTTTGTTTCACACTGCATTTTCTTAGTGTAGTAGCTTATATTCTGAAGTTTAATATGTAACACTTGTTTTATTTACATTTTCAGGAGTTGGAGAAAACCTTGGATGTTTTTAATATAACCATAGCTAGACAACAGGCAGAAGTTGAGGTAATTTCAGATTACCATTAGATTAATAAAAATACTGTCGATATGAGAGGTAATATTATCAGTTTGTGCAAAATACTGTTTTATTAAGATTTCAATTGTGTTTTTGTGTGTTTAGAAGATTTGATATAAGTTTTTGTAATACTTGCTTAATGTGTTAAGATGAAATTATTTGTAGGAAATTGATCCTATGAAAATTTCAGAGTTCATATGTAGATGCAACCTATGTATCCTAGGCCACAAGGAGATTCATATGTTATTCCAAAGTCTTGTTTGGTAAATGTTACAGTTACCATGTTATGTTGTTAGTATGTGATTTTGTTTACATTTATTCAAATTCAAAAGAGATTTATTTTAGAAATACCCTGCCTCCATTTTTTCGATTACTAAAACAAGAATAATTTGTCATCTATGGGAAAACTTATTTTAGGTAAAGAAAGCTGGATACAAGATTTACAAAGAAGGAGTAAAAGATCCAGAGGATAATGCAGGATGGTTTAGCTGGCTGTGGACTTGGTCAGAATCAAATGATAAACAACAACTAGAAGTTAAACCTGGAAGTATGTTCATTTCATTTTACATTAGTATAGTTAATCAGCAAGTGCATAGTCATTAAGTTTTTAATTTTTTTCTAATTAAAACAGGTATTGTAAGTGTATTCATAACAATAAATTGTTTAATTTATTATCAAAATTATAAGATTAATATTATTTTCAAGTAATATAAATAGTTCAAGCAACTCTCCTGTTGGTACAGAGGAGCTTTACACTGGGAGCACTCAGTGTGTAGCACATGTGGCATAGTAATAGGTAAATATAAATCACAGAATGCTTTATGCCACTGGAGATTTTTCTTGAAGTTGCTTATTAGAAAGTTTTTTTCTCTTCTTCTCTTTTTGGAGCATGTATGTGTGTATGTGCTGTGGCATAAGCCCAAGACTTTGCTTATATACAGGCATACATTGTACCTTTGTGTTGTTGCCTCAGCCCTTAATGTTGTAAGCAAACAGGCTTTTCTCCCTCTCTCCCTGTCCCTCTCTCCCTCTCCCTCTCTCCCTCCCTCCCTCTCCCCCTCCCCCTCCCCCTCCTCCTCCCCCTCTCCTCCCTCTCCCTCTCCCTCCCCTGTGAGATCTCTCTGTGTTGCCACAGCTTAGTTTAATCTCCTGTCTTTCTGACTCTGACCATGCATAACTGGGGATTACAGATAGCTGCTACTGTGCCCAGTCAACACATTTGGTTTTCACCCAAATAATAAAGATCATAAGTCTTGGAGGGTTAGGGACTGGACATATGATATATTTTGGATTTATCACTTTTTGGTAGTGTGACTAAGTTGGGTGTGTTAAATCTGTTTTATCCATCTGTAAATTGAGAGAAAATTAGGATAGTATATCTATTTATACTTATTAACATAATGCCAGTAAATTCTTGCTTATTACAGAGACTGAAAAAATTATATCATCAAAGTTTTGGTTAGTAACTTATTTAAGGATCATTTCTAAAACTGCCAACACGTATCTAATAATACTTGTAAAAGATATTACAATAATAATAACATTTGTGGGCTGGCAAGATGTCTGAGTGGTTTTTGTTTTCCCATTTGGTGATCTGAATTTGAGTGTTGGGTCCCATGTAGTAGCACAGAATCAGCTTCTCAAAATTGTCATCTTACCTCCATATAACACTTTATACACATATCTCCACATAACGTGTACATATACACACTAAATAAAACAAAACAACTATTTCTTTTTGTTTTTCTATAAAGCCAGATAAATTTTGTTTTACATTGTTAGTAGCAAGACCATAAAACATTTATTTATGATTTATAGTTCTTGAAGAAATGTTGACACCTGAAGAAAAAGTTTTGCTTTATGAAGCAATTGGTTATAGTGAAACAGCAGTTGATCCAACCTTGCCAAAAACAGTAAGATATTTTCATGCTTTATATCTTTTAATGTTAGATATGCCTGCTGTAATTCGTTCAGAAATTTTGTATTGCTATTTTTTTCTGTGACCTTTTTGGGAGTCTATAAATAGAGCATTTATCTTAATTCCAGAAATATGAATAAAAGTGTTTTTTATAATTTTTGAGTTATTGCAGTGATTTTTTGGCAAATAAAGGCTTGTTTTGAAAGTATCTTTGACTTTGTAAATAAAGGAATTACATAAGATTGTTTGTTTATAGATAGCCCATCCTCACTTCTATTTTATTCTGGATATTCTCTAGTTTGAAGCCTTGAAGCTTTTTGTTCACTTGAAAAGTATGTCTGTTATTCTAAGAGAAAATCACCAAAAACCGGAGCTGGTAAACATTATAGTAGAAGGACTTAGTACTTCGATTGTGCAAAGGCCAGGAGCACAAGCCATAAAGTAAGTATAAATTTATTTTCTTTCACAGGTTAAATAACACTAATCTGAATCTGAAATACTGAATTTCAATGCTTTGACTCTTGAAGGAAAATTCCATACCTGACTTAGTGTGATAGAGTGCTATAAAAACACAGGTACACTAAAAATATTGTGTACTATTACCTTTAGACTATATATGTGAGGAATTTATAAAGTATAAATTTACGCTTAGATCTGGATCCAGTTCCCCAGAGTCCACATTGTCTAAACAGAAATATTCAAAAATCCCTCAAAAATCTCTCTCTTTCTCTCTGTCAGCCCATATCATATGACAGGGGAGAAGGCCCATTTTGTAAAACTCAGGAGTACAAGTTTTCTTCCTTGGATCAATTGACAGGTGGTACAGTGGTGACTTTAAATGACAGTTATGTCATGTGCTCTTTTAGTGACTAGAATGTGACAAGAATGTAGTCAAAAACTTCTAGGCTGGAGCCGAGGCCTTATCCATGTCTTTGTTCAGCTTATCAGGGTTTTCACATGTATTTTGTACTGCAAGCATCCTGGCCCATTGAAATAGTTCTGGTGTTTAAACAGAAAAAAATGCTTATTTTGTGGAAACATTTAGATTTTTGAAGGCTTGTTTCAACAACATGAGTATTTTAGTTATAGGTTAACTTTGAAACATTTTGTGTAGGATATGACTTCACTATGCCAGTAACAAAGTTTTCAAACTGGTCAGCAATTTTAAAAACACAGAAAACAACAGCGAACTTGGTAGGTGGTACTGGAGAAAGAGCTTAATTGGTAAAGTGCTTGCTACACAAGCATGAGGACCAGAGTTTGATTCCCAAAACCCTTGTAGAAAGCCAGGTGTGGTAGTGACAGCCTGTAATCATAGTTCTGGGCAAGTGGAGACAGGAGGAGCCCTGAAACTCATTGTCCATCCAGCCCTGTTGAATTGGTGAGCCCTTGGTGCCAGTGAGACCTTGTCTCAAAACAACAAGGTGGACAGTGTTTCAGCTTTTGTCTTTAAGTTTCACTTTAAGGTTGGAGTTTAGGTTGCAGACTTTGTAGTCTTTGGTGTGGTGATTTAATGCACTCTTTGTGTGTTTAAGAACTTAGACCTCCCCCTGTACCATATAATTTTTTTGGAATTATTAATGTATTCAGTAGAAAGTAATATGTGAATAAACAGAAAAATACTAAAGAAAAATTAAAAAGTGTATTTGACCATACAGAAAGAAACAACAAATGTTGCTATTTCTAGTACAGCGCCAGGGACAGTCCTGACTGGGGTGGTGAGGGGATGAAGAAATGACAGACACAAGCTGGGGAGAAACTGCAGCATTCCGGAAGCTTAGTGCAGCTTGAACAGAGAGGCAGGGGTGGGGGTGGGTGGGAGGATTATTGCATGCAGTTGAACAAAGAGGTAGGGTTAACCATATGTGGCGGAATAAGGAGGCAGGTTTAGCTAATCTTAGAGGGGCAGTCACTGTAGGGGAGTAGTCTGCAGACTCTAAATACAAGGGGAGAAAGAATCAGAACATGGAGCAGAGGGAGGCTTTCTGAGCCTCAGCTGCCCCCCATCCCAGGTGAGGGAGCAATGGGTTTTGCCATTTTCCCGTGGATTGAGGCTAAAGTCTTTGACAGGGCTGGTCATGTCAACAACACACATTCATTCAGGGCTTCACACTTTAAAGGCTTCCTTCATTTTCTACAAAAAATGACTTTTATTTAGTCTCTCTTTTTTTTAAAAGCACTCTTCTCCTTGTCACTCTTTCTCCCCATTCTCTTCCTTACCCTCTTGGTTTTGAGATAGTGTCTTTGAATTCAGTATCTTCCTGCCTCAAGCCTCTCAGTTTCTAGATTACTGCTATGTACCACCATGTTTGGTGTATTTTAACCTTTAAGAAATAGTTTTTTGTTTTGTTTTAATTTTTTTTTTTGATGTTGCTTTTAGAGACAGGATTTCTCTGTGAAGCTTTTTGAGCCTGTCCTGGAACTCACTCTGTAAATCAGGCTGGCCTTGAACTCCTGTCTTTGCCTCCCAAGTGCTGGGATTAAAAGCGTGCGTCACTACTGCCCTTCTAAGAAATACTTTTATTGAGAACCCGTCCACATACTTGTAACTTTTCTATTTAGTGTATAATTTATTATGCTTTTGCAACTATATTACATATACATTTTTTACATTGATAATGTTTAAGGTTATATGCATTGATAATGTTTAAGGTTATGAAGCCACCATCTGAATATAATTCCAGACATTACTACATACCATGAGGAAACTGTATATATTTTACTGGCAGTCCCTTCCCAGCTTCCCAAGGCTCTTTTTCCATGATTCCAACAACTAGCTTCTTTTTGTTTCTTATTTTTTCCCCTCTTATTTCTGGGGTTAGAGAAATGGCTCAGTGGGTAAGAACTTTTGATGTGCATACACAGGAACCTAATTTCTAATTCCCAGAACCTTAAAAAAAAAATCGGGTTGAATGCATGTCTCTGTAACTCCAGTGGAGATAGCAGGTGGATCCTAGGAGCTCATTAACCAGCCAGCATAGCCTAAGTGGTGAGAAGCTGGTCAGTGAATGACCCTGTCTTAAAGTATGGTAAAGATTAGAAGAAGGTATCTGATGTTCTCCTCTGGTCTTTACATGCAGGTACATGTGGCTGCACAGTTCATGTGTGCAGCACAGACACATACAGACAGACAGACAGAATTAGAATTTTTTGAGCATTTTATATGAAATCATTCAGTATGTGGTCTTTACTGTTTTTTTTTTCTTTTTCACTTACCATGATATCTTTAGGGTTCATTCATATAGAATAAATTTGTAACTTTTTAAATTGTCTATATTCTATTATTTGGCAGTACCATATTTTGTGTCCATTTTTTAACCGACAACTAATTGAGTTGCTTCTATCATTTGGCTATAAGAAATATTTGATATAAACATGGACAAAGTTTTGTTTGTATGTGGGTTTTAAATTTTGGGATTATATATCAAGAAATAGACTTTTTTTCTTATACAGTAACTGTTAATGTTGAACATCAAGAGGAACTACCAGATAATTTCCCAAATCAGGCACATTTTTTATTCCTTCTACCAGTTAATGAAATTTCAAATTTCTCCATATCTCCAATGATATTTGCTATTATCTGTTCTTCTGATTATGCTATCTTAGTGAAAAGTGGTAGTGGTATCTCAGTGTGAGACTAATTTTTATTTATTGATGGTTAATGATTTTAGACATTTTTTCTGTATTATTTTATGTTCGTGTTCATGACTTGTTTGGAGAAATTACCTTTAAACTTCCTCTCTCTTTTGATTGATTGGTCTTGATTTGAGTTCTTAACAGTTTTTAACTGTTCTTAACATTCTTGATGTGTGTCTTTTTCATATTCTTTCTCTTTCTGGTGGAGATCAAATTCGGGGCTATGTTTATGCTAGGCAAGTGTTTTGCAACTAAACTATGACCTCTTCCAGTGTGTGTGTGTGTGTGTGTGTGTGTGTGTGTGTTTGGGGGGGTGCTAAGGATTGAATCCAGGGAACTTGACATGCGTGGCAAGTGCTTTAACCACTCAGCTATACCGTAAACCTTACAGGTGAAATAATATTATTTTTTTCTATTTAGTACATTTTCTTTCTTTTTATTATGTCCCTTGTAGCAAAAATGTTTTAAATTTTGGCCTTTTGATTTACTTAGACTTTTTGTTGTGTATACATTTTAGTATATCCAAGGTTTGTTTAACTGAGGGTACATTGAATATATTATATATTTCTGTAAGTATTTTATGTTACCCTTTTTATTGTTTTTATTAAATTTTTTCATTTATTTACATCCCGACCACATTTCCTCCCTTCTCTCTTCCTGTTCTTTTCCGCCCCTCTCCCCCCATACACTCCTCTTCTGTTTCTATGTAGAAAGGGGTAAGCCTCCCAAAGGTGTCAACAAAGCATAACATCTAGTTGAGGTAAGATTGTGCTCCTCCCTTTGAATTAAGGCTGGATGAGATAACCTGTTATGGGGAATAGGTTCTTAAAAGCTTACTCAAGCATTGAGACAGGCCCTGATCCTACTGCTAAGAGTCCCATAGATAGACCAAACTGCAGAACTGTCACACATATGTAGAGGGCCTAGGTGGGTCCTGTACAGAATCCCTAGCTGATGTTCCATAGTCTTAACTCCTCTGAGTCCAGGTTAGTTGTTTCTGTGGGTTCTCTGTGGTGACCTTGACCCCTCTGGCTCGTATATCCCTTCCTTCCTCTGAACAGGATTCCTGGAGCTTGACCCAGTTCTTGACTGGATTTTTGCATTTGTTTCCATCAGGTGCTGGATGAAGGCTCCATGATGGCAATCAGGGTAGTCAGCAGTCTGTTTACAGGTTGGCAGGTCAGGCCCCCTCTCCACTACTGCTAGGAGTCTTAGCTGGGGCCATCCTTGTGGATTCCTGGATGTTTCCCTGGTACCATGTTTTTCCCTAACTCCTAAGTGCTCCCTCCGCCCCCATATCAAGGCATCTCTTTCATTACTCTCCCCCTCTGTAGCTTGGTCTCTTAGTAAGACTTCTAACAGTGAGAGCAGGACCTCTCCCTGGTACTTAGCTAGCTTTTGGTAACCTGTTCCCTATGCTAGACTGCCTGAAATAAGGGGAGGACCTCAGTCCTGCCCCAACTTGATGTGCCATCCTTTGTGCAAACCCATGGGAGGTGTGGCCCATGGAGGTCTCCTCCATGTGGAGATGGAGGATGAGCAGATAGGGAGGAAGGTATATAAGAAAGGGGAAGGGATGGAGGAGAGGAGGGAGGGGAAACTGGTTGGTATGTAAAATAAATGGAAAAATGTTGTTCAAATAAAATTAAAAGGAAAAAAGTTGGGGGAAATAAAAGTGACTACTAAAAGACAGCTTGTTTGGAGAGGAGTGGAGTAAGGGAAACATGACTTCACTGCTGGTGGGAGTGCAAACTTGTACAGCCATAGAAATTTAGGTTATGTGTTCCTGTAGTAAGGAGGCCGCTTGTTGGTTTCTGGCTGCTTAGCCCCAAAATAATCACACAGAAACCATATTAATTAAATCACTGCTTGGCCCATTAGCTCTAGCTTCTTTTTGGCTAACTCTTATATCTTAATTTAACCCATCTTCATTAATCTGTGCATCACCACAAGGTCGTGGCCTACCAGCAAAGTTTCAGCACATCTGTCTCCAGCCACAGCTACATGCTTCCCTCTGACTCTGCCCTTTTTCTCCTAGCATACAGCCTAGCTTTCCCCACCTAATTCTGTTCTGCCCTGCCATAGGCTCGAAGCAGTTCTTTATTAATCAGTTGTAATCGTAGCATACAGAGGTAAATCCCACATCATGCCCCTTAAAATGAAGATACCAAATACTAGCTGTCATAGCTTTTGATTTATAATTTAACATGAATATGGCTCTTAGTGAAGTAATCTATTAAAATTCATAGGAATTGTATCTTTTCTCTTAAATTATATGAGTTATAGGAAATGCAAAGAAAAATATCTTTACTATATTTCATAATTTTGCAGTTTGACAAATTATTTAAAGTTATATTGACTCCTAATTCCTGTTCTTTTCTTTTATACAGATTTGAAACCAGAATTGATTCATTTCATATTACTGGCCTTCCAGATAATTCAAGAAAACCCCATCTACTGTCTTCATTGGATGATATGTCACTCTTCCAGATTACATTTGAGACGAACCCTTTAGATGAAACTGTTGCTCAGAGGTGTATCATAGAGGCTGAGCCTTTAGAGATAATATACGATGCAGTAAGCATTTTCTGTCTTATTAAGCTTCAGTGTTTTTTCTCTTGCTTTGAGTTTGTGTTTTATGTTGGCGGTGCTTATTTTAACAGAGGACAGTCAATAGTATAGTGGAGTTCTTCAGACCTCCAAAAGACGTCCGCCTAGCACAACTTACTTCAGCAACTTTGACAAAACTTGAAGAATTTCGAGATAAAACAGCAACAGGTAAAGTCATTTGTGAATTAAACATATTAAAATTTTTCTTTAAATGATTTTCTAGACTGGATATGGTTCAGTAGAAACTCATCCGGTGCTTTTGCCAGGTATACATAACAATAATTGCTTTTTATACATAACTTTAATAATCACATTTAAGTTAACTGAAAATTTTCATTTAATTATTTAGATGTCTTTATGATAGTCGGCTTTCTGATTTTATCTTTTTACAGTGAATTCCAGAGTTTGGTAGATTATTCTGAGAAATAAAATTCATCTTCTTCCTTCTCAGGGAGAATAAAGGGTGTTGTTAAGGATTGTTAAGGTCTCTTTTGGTTTGAATTGGCTAATATATTTTCTTGCTTGCTTATTATTTATTTGTGTTTATTCTTCTACTCTTTCCTACAATCTCAGATTCCATTTATAGTTCAAATTCCTGAATTCTATTCCAGTTCATGTACTGGTGTATGCAGTAATAGAAGCCCAAAACAAAGTATTAAATGAAGCCTTTTTGTTTTCAGTCAGTTCCTCTTATTATATAGAAACAGATAGGTAGTTACAAGTTGTAGTGAGGGGCTAGCTTAGTCCCAGAAATAACAACACACAAATTGTATTCATTTAAGCACTGCCTGGCCCATTATCTCTAGAGAGTTAGTTACTGACTAACTCTCATATCTTGATATTAACCCATTTCTAATAATCTGTGTAGCACCACGAGGTGGTGGCTTACCGGAAAAGATTCAGCATGTCTGACCTGGTGGCTGGCTCCATGGCTTCTGCCTCATAGCCCTCTTCCCAGCATTCTGTTCTGTTTACTCCGCCTACCTAATTTTCTGTCCTATCAAGGGGCCAAGGCAGTCTCTTTATTGACCAATGAAAATAACACAATAGACAGATAACCCTCCTCCATCAACAAGTAAATGTGAATTCATTGTATTTAAATCCAGTAGCTAGCAGAATTAGATTTTTTTATCTTCAAGATATTTTTCCTAAGTTCTTATTATTTAACAAAAGTACTAAAACAGTAGATGTTTGCTGTATAAAATTCAAATGTTATAAAAGTATCGTAGAAAAGGTAAGTCTCCCACACTTTACCCTTCTAATTTTATGTTTGTTTTCCCTTTGCTGCACTACTAGTGTCATTCCCTGTTATTTAGAATAAGAATATTCAGTGTCCATGCAGATCTCTGTGAGCTAGATCCCGGCCTCGTGTCTACATTCAAATTCCAGGCCAGTGAAGACTATAGAATGAGTCCTTCTCTTAGAAACAATTATTAAAAATGTTTTTTTTTGAAGTTGGAAAGCTACTCATACTCTTAAATTAATTTTTAACATTTAATATATGTTTCAGTTTTTAGGAAACTAAAATTTGCTTATTTAGGAATGGACTGATAGCTTTTATCTGTTTTGGTCTTTTTTTTCCCCCTTCATTTTCTTCTTTATTAGTTTTTGTTGCATTAACCTCTATTAATTATTTCGTAGTTATTTTTTCTTGTGTTATTGTCTTCATCCTTTGTAAATATTTTAGGTAAACAAATGAAAGCATACCCGTATTTATCCTTTGTCTCTGATAAGAAAATGAATATGGACTTTTGTTAATTCTTTTGAAGTGGAGGATTCTCTGGTAGTTTGATACTTATTCTGATACTTATTCTTGATTGTCATCTTGCTGGCATAGAGAGGCACCAAAAAAATATCCAGAAATGTGTTGAGTTTCCTTTGTCTTGGCCATCTCCTTGCTGACATGGGGCCTGCCTTTAAGTGTGGTTTATGTACCCATTGAGACTCCCTTGGAGAAACTTATTTATCATTTGTTATCGCTTGTTAAGTAGAACTTTTAAATTATTTTATCGTGTTTGTTGATTCTCTGCTTTATTTTTTAAAGCAAGTTGTGATAAGTACTCATTGCAAGGATTTAATCTTTTTGCAGGTTTGCTGTATATTATTGAAACACAGAAAGTTCTTGATCTCAGAATTAATGTGAAGGCTTCATATGTTATTGTCCCACAGTATGGAATTTTTAGACCCACATCAAATCTTCTTCTTTTGGATCTTGGTCATTTAAAGGTATGCACTAATAATGTTTGATTGGTGATATGACATTTGTGGTATTCTTTTGTTTAAAATGTACTTTGATTTTGTTAAGATGGATTTATTTTTTTATATGTGTTTTTCTGAGTGTATGTAGATATACCAGATGCGTGCACTGCCCAAAGAGGCCAGTAGTAGGTCCCAGATCTCCAGGAGCTAGAGTTATGGGCTGTTGTGAACCACCATGTGTATACTGGGAACAGAACCCAGGTCCTCTGCAAGAACAACAAATGTTCTTCATTGCTGAGCCGTCTATGCAGCCCTAGAATATATACCGGTTTTAGATAGTTTGATAAGTTTTATTGATGTTTAAATATATATCAGTACTAGGATTTGAGAAACAATCCTTGTGATTAGTAAATAAAGTTTTACTTTATCAGGTAGGTTTTTTTTTCTCCCTACATTTTCAAAATCAAAGATTTCATTTTAGCCTTAACTGGCAAGCTAGTAACAGATTTTTAACAATTGTGTTTATAGACTTGAAAGTCATACCTAAGATTTTTACTCTTCATGTACATTTTATTTGATTATATATTTAATCAAATATATAGAATTGGGACAGTTCTGGAAGTGCTCATCTTTCTGCAGTTTTTACATATATAAGTTAAGTAGGAACATTTTTTTTTTTAGATTTCTACATCTAAACCATTCAGTACTGAATCTATTAGTGTCATGTAATTATTAAAGGTAAAGAAAAATTAATTAAAATCTTCAGCTTCTGTTACTTGCTTACTAGTCAAAGCTGGTTAGTGGCTGCTGTCGACTGTCCAGATGCAGGGGATTTCTGTCATCATTACCATTCTGCCACTACAGCCATCACATGTAGAAAACCTACAGAAGTCTGTGGGCAGCTTGGGTGACTTCTCTCTGCCAAAGAACTTTGCTCTTTTCCTGTGACTTTGCACTTCGTATATATTTATTTTATGAATGTAATTATAAAATTATTTCAAGGGTAATTTAAGAAGAATGTAAGTATTAAGAGTTTTGAGGTTTCAATTTTCTGACATTAGCTAATTTGTTTTACCTGCTACCTAAAACAAATTTTTACCTGCTACCTTTCAGAGATAATATTTTTTTAAAAAAATTTAAATTTATTTTTATGTGTATGGATATTTTCTTTGCATTATATATCTGTTTACTATTTAAGTGCCTGTCACCTGCACAGGCCAGAAGGTGCTAGAATCAAACCTATGTCCTCTGGAAGAACAGTCAGTGCTGTTAACCCCTGAGTCATTTCTACAGCTCCATTTCTTTTTTTTTAATTTTTGTTTTTGAGACAGTCTCACTACATATCCCTGGTATCCTAGAACTCACTGTGTAGACCAGGCCAGCCTCGATCTCACAGAGACCTGTTTGCTTTTGCTCTCCTGAGTTCTGGGAGTGAAGGTATATGCTACTATGCCTAGTGAGATAATCATTTTTGACAGTCTACTCCCCATGAGCTGTGTGAAACAGAATATGAAGTGTGTGTGTGTGTGTGTGTGTGTGTGTGTGTGTGTGTGTGTACACACATCTGTTTTCAAGTTTAAAGAAAAATGTGGTTACTGCTTTGGAGTGATCTCTAGAATATTTAAGAAACAAAAGTAGTGTGCGCAGTATTCCATGAAAGGGGAGATAAAAAATATAGCATGCTTGGAGCCACATAACATACTGAGCTAATAAGCCCTGTTCTTTTATTACATAGCTACTAAAAACCTGCTATTGGATGAAAGAAACATATATAACCCAGATTTTTCTCATGGTCTTGTTCCAAATGAATTTTCTTCAGATTTTAAGTTGTTGTGAAGAGGTATTATTTTCTAGGACTCTGTTGGTTCCCCATTTTTGATATAAGTAAATTAAAAAATAGACCTCATTATGTGAATGTCATCTTATACCTGTCTTTGTTGCATGTCTCATAGACAAGGATTTTTTTTTTTTTTTTTTTTTTTGGTTTTTTGAAACAGGGTTTCTCTGTAGCTCTTGGAACTAGCTCTTGTAGGTCAGACTGGCTTCAAACTCACAGAGAACTGTCTACCTCTGCCTCCCGAGGGTTGGGATTAAAGATGTGTGCCACCACTGCCTGACTGGATAAGGATCTTAATAGCTGTGTGTGTGTGTATTTGAATTTACCTTGTCCTATTAAATTTTATGTTAAGCATAAATTTTATTTATGCTTAATAAATAAAGCATAATTTCCTAGCAGCAATTTTATTTTGAAGTACTTTACATGGTCTAAACTATTAAAATTAACTTTAAGGTAACAAGTAAAAGTCGATCAGGATTACCAGAAATGAAACCAAGTAACACTAGTCTTGAAGAGATAATGCTCAGAGCTTATGATTCCTTTGATATTCAGCTTACCAGCATACAGTTGCTTTACAGCAGAGTGGGTAAGTACGAGAGATTATTATTGATTTTTTTTTTTAAACAGTGATTAGGTTTTTAGACACTCTGAAGATGTGTCTAAAGACTTTCCCTCTACATATTTGGAACTTTCCTGTATTTGAGTTAAAATTAACGGTTAATATTGCATAGTGAAGGAAAGATAGTTGATAGTGAAAGTGTGAAACCTTAAGCACAGCTCCACAGCTTCAGAATAGCCGTTCATTAAGATATATGACTGGGTACATGTGCTTAATTGGCTATGTTAATCTAGCTGAGTGATTGATGTTTATTTCTAAGATAATTACAATGTTTTTTTAAATAAGAAAACAAACATTGACTACTAACTAAACAAAAATGACTACTAACATTTTTCTGGTTTGAAACCAAGGAAATTTGTTCCCTAGTTCACCTTGCTAAAATTTTGTCTCTTCCTGGGAACTGGGGCTTGCTCATTGTGCTAAGCTGACTGGTGGCTGAGCTCTAAATCTGCCCATTGCTCCCTTCCTAGTACTGGGGTTTCAAGCATGAACCACCATCGTCTACTCCCCATGAGCTATGTGAAAGAGAATAAGAAATGTGTGTGTGTGTGTGTGTATACACTTACATTTTTCTGCTCCTTTCATTGCCTTATAGTGGCCTTATTTTGATGGTATAATATCTGGTTTGCATAGTTATCATTCATAGATATACTGTATATTTGACCAAAACTATGCTGCCTTTTAAAAAACAGACCTTTTTCTTTTATTATAGAATATAGTCTTGTAAAGTAGTATAGGGGGAAAAATGGAAGTGTAAAGACTTGCTGACTGTGTTGTGTCCTTTAGATAATTTTAAGTTTTGTATGTTATAAGAATTATACTACTAATAAACATGGACTGTTCCTGTAATTAGGTGATAACTGGAAAGAAGCACGAAAGCTCAATGTATCGACCCAGCATATTTTGACACCTATGCACGTCAATGTAGAACTCTCTAAAGCCATGGTTTTCATGGATATCAAGATGCCCAAGTATGTATTATATATTACCTCTTTCATATAATTGTAGATTTTCTCAGTAAATCTGTAATGAAAGAAATGCTATATCCATTGACTGTATTGCATAGAATGCATATTATAACCTTTGCCACTGATGCCATTTTTAATATGTAGTTCAATAGCATCTTCATAAATTCACAATATTATGCCGCTGTCACCACTATCCATCTCTAGAACTTTAACAGTCTTACAAACTGAATGTCATACTCGCTAAATAGTAACATTCCATTCTACTCTGCTTTTTGCCCCTGGCTACCAACTCCCCTTTTGTCTGATGACTTTTCTTTGTGTTTTGGTTGAGATTTATTCTAACATATTTTAATCATGTTCTTATTTTCGTTTTTGTATACTTTGTAAATTTTTCGTTTTATTACCATAGAGATTATGTGTGATGTCTTAAACCTTTTACTGTTTGCTTAAAATGGTACCTGTCTTATTCACATGCAAAGTCTACTTTTTCGGCACCAATTAATATAGACTTATTTTTATGTCTTCATTTCTGTAGAAAATGAAAAGAAGTCAAACCTAAATCATAAAAGTCTTTTAAAATATTTTTAATGCAGTTATTTGTACTGTGATGGTTAATTAGACTGATTTAAGACAATAAAAGAAAGCCCACTCTATAGTATGTAGCATTTTGATGCCTACCCTCTTCACATTGTGCATCTTGCATATTTTATGAAAGGAAAAGGTTTTGATGCATTAATTTAATTGATCTGTATTGTATAAGTTAAGCCACAGTGTATGGAAATATTTAAGTTATTAGAAATAAAGCTTAGAATTTTCTGCAGGAATTCAGGTACATTTTTAGAGACCAGTATTTAACAGCTAAAATGTATAATTTAAAAAAAAATTAGTTTTGGGGAAAAGTGGCTGTAAAACCAGTGAGTTAAAACATTTTGTATGAGGGCCATACCTTTTGAAAAATTCTTGTATGTGTATGCCAATGCATTTTTGTACATGTGGATATACACATGTGTGTGGAAGCCAGAGCTTGACATCATGAACCCAAAGCATATCGATTGGCTGGGATGCACTCGCCTCACCTCACCTCTCCTTCAAGTGTTGGGATTGCAGGTGTGTGCCTCTGTGTCCATCTTTTAGTCAGTGCTGGGTATCTCACATCAGATACCTGTACTTTTTTTCACTTTTCTATTAGACCAATTTTCTCAACCTCTCTTCATTTTTATTTTTAATTTTTAAAAACATTTATTTATTATATGGAGGGCTTGCATGTTTAGGTACCACAGTGGGTATGTAACAGTCCAGAGAACAACCTGATGAAGTCATTTCTTACTTCCACCATGTGGTTTCTGGGTAATCAAACTCAGATCATTGGGCAAGTTCCCCTTAAGGGCAGATGCCTTTATCCCCTGAGCCTTCTCTCGGGCCCCAGCCCCTCTTTAATTCTGTATCTTATTTGTAAGCAAAAGAGATTGGTGTAAAATGGAGACTGCATGTTTGTTTCCCCACCACTTAGACCTGAATAATAACATAAAGCGATATTAATTACAACACTACTTTGCCAATAGCTTGGGCATATTTCTTGCTAGCTCTTACACCTTAAATTAGCCCATTTCTATTATTTTATATTTTACCACGAGGCTCCTGGTTTACAGGTAAGGTTCTGACAACTTTCTCCTTTAGCAGCTACATGGTGTGTGCCTGACTCCGTCCTCTTTCTCCCTGCATTGAGTTTAGTTTTCCCACTTACCTGTATTCTGCCCTGCTGTGGGCCAAATTAGCTTCTTTATTAATCAATAGTAATAAAATATATTCACACCTTACAGAGGGGAATCCTGCATCAGATTGGTAAGACAGTTAAAAACAACTCAGGTTTTGTTTTAAATTATGGTTTTGGATATAAAATCTCTTGTTCTTTGAATTTGCTAAGCTTACGTTTTCTTGTAGGAACTATGTGCATATGAGAATTTACGTGTAGTGGGGATTAGAAATAGACTGTGATCCTCATAGCTATGAGTATACAACAATGACATATAAATAATGTAATGATAGTCACTTAATAAATTGGTAATTAATATTGTCATCTGTATTTGGCAAGCATAAGAGAAACAATAAATGAAATAATACTAGAAAAAGAAGCCTCTGAAAACTTTTAAGGCTAGTCCATCTAAGGTTTATAAGGTAAGATGTGATTTGTAGTTTTAAATTTTTATTTTAAATATTTATTAGTTGAATATCATGGTTTCCATCTAGTCCTCTTTATATTTTTGTTTTGTTTTTGGGTTGGGGTAGGTGCTAAGCATTGAACTCAGGACTTCCTGCTTGCTCTGCAAGCCATCTGTCACTGAGCCACCTCCCCAATTTCCATTGTTTGTTAATTAGTGTACTTAAACCAGAATGAAAATTACTCTATATATTCTGTATACTTCATATACTCTATAATGATTCCTGTCTCTGTAAAAATAGATTCAAGATTTCTGGAAAATTACCTCTTATTTCATTACGAATCTCGGATAAAAAACTACAAGGGATTATGGAATTGTTTGACAGCATTCCAAAACCTGAACCCATAACTGATCTGTCTGCCTCTGCCAAATCATTCCAGGTAAAGTCTTTCTCAGAATTAATGAAGATTAAATTGAAAAATAGATTCCAAAGTAGTAGAAAAAATTACTACAGGTGAAGTTACTTATGATCATTTTAATTTTCAGCAGAATTGCGTCTCTTCCATCTTCATGACACACATTTACATCATGAGTATTTAACATTATGGAGAAAATCGCGACTTTGAATTTACTTGTATATGTATTAGGTTATACCTCTGTCTATCAGATCAAGTCCTAACAGAGTTGTTGAGGGAAAGTATTATAAATTTTTTGATGAGTTTTGTCAACTTTTCTCTCTTGAGTATTAATTTATTAACAGCGAATGAGTGTCTTTCTCTGTTCTAATTAATCTTGAGTGTTAGCCATTTTAATATTTTACTGTTTGAAAAGATTGCCTTTTGGATTTAATTTGTGCATCTTTTAAAGAACATGTTTTTTTTTATGTTTAATTTTTACTTTTTTTGAACTGTTACTGTGAATATATGTATTTGTATTATGTAAATGCAATATGATTTTCTAATTATAGAAATTTATCGGCCATTTGGAATTACTTTTTATGTTAGATTTTTAGTGCATTATGTAAGTATATTTTTACTATGCATTAAGTTTTTATTTTTACATAATCACAGTTATTTTCTTACACCTTTGATTTTTTTTGACTGTATATGATTTCTTTCTCTCTAAAGTAAGAGGAAATATCTAATCTCATTTTTCTTTATAAATGAATTTATAAAGAATTATTTATTTATAAATAAGCCATCCCCTTGGCTTATTTATAAGTTATTAAATTTTCTGCTTTTCCATAATTTACTTTTTTTAAAAAAATTGCAAAACTAACTTGTAGAATCCCCATCCTCCAGTCCATTTAATAGTGAACTACTAATGTAGTCTCTTCTCTTACTCTGACCACTTAAGTGTTTTACAATAGTTTTTCTGCTTTGCTGCTGAACTTTCTGTTTTATTAATTTTGTTGAAGAGCATGTGTTTTGAATTTTGATGAAGTAGTATTTATTACTTTCTTTTTGGGTGAAGCTAAATGTAATATTTCTGAAACTTTCACCTAATAATGAAGTTGAGAGATTTTCCCCCTGTGTTTTATTCTAAAAACTTTGTAGTCATTAAAGTTGCTTTATAAATGTATTTGCATTTTACATTCATATTTTAATGTAGTCTTTTAACATCTTCAGTCTAATTTTATATCTGTCTTATCATGTCACTTTCATTTTTAAAAAATACATTTTCCCTTGATCCGATTATATATGCTTGTGTCTGTTTCTTTTCTTTTTCAGTGACTACTGTCTACCTTTTCCATTTAAATCTTTTCTTGTTTTCAGTAGCAATCTGTCATACCTATATAATAGTTTCATAGTAAGTGCTTTAAAAAGCATAATTTTCCACTTTTTTCATAATTTTTATAATTTTACAATTATAAAATTTTATAATAAGCTTTTGTAATTTTACTTTTATAATTAAGTTGTCCAATTCCACCTAAATTTTGATGGATTTTGTAAGGATAATATTAATCTGCTCAATAATACTATTTTTGTTTTGTTTAGTTTTGTTTTTGTTTTTCAAGACAGGGTTTCTTTGTATAGCTTAGGAGCCTGTCCTGGAACTCACTCATAGGCTAGGCTGACTTCGAACTCACAGAGATCCGGCAGTCTCTGCCTCCTGAGTGCTGGGATTAAAGGCACGTGGCACCACCATGTTTCTAATAATATACTATTGAGAATTAAACTCTTAGCACTGTTTCATCTTCCAATTCACTACAAAAGTATATTTCTCCAGTAGGTCATTTTAGTGGTGTGGGTCTGAGTTATAATTTAAGCATACATTTACTATGTATATTTTGCTAGGTTTATTATATTGTTTGGGCCCTAATTGTGTCCCTTTTAAATTCATGTATGGAACCTTAACCCCTACATCTATAACTTAAATTGTGATTCTTTTGGAAGTAGGGCCTTTAAAACAGTGAGTAAGTTAAAATAAAACTATTAAGATAGGCCCTAATTTGGGACTTATTGGTGATTTCATAAAAGGAAATTTCGGAATAAAAAGAAACACCAGAATATATGTACAGTTAGCAAAGACTAAATGAGGATGCAGCAAGAAGGCAGCTCTTTGCAGGCCAAAGGTAGATACTTCTTAAACCTTGTTTATAATACTTTAATATTGGCCTTCCAGCCCCCAGAATTGTAAGAAAATATTTTATGTGGTTTTAACCATTGATTCTGTGGTCTTTTTTTATGGTATCTCTGCCAGTCTTATGCAAATTTTGGTACCAATAGAGTATGTTGTCGGAATAGTAACACTTAAACCTGCATAACAGGTTAGGTTGGGATAATTTCAAGACCAGTGTTAGAAAAATCCTACACTCTCATCTTGAAGAAAATGTAGACATGGATTTTAAGTAACATGAGGGCCTGCTTGTTGGGGTTTCTGTCCTGCCCCGTTCCCACAGTTGTTAGCCCCAAAGAAAATCACACAGAGAGTCTACATTAGTTATAAAGTGATTGACCTATTAGCTCAGGCTTCTTATTAACTCTTATAACTTATATTAGCCCCTTATTCAAGTATATATTAGCCACATGGCTCGGTACCTTTTTCAGCGGGGCAGGTCACATCTTCCTTCTTCAGTGTCTGGACAGGAATGGGAAGAATGGGCTTCCTCATTCCCAGCATTCTCCTGTTCCATTGACCCGCCTCTACTTCCTCTCTGGTTGTCACACCTATACTTCCTGCCTGGCTACTGGCCAATCAACGTTTATTTAAAACATAATTGACAGAATACAGAATTGTCCCACACCAAAACCCCTTATTATAACATGAGGGCCTGCTTGTCACCCAGCCGCCAGGCTAGCTTAATCCCGAAATAATCACACAATCTGGATTCATTAAAAACACTGCTTGACCCATTAGCTCAGACTTCTTATTAACTCTTATAACTTATATTAACCCATTATTCTTATCTATGATAGCCACATGGCTCAGTACCTTTTTCAACAGGGATAGGTCACATCTTTCTTCTTTGGTGTCTGGACAGGAATGGGGAGGAATGGGCTTCCTCCTTCCCAGAATACTCCTGTTCTCATTGTCTCGCCTCTACTTCCTGTCTGGTTGTCCCGTCTGTACTTCCTGCCTGGCTACTGGCCAATCTGAGTTTATTTAAAACATATTTGAGAGAATACAGAATTGTCCCGTACCACCTTATGGTGAGAATTGTAATAGAAACTACAAACATGTTTATATATCTTTTAAAAAGCCCTTATTATAAATTGACAGGAAACCTGACTGAACTGTCTTCATTTTTTGTGAAATGTAGATGAACTTGAATAGTTAGCTGATGTGATTACTAAACTTTGAAGAGTATGGTACGGTATATATTTTCTGTCTTCATTATTAGAACATTTGAGAGGTGAAATGAAGGACACTAAAACAAAACTATGTGAATCAAAAAGGAACCAGAACTTAAAGATTTGTGAAATGGTTAGTTTATTCATAATGCAAAAAATAAGAGCATGGTATTTGAGAGAGCATCAGGAGTGTTCTGAGATGATGATTTGATTAAAGAAATTATGTCACAGATTAGACCATTCATCTCAGAAGCTAGGGATAAGAAGAGAATGATACCAACTAAACATGCCTAGATTGAACTAAAGGAAACTGAAAGTGAGCAAAATGAAGAAAGGTTTTGGACTTTAAGAAGTATGTAGAATATGAGAACTGCTAGCATGTATTATCCTCGAGAGAGTGATGTCCTGTAGGTGATTCTGAGGTCTTCATGTGTCACAGACCCATTGGTCTGGATGGTGCAAGAGTCAAAGGATGAAGCAATCTCTTTATAAGTAGACTGGACCACTGGTGCCCAGGACCTTTGTACAGGGCTATATTTAGTCTTTCTTATTGAGTATGGTAATGTAGGCTTACCAAATTAAGCAATTACCATTTATTCCTAGTTCTCTGAGCATTTCTCTTTGATAGTGGGATGCTATTTCTGCATCTTTGTGAAGATGATCTTATAGTTGATTTCTTTAGTGTGGTAGTATAATGACTTGATTAGTTTTGCATTCTCAGTTATATCTCATCTTTGATGATACATTATCATCCTATATATTACAAGGTCTATTTGATAATAAAGTTGGATGTCTCTTATCCTAAGTTGGTTAGGATCAGAATTTTTTTTTTAAGATTTATTTATTGATTTATATGCAGTGTTCTGTCTGCATATATGCCTGCAGGCCAGAAGAGGGTGCCAGATCTCATTATATATGGTGAGCTACCATGTGGTTGCTGGGAATTGAACTCAGGACCTCTGGAAGAACAGTCAATGCTCTTAACCTCTGAGCCTTCTCTTCAGTCCTAGAAATATTTTAAATTTCAGGCTTGGTCTTTCTTTTTTTTCTTTGAATATTGAAGTATTTGTTTAGACTTTTTCAGTTAATCATTCCTACTCTTAAAATTCTAAAATGCTTCCTAATCTGAAACCTATTGAGCATCATATCACCACTCAGAAAGTTTCAGATTTCAGAAGAGAAAAGCAACTAGTAGGAAGGGGAGGAATGTAGGAGATGATAACTAGGGAATGAAAACCATCCAAATGTATATGGAATGTGTTTATGAAAAGATCATAATGATATCCATAACTTATATGATGAATATACCTCATAAAGTGTAAAAATATTTGCTGGTTTATGAATTTGTCAGTTACTAAGAAAAGTATTGAAATTTCTAATTTCAGGCCAATCAGATACTACATTTTTAGAAGTGTGAGTGTATCTTACTAAATTACTTGTGACTAGAAGTGCTTTCAACTTCATGGGTTGTTTTGTATTTACATTTTAGAATATTACAAATATCTAATGAGGTATTTTAGATGTAGGACACAAGGTCGAAATACAGACTTCATATATGCTTTATATCCTCATGCATATCTGAATGTAATTTTATACAGTGTCCTATTGTGACTAAGTTTTGACTGACACATCACATGAGGTCAGGTATAGAATATTTCACAAGTGGAGTTCTTTTTGTCTTTATAAATGTTTGGATTTTGAAGCATTTTAGATTTCAGATTGGCATTGCTTAACATATTGTGTATTTTGTTGGCATTGAGGTTTTACTGTTTCTTCATGACAGATATCGGATCCTATTTTCTATGTGTAGTGTCTTTAAGAGTAATGTTAGTCTCATAAAATGAGTTGGGAAATGTTTCCTAGTCCCTGAGGTTCAGTAATATTGAAACTAGACCAATCAATAACCATATAATGGCCTCAAAGTATTCAAATAAATGATGCTTATGCTTCTTACTAAGTAAAAATTTGAAAGTTATTAAACTTTGTGAAGCAGACATGTCCAAAGCTGATAAACTGAAAGCTAACCCTATCTTGTGTTGTGATCTCAAAGGACACTTCTGAGGGACACATAGATAGATAGTAACAAAGCAAAACAGTTTTGTTTTGGGGTTGTAATTGTTATGATGAAACACCATGAACAAAAGCAACTTGGGCAGGAAAGGGTTTATTTGACTTACATTTCTACATCATGGTCCATCTTTGAAGGAAGTCAGGACATCATAGTTCACCATGGAAGACAACCAGAGCAGGTACTCAAACGGGGTAGAAATCTGGAGGCATGAGCTTATGTAGAAGTCATGGAGGTGTGCTGCTTCTTGGCTTGCTACTCATGGCCTGCTCAACTTGCTTGCCTATGTTAGCCCAGGATGCCTACCCAGGGGTGGCACCACCCACAAACGACTGACTTTCCTACATCAATCATTAATTAAGAAAATGCCCTATAGACCTTTTTTTGTGTGACAGAATTTTTCCTGAGGTGATTCAACAAGCATGTCTACTCACCTCAGATAGTGAGCAGACCAAAGTACAGATACCACTGAAGTCCAGTTCACCAAGTCAGAGTCTACTCATGTGATGAACCATGACTTTTATTGGGGTTTATTTTCAGTAGTATGAGGAGTTATTTACAGGAGCAGAAATGACTAAAGACCAAAGCGAACCCCAACAGGGGTGACAGTTCACAAACCTGGGAACCTGTGGCGTTCTGTGCAGTCTACAGGCAGCTCAACAGGTGTGTGTGGGGTGTCCTTTCCAGGTGCCTCAGTTAGCCTTAACTTCTAGGTAGCTCGACTGTTTTCTTCTTCTTTCAGGGAGCTGGTCTCGTCTTAGAGTCCTTGCAGCTTGTCTTGTCTTCAGAGTCTTTGCAGTTGAGCTTCATTCAGTCTGAGGGGACTCTCAACTTTAATTGCTTACTGTGGCAGGAAGGGACCTATTGATTCTGATAAGATTCAGGAAATTCCTGAAGTTATTTTGAGTTGTTTACCTTCCTGCTCTCAAGGATCTTTCTGAAGGTTGGAATGTTTTAATTTCTTTTTTTTTTTTTTTCGAATGTTTTAATTTCTTGAGGAAACTTTTGTACAACATATTCTTACAGCAAGAACTTATGGATGCATTTTCTCAACTCATATTCCATCCTTATAGATAACTATAGCCTGTGCCAAGTTAACATAAAACTAGGTAGCACAAGTCTCATTGCCAATGTGGAGTGAATTTTGTTGTTAAGAGTAGGTCAAACTGGCTGCAGCATTCCCAGAATGAGAACCCTAATTTTGAGCAATAGCATGAACTTTTAAAATTCTGTGAAGACTAAGAGAGGAGATGAAGGAGGAATAAAAAGGTTTGAAGTTAGCAGAGCTTGATTCATGAGGTTCAAACTGTCTTTGTAACATCTCAGTGCAAGGTAAAGTCACGAGTGATAATGTAGAAGCTACAACAAGTTATATAGAACATCTACCTAAGGTAATTGATGGCAGTAACCACATATAACAACAAATTTGTGTTGTATAATATATATCCTTGTATTGGAAGAAGTTGTCATCTAGAACTTTGATAGCTAGAGATGTTAGTTTCCAGATTCAAACTTTCAAAGGGCATGGTTACTCCCTGTTAGGTATGGATGCAGCTGATGACTTTAAGTTGAAGCCAGTGCACATTTATCTTTCCACAATTTGTAGGCTCTTATTGATTAGACTTAGCATTTTTTTCTCTAAATTAAACAGCAAATACTGGACGATAGCGTGTTTTTAACGAAGTGTGACAGCACGTGTTTACAAAATGGATGTAGGTTTTCAGTTGGACCTGACTGCCCCTTAGTTACTGACAATTTTGTTATTGGCTTGAGATAAAACCATAAAAATTCCACTTTTGTTTGAAACCATTTGCCTGAGCACTATAAACTTCTTTTTTCTTATGATCCAAGTTACAGAGATGTCTCCTGCCAGCCTTGGCCACACTTGTAAAGCTTCCAACAAATTCTACTATTTAACTCTTTCCTTGGTCTTACAGCGACTGTGGTCACTTGTCTTTTACTTCATTGTCCGCAGAAAATATTTACTCTTTTGAACAGACTTGAGGCAAACTGTGCAGGAAAATATTTTCCCCCAATATTACTGTTCATTGACCATGTCTATGATCAATAATATGGAAAATAAATGAGCTTGAAGTCTCTAAGTCAAACTTGAGATGGAGCACAGATACAAATGTAAGGGCCAAAGATGTGAAGTTTTTTGAACCAAAACAACAACAACGAATTCAAGGAAAACAGCGTGTGTACTTGCAATAATTACCTTAATATCAGCTTTGGGCTTTGTAGCACAAATTCTAATTGGTATTAATAATAAAGCCCTGAGTCAGCTCTCGGGGGCAAAGCTGAAGGATCAGAGAAGCAGAGCAGTCAGCCAATAGAGAGTTCTTACCTCTACTAATTCTCAGACAGAATGGGCGATACTGTCTCTACGAATTCTCAGGCTGAATCCTCAGACTGCATCTCTCTCTAGGAATCCTTAGACTGCATCCTGTCTTATCCCGCCTTATATTCCTCTCTCTACCCAGCCGTATTTCACTCCTGTCTTTACCTCACTAGTGCTGAGATTAAAGGCCTGTGATCCCAAGTGCTGGAATCACCTTTGTATGAGCTGTATTTCTCTTTTGGACAGAGTCAATCTCATGTAGCCCAGGAAGGCCTTGAACTCACAGAGATCCATCTGCCTCTCTCTTCTGAGTGCTGGGATATGTCATATAAAGGTGTATGTCATCACTGCCCAGCCTCTATGGCTAACTAGTGACTTAGCTCTGTACGCCGATCTTCAGACAAACTTTGTTAGATTACAAACAAAATATCACTACAGGGCTTGCTTCTTAAGATGTCCTTGAGCTGGTTTATGGACTAAGTAAAATTTCTAGTTAAAACCTTTCTCAGAATCCTTACAGATTTCCAGGAAATTACTATGGGAATCCTTACAGATTTCCAGGAAATTACTATGGGAGCCCCACAATTATACTTAACAATAAACTTAAAAAAGGACTTAGTTTTCCTGCTTTAGACCTGATCCCTTCTCAGACTGTATTGAGTAACTTTTTGTCAAAATTATCATAAATTTGAATAAAAGGTCTTTATTTTGATTGGCAGTGTGTTACTTTTGTTTCAGATTCAAGCATCTACTTCTTTGCCAGCATCACAGATTTCTCAGAAGTTAATTCCTTTATTGGAACAGACTTCTGTCCCCGAAGATGGTATGGTGAATTTTCCTTACTGCACATGCATAATTGAAAGAGCTCATATTTGACGGCTGTTCTTTTCAAATGGTTATGTATAGGGGTATAAATATCTTTTTTAAGCAATCAACACATTTACTAAAGTTTATGTCATGTATACATCAGAGACATTCATAAATGAGTCACTCATATAGTAACTAAAGTTGGGTTTATATACCAGTTTGCATTGAACAAAAGAATTCCACACACTACTCAATTTAAAACTGTTTTGATTGTTTTGAGTAGTTGATAAGTAGAATCTTACATGTAGTATTTTGATACTATGGTTAATTACTGGTAACAAAAAATTACATTAAATGAAGCTGTAGTTAAAAGGGTGCTTTATTAACGTTACTGAACCTGGCTTCTGTTGCTGATATTACAGAGTTGTCAGCTGAGTTCTGTTACACTGTCTAGCTACAGGGAACACGGTAGTGTTTTGCTTCAGTATTCGTAATTTACACAGTCATTGTTTTCTGCTATAAATGTTTCTTATCCAACTCTAAATAGTAATGATTTTTTAAAGTTGATTTTACTTTTTTTTGAATCAGGAGAGATAGCTCAATGGTTAACAGTTCATGATGTGCTTGCATAGGATCATGACTCAGTTCCCAGCACACACACTGGGCAGCTCACTACTGTCTTTTTTTTCCCCTCAAGAAAATCAGTTGCCCTCTTTGATCTCCATGGGCACCTGCATTCACATACCTGCACACAGATACACACCTGTACACATAATTAAAAATAAAAAATGAATCTTAAAAAATTGATTTTATGCCAAAGATTAAATATTTTATATCCATATATTTTGTCCTTTGCAATGTTATTTATTCAAAAAGTAATTTCTGTATTCTTTTCTCTAGCTTTTGTGTTCAACTTTTAATATAGACCCATAGTATTTTAATGCTTACATTTATTTCAGAAAATTATAAAAATAGATTACTTGTGTTGTTGACTTAAACTAAACATTCTTTGAAATTTAGATTCAGAGGAAGAATTTTTTGATGCACCATGTAGTCCCTTGGAAGATTATTCTCAAATCCTATCTAGAGTTAGAAGTACTCGACCCAAAAAATCACAAAAGAAAGAGTCTTCAGTGAATTTAATTCAACTTAGGATGCGATTTGAAGTAGCAGAGGTATGTACTATGATTACATAAATGTGAGTTATGTGAGTTGTCATTTATACTTTATGAAGTTTACTTACATAGTTTTATTACCAATAGATACTGGTCAAGGTATATAGAGATGGTGTGTGGTTTTGTAATTTTTTAAAAAGAAAATAAAATATCTTTTTTTTAATTATACATCAATACAGGTCCCCACTCCCTCCCCTCTTCCCATTCCCTCCACTTACTCCCTTACCCCAACTCCCCAATCCACTTCTCAGAGAGGGTAAGGCACATTGCTTTAGGGAAGGTCCAAGGCCCTCCCTATTATATCTAGGCTGAGCAAGATATCCATCCAAAGAGAATGGGCTCCTGAAAAGCCAGTACAAACAGTAGGGATAAACCTTGGTGCCACTACAAGTGGCCCCTCAGTGTGCCCCAGCCATACAACTGTCAACCACATTTAGAGGGACTAGTTTGGTCCTATGCTTGTTCCTTCCCAGTTCGGCTGGTGTTGGTGAGCTCCCGTTAGTTCAGGAGACCATTTCAGTGGGTGTCCCGATCATGGTCTTGACTTCTTTGCTCATATTCTTATTTCTCCTACTCTTCAACTGGACTTTGGGAGCACAGTACAGTGTTGCAATGTGGGTCTCTCGCCTCTGTTTCCATCCTTTGCTGGATGAAGTTTCTATGGTGCTATTTAAGATATTCATCAGTCTGACTACAGGGCAAGGCCAGTATGGATGCTCTTTCCTCTATTCCTTAGGGTCTTAACTGGGTCATCCTTGTGGATTCCTGGGCATTTCCCTAGTGCCAGATTTCTTGCTAACCTTATAACGACTCCCTCAATCATGATATCTCTTTCCTTGCTCTCATCTCTGTCCTTCCATTTCAGCTATCCCGTTCCCTCAAGTTCTCCTCGCCCTTCCTCTTATCCCTCCTCTTACCCTTCCACCCTCCTTTCTCCCCCAACTCCAATGTTCCCAATTTGGCCTGGAGGGATGGGTCAGCCTTTAAAGGCTAGGCTCACAACCAAAAGTATGGTTTTCATATTTTTTAAAGAATATCTTTCTAAGAATTAGTGTTTAAGTGGTATATTGAGGACAGTTTTTTTAAAACATATTTTTTGGTGATGATTATACAATGTAAGTATGCATTGATTGTAGGGGTAATATAAAATCAATATTAAGTTTCAATTTTTAATGTACTACATATGTATCTTTATGTTGTTATCACATAGGTGAACTATGTGTTTTGCCTTTCTTGCAGGTTTTAATTCAGTTTTATCACCTTGTGGGAGACTGTGAACTACCCGTGCTAGAAATGGGTGTTTTAGGATTGGGTACTGAAGTTGAGATTAGAACATTTGATTTGAAAGCAAATGCCTTTTTGAAAGAGTTCTGGTTAAAATGTCCAGAATACTTAGGTAAGACTATTAAAAGATATATAAATTACTTTCATAATTTGATTACCTGTTATAGAATTTTCTGTTCCTTAGACTTTGAATCAATATTTTGAAATAGTATGAAAAAGAAGAAACTATTACATTTAAATTTATATTCTATTTTCTTTCTTTAATATATTTTTAATTAAAATATAATTATATCACTTACCTTTTTCTTTCTCCTCCAACACCTCCCACACATCCTCCATTCTCAAATCAACAGTATCTTCCTTTGTTTTCATATGTGTATGTATACAAATACATAAATATAATCTGCTGAGTCTGTTTTTGTTGTATGTTTATGGATGACTTCAGGGCTGACCGTTCTGTATTGAATAATCAGGTTGGGGGATCATCCCTGGGCAAGGCTAATCTTCCTCTCTCAGTAGTTATTAGTTGTCTATAGTTTCTTGTCCAGGGTTGGAACCCTGTGAAATTTTCCCTATTCCACATTAGCATGTCTATTGATACTGCTGTTGTTCTGGTCCTGTTTATGGAGCTGTTTCTAGAGGAGACTGTTTCACAGCAGACTTCCTGGCTCCTATAATCTTCCACTCCCTCTTCTGTAATGTTCCCAGAGCTATAGATGTAGGAGCTGTCACATAAATTCATCCATTGATCTCTGTATGGTGATTTTCTGTGATGGTCTTCATTTACTATAAATAAACACTTCTTGCCAGGCAGTGATGGTATACATCTTTGATTCCAACACTTGGGCCAAGGTAGACAGAGCTCTTTAGTTTAAGGTTAGCCTGGTCTTCTGAGATAGTTCCAGGACAGCCAGGACTATACAAAGAAACCTTGTCTCAAAAAACAAAATAAAACAAACGGAAAAAAAGGTGGGGGAGGAGGAAAAAAAAAGAAGCTTCTTTAATGAAGTTTTGTTGTATCAGCACTTAAATTTAGATGGGGCTAAGAACTATAGATGAGAAAGACTATGCAGCATTTGTCTTTCTGGGTCTGGATTATCTCACCCATTACAACCTTTTCTAGGTCTATTCACTTAACTGACACTCCACAATTCACTTATCAACTTCCCCAACAGTATGATATGTTTGTTACAGTTGAACCTATTCACATTATTATCACCCAAAATTCATCGTTTGCATTAGATTTAAACACTTGTGTTAAGCTTTTTATGTGTTTGTCCACTGTATAAAGGCCAGTTCTTATGGTAGTATAATCAGAAGCATGATTTCACTGTGCTGAGTATCTGCTGTTCTCCACTCTCCCATTGTGGTATCTGGCTTAAGATCATTCTGTGTCTTCCATTGTTGTACCCTTTTTTTTGAATACATGATTGGAATAACACAGTGTACATCCTTTTAAGGTTAGCTTCTTTTAGTAATCTATGTTTAAATCTTCTTGTCTTTTCATGGCTTGACAGAGAGTTACTGTTGACCAGTAAATCATAATCCTTTGTGTAGGAACATTATTGTTATCTCTCTAATATATCCATTATTATTTTCTAACCAACTGTCCATAATAGGTGTCCATTATGGTTACCTATCCAATTACTTATAATGGACACCTTGACTTCTTTTATGTTTTGGCAATTTTGAATAACGATGCTATAGTTATAATCTGCTATAATAATGCAGATTTTGGTTTAGACCTATACTGTCTGTTTCTTTGAGTAAATATTAAGGAACTGAAGAGGTGGATTATATGTTAAATACATGACTTGTAAATGAACCACCGAACTCTTCCAGTGTTTATATATTTTTTTATTTTCCTGGTAATAAATAAGAGTACTTACTGTTTTATCCCTGTCAGCATTTTGTTAGTGTCTGGTCTTGAGTCCTTCTCATAGGTATGTGATGGCAGTTTGAATTTCTCTGATGGCATATGATGTGGGGAATCCTTTCATGTGCCAGTTTGTCACAGCTCCTTTGGTGGGTGACATCTTCTAAGTTCTTTGACTCTTTTGAAAATTATCAATCAAATTAAGTAGTTTAACCCAAAAGTAGGTCAGAGGGTTGTGTTTGTATGGTATAACATTGTCTACTTTTTCTCCAGCTCTTGCGAACTTGAATGTGGTAAACTGTGTCACAATTATCTCTTGTTCTCCCAAACTTGAGTGTGGTGCTCTGTGTAACAGTTGTCTCTTGTTCTCCCAAACTTGGGTGTGGTGGATTGCATCACAGTCACCCTTTGGTTGCACTAACTTGAGTGTGGTAGACTGTGTCACAGTTTCTCTTGGTCACACAGACTTGGGTGTGGAGAAATGTATCGCAGTTATCAATTAGTCACACAAAGTTCATTATATAGGTGTTGAATTTTTCTTCTTTTATGTCAAAATTATATTCTGTTCTTTTGCCCCCGAAGTAATTTTCTTTGATTATTGGAAAAAGAAGTAAACCAACCGAATAGTGTTCTCTAGTAATCCAAAAGTAGTAGAGCATTTGTTACTTTTTATGTTTATGCTTATTTTTGTTTCTCAAGGGCAAAGCATAAATAAATCATTGCAAAAAAGCATTATATACCATCCCTACTGTGCCTGTTCCTAAAAGCATTATGTGCCATCACTACTGTGCCTGTTCCTAAAACAGTTTGCTCTTATTTTCTGAGGAGGGAGGGACAGAGTTACTTTATGAAACACGAATGATCTGGTAAACAGCTGTTCAAGAAGCTGGTAAATGTGTAAATGAAGTGTATATCTTCTTAAGGTCGAAAAATGTGGTTAATATCTAAAATAGGGTGCTGGTTCATGTGCTCATAGTTTTAAGTTTGAAGGGCTGCATAGACATTGTGCTATGCTTTCCTCAGCTAGAGCAGTGTAATGAGTTTATAGTTCTTTATCCTAGTCTAGATACTGTTTTTTAACAGCTGTAAGTAATTTGATAATGATAACTTTAAAGGATATACAGATATCTCTTCTCTAGCATTTCTCATAGAATATCTCATTTTGAACAGAATTAGTAATGTACCTAAGTAAACTGGTATATACTACTAAGACTGATTTATATCTAGTATATAGAAAAATGTAACACTTTCTTGATGCATCTTCACAATTAGTATTTTCAGAGGTACTTGCTTTTTTATTTCCAGGCATTGTTATGACTCAGTCCTAGAATTTTTCATGCTCTTTCATTACCACTAAAAGTTATTTTGGTTCTTCTTTAATAGCTTGCTACTTTTTGTTACTTGCTTGTCTATATGTGGGAAGGTTTGATACTTTAGTGTTGAAATACAGAGAAAGGATACATTGTGTGGAGAAAGGACATTTTTTGAGTTGAAAAAACAAAGGGATTTTATTGAGTAGCATCTAAGGAAATCTTTTTCTATCATAATTACTAATGATTTAATTAATCTTAGTATAATTTTCTTACCAAGAAATAATCCTTAAACTATTTTTAGATGAAAACAAGAAACCAATTTATTTGATCACCACCCTGGATAACACAATGGAAGATTTGTTAACGTTGGAATTTGTGAGGGTAAGCAGTTCTGATTCTACCTGATGGGCAGGTAGATTTGCTATTGAAATTTATAATTTAGTGTGCTTAATTCTTACTCTAATGTAACTTGGTGAAGGCCTCTCTTTTAAAGGTCTTTCTATTCTGGCATTATTGTTCTGTAGTCTTGATTCACAAATACTTCATATAGCAAACGAAGTATCTTGTTCTCTCAGAAGAAAGGAACTCTAGGTTGACTTTTTTCCACCAGACTTTTGAAAAACAAACAAATGTTTAGTGTTGATGAAATTTCTTACTGTATGTGGTACAAGAGGATGGATGAACTTACTTCATTTCTACCATTATCTGGTTACCTGCTTTTTAAGTGTCAAGGCCTTCATTCCATTTATATTGATTTATAATCTTTTAAAATTTTGTTCATCTTCTGTATGTACTATGGTCTGTTTATGAGTTATTCTTTGTTATTTGGCATTGTGTGTGTTTTAATAATTACTTTGTAATAAGAATTATGCCAAGAGACTATTACCATATTTAAGACTATTTTTGTTTCCATGATTGGTGGATATTTTTAAAGATTTTTGTTGTGTATTTGTATCAGGTTTTAGGGTATACAAACTCTAAAGAAAATAAAAGCAATTGTGTTATGTGCGTATTAAATGGATTACTATTTAAAAAGGATAAATCGTGACATTTGCAACATTGTCATTCTGCAGGCCTTGATGTTAAGTGAAATAAATAATCTACTCATGGAGAGACATATGCAGGAGGATCTTACTTATATGTAGATTCTAATAAAATTGAACTCATTTGTGGAAAGAAAATGGTGGCTACTGCAAGTTGGGCCTACCGTGAAAGGAAAGAATAAGGAATTGCTGACAAAAGAAATTTGTTGTTCCCGGCCGCTCAGCCCTGAAATAATCACTCAGAAATCATATTATTTGCAATAATATTTGACCAATAGCTTAAGCATGTTTCTGGCTAACTCTCACATCCTAAACTAACCCATCTTCATTAATCTGTGTATCTCCATTAGCCTGTAGCTTACCGGGTAAAAGTTCCAGTGTCTATCTCTGGTGGGGCTACATGGCTTATCTCTGACGCCGCCTCTTCTTCCCAGCATTCAGTTTAGTTTTCCCTACCTAGCTAAGTTCTGCCCTGCTATAGGTCTAAAGTAGTTTCTTTATTCATTAATGGTAATCACAGCACACAGAGGGGAATCCCACATCAATCAGAAAATAGTTTCAGCTAGAGAGGAGAATAGATTTTGAGATCTGTTGGGTAGTATAATAATTATAATCAATAATAATGTATATTTCCAAAGGTAATTTCCAAATATCTTATAGTATTTGATAGGTAAGCTAGTTGAGATGGATATATGTTACCTTTACTTAAGCATTTTATATGCATTCCACGAAAAGTCAGGTAGTAAGCTATAAATATACAATTACGTCATTGTCAAAGGCTGTAAGATACTTGTAAAGACAAGTGTTTGGGAACTTGTAGATTATTATCTCCCAAATTTTGTTTAAAATACAGGAAAAATTAGGAAGAAACATTCAGAGCTCTTGAGGAACAAATGATTGTTCTCTATATATGATACCTTATAATATGTTTTCTCTAGATAATAAGGAAGGTAGCCTGTATTCTTAATTAAAGACTTGCTTTATGCTAGAGAAGCCCATATTTAGCACATTTTGTTTATTATAGTAAAGCAGCTGCCTTGTTCTGATCAAATAGTTGCTTGTTTAAGTAAATATATGTGTATATATATATGTGTGTGTGTGTATGTATATAACATTCTAGCCACCTCATTTATAGATAATTTATGTATAGTATCCAAATCTTGAAAAATTTACAACTGTCATGTAGTTGTAGACATTTCATGTCTTCCTAATATATTCTAATAGATACATTTTCTCTTTGTATAGGTTGAAAAAAATGCACCTAGTTTAAAAAGTACTTATAACAATGTTTTGCAACTTATTAAGGTATGAGTATATAATTGTTTATTTTAAAATTAGAAACTGTATTTCTATTTCTAGATGTCTTACCAGTACTTATTTTATAATTGGAATTATAAGATTTCCCAATGATAAAGCTGAATATTTTAAATCATGTGTTTTATACCACAAAGCATAGGGTATGTTTTTTGTTGCTGTTGTTGGTTTTGTTTGTTTGCTTGTTTTGTGACAGAATTTCTTTGTAGCTTTGGAACCTGATCTGGAACTCGCTCTGTTTACCAAACTGGCTTCGATCTTGCAGAGATCTGCCTGCCTCTGCCTCCTGAGTGCTGGGATTAAAGCTGTGCATGACCACACACACACACACACACACACACACACACACACGCATGTATATATATATATATATATAAATTTATTATATAAACAGTGTTCTATCTTCATGCATGCCAGAAGAGGGCATCAGATTTCATTATAGATGATAGTGAGGCACTATCTGGTTGCTTGGAGTTGAACTCAGGACCTCTGGAAAAGCAGACATTACCCCTTTGTTTTTTTGTTTGTTTTGTTAGTTTTTCAGTTTTTTAAGATAGGATTTCTCTGTAGCTTTGGAGCCTGTCCTAGAACTAGCTCTTGTAGACCAGGCTGGCCTTGAATTTACAAAGATCTGCCTGCCTCTTCCTCCCAAGTGCTGGGATTAAAGGCATGTGCCATCACCGCCCAGAAAAACAGATAGTACTCTTAACCTTTGAGCCATCTCTCCAGCCCAGCATAGTGTATTTTAAAGACCATCGAGTCAGATGGTTTTTTGACTTAGTACTAAAATCAGTTTTGTTTCATAGGTCAATTTTTCCTCTTTGGATATTCATTTACACACTGAAGCACTTCTCAATACAATGAATTATCTTAATAATACCCTTCCGCAATTAGGGGAACAATCTGCCCCAGTGCCTGTTGCAGAGACTGAAGACAAAGGAGATCTCATTAAAATGCTTGGTATGTTTGTTAAAATTTAAGCTTTTGAGTTTTTTGATGTTGTTGTTGTTGTTGGGGGTGGTTGTTTTGTTCTTTGTTTCTTTTGTTCACCAATTGGAATAGTAATTTTAGGCTCTGGTGTTGCTTTTTATTAGACAAACACCTAAAATGATTCATCATATTTCATACTAATCTTAGAGATTAGTGATAAAGGAAAATGATTACTGCTAAAGAAAAGAGTTTATGTTGTAATATATTTGAGTTGTGAATTAGACAAGAAATACTTGATCTAGATTGAAGTTTATGTGACATTATTTTAGATTAGAAAAATGTAAATGACATTTGAGTATTATGGTTGTTTTTAATCAGAGTACAAGTTATGATTTGAGTTACTTTAAATCTAAAACTTCTTGAGCATAATGGTAATACTCAAAAAGCCTTTGATTTTGCAGCATTTTGAAATTTTGAATTAGAGATGCCATTAATTAATGATCAGTTACCATTAAAAACTATGGGTATTTGCTTTCTATAATGACCGTTTTCTCAAAGATTCATAGTTATTGGTTTAATTTCTTAGTTTCAAATGAGTGGTTACCTCTAAGAGCAGTCTTTGGACTATTTGTTTTTGTATTCATTAGATAATTCATATTTAGAATTCTCAATCCGGTAGGGAATATTTTTTCTTTGCCTGTAGTTGAACTGTAAATCTGATATTATAATCATTTGTAGTGATACTCTAGCTGCCTGTGTGTACTGTGGTAATTACTCAACCTTTCTTTGTGTTACAATGTGATTTTGTTTTGTAGCTTTAAAGCTACCCACAAATGAAGATACTATTACCTTGCAACTTTTGGCTGAATTGTCTTGTTTACGGATTTTTATTCAAGATCAGAAACAAAAAATTTCTGAAATTAAGATTGAAGGTAATACCATCTCATGGAAACATTTTTAAGATTATCAAATTGAAGACAAAGAAAAGCAATTTTTCATTGTTCTATTTTCTTAGGGCTTGATTCTGAGATGATTATGAAGCCATTAGTCACTGAAATAAATGCAAAACTAAGGAATATAATTGTGTTAGATTCTGATAAAATGGCTGTATACAAAAAGGTGAGATTTTGGGTTTTTTAGTTATTTTTATTTCATGTGCATTTGTGTTTTGTGCATTTATGTCTATGTGAAGGTGTGAGATCCTCTGGAACTCGAGTTATAGACAGTTGTGAGCTACCATGTGGGTGCTGGAAATTAACCCAGGTCCTCTGGAAGAGCAAGTGCTCTTAACCACTAAGCCATCTCTCCAGCTCTGAGATTTTGTTTGTATTAAGTACCAGTATATCATTAAATATGTAATGTTCATATCAATTAAATAGAATTATCATGTATTAGCAGTGTCTTATGCATAATGGGTTTTAGAGTCAAGCCCAATTGCTTTATTAGCTTTGATAATATTTGTAACCCTTTCAGTTATCTAATCTAGTCTTTTATTTATAAAATGAAGATTGTGATTTTTCCTAAGTCAATAATTCTCCTGGAACAATAATATTTTTGAGTGGTTAGAGGAGGGGTGTTGCTAATAATGTTTCTTTTAAGAACACTGACAAATAAAAGTTTTCTATTCTTTCAATATCCCTAACTGCCTATTTCAGATAGTGGTATTAGAAGGTGTGATGTATTTCAAGTATACTGTCATGAAATGAGAAAATCCTTTGAAATTGATATGCATGGCTAGATATTTTGTTAGTAATTCTCAGATAATAAGGAATTTAAGTAGAATGGTGAATTGAAAGACATGATGACAAAATACTAAAGTGTGTAAGATTGGGAAACCTGAAGGACTTTTGGGTCAAGAAGTGAGCATTTAGAGTGTGATTAAAAAAAAGAAAACTTTGTACATGACTGGTCCTAGTCTGTTATCATCAGTATTATTAAATTTTTTAATGTATCTGTATGAATGTTTTACTTGCATATATGTATATATACTACATGCATATATTAATAATTTGTCATATGCATAATAGGGTTTGTACTGCATGTGTGTCTTGTGCTCACAGAGGCCACAGGAAGGTGATGAATCCCCTGGAGATGGAAGTTACAGATAGTTATGAGCTGCCATGTGGGTGCTGGGAACTGAACCCAGGTCCTCTGGAACAGCAGTAAGTGCTCTTAACTGCTGAGCCCTATCTCCAGTTCTGTCATCATTACTGATAGAGTCATCAAAATCTTTATGTAAGAAACAAAAATTATACATATATTTATATATATATCAATAAAGAGTGATTTAGCACAAAAGTCATCAAATATGCATGACTTATAGAAATAAAGATTACAATTTTTAATAATACTGATGGCAGTTTCCAAAGCTGTTATTTGCTCCTCTGTCACTGTTACTTTAAGATTCATAGTATGTATTGGACAATGAAGGATAGGGCATACATTTTTATTTTTCTAGAAAATGATGTTCACAGAAATAAAATTTTCTACTAAAAGCTATACAGATAGTAACAGAAGTGGATTATAACCCCAAACATTGATTCCTTTTCTTTCTGTATTTTATTTATAAACTCTGGCCAAATTAAAACATAGCTCAAAAGAGGTACAGATTGAAAAGTCTCTTTGTCCTCTTATCTTGCTCCTCTATCATTTTCCTTGGATTCCAGTGTAGCTAGTTTCTTAAATCAACTATTCCATTGACTAACCAGAGCCACATAAATTTATTTGCTGTGTATTAAAATGTTGCAGTCATTATGCTGTGATGTACACACACCATTGTCCTCTTTTGGGTGTTATTGATAAATTAAACTTATTACGGTTACAGATTGTAACTGTCAGACCAAGTCATTGTGTAGTAGAGCACTATTCTCCATTCACAAGTTTATATAATTATTGAAGACAAAAATCATCTTGCTAATATGATATTTTTCTGAAATAATACAGCAAGTTGTCAGTTTCTTCTTTTTATATAAAGCCATCTTGATAATTCAGGTTTTTCTTCTTGTTAATTCTGGGTGACAAGTATAAGCAGTTTCAATTAATTTTCTATATTTCTAGATTTGTTATCAGGATAATTATGACTTCATAAAATTAGTTGAAAATGTTTGTTTTCTATTAGATAACAGTCTTCCCTTGCTCACACTAGGCGGCTCCCCTGGTAGTCTCTCCCTTAATCCTGACTATTAAAAAGATCTTGCTGTGACTGTAAGAAAACTTCAGCCTTATACTAAAGGCAACTTTGATTTACAGCTCTCCCCATGGCTAATTTCTGCCTAACTTCTGGTCCTTTGGGCAGGTCACATAGAATGTGTACCCTGTTAAATTTCACTGAAAGTCATTGTTTCCGTATGTGCTCAGGAATTGATGCCTCTTTTCCTTCAAGGACCCCGCCTTGCCATTCAGCACAGCTCTCTCTGTAAATGAAACTCTTCTTTGGGCTTTGAAGGCTATTCCCTCCTGCTTCTGGGCCCCATCGTGGTTGCCCATGATTGTCATACTCCATCTCTTTCTGAATAAAGGTCTTCTGAAGAATAATTCGTGCCAGCTACTTCCTACCAGAAATTTCTGTGAAATGTGTGTTATTTCATTCTTAAATGTTTGGTATGTGTCAACAAATACTATGTATGGTTAAGCCTAGCACTTAATTTTACTTTGTTATCTACATGATAATCAATTGCTTATTGATAATTATTATTTTAATTTAAATAATTATTATAAGTCACATTCAGATCTGAATCTTATTTTCAGCTTTAGGGTTAAAAAACTGAAGCAAATAAAGGTTTACCTGTTGAGGTCATTCAGCTGGTAGAGTTTCATCTGGTAGCCTGGATATGAGTTCCAGGAATTCTGGGCCTTTATTTAAATTTTGCCTGTCTTTTGTTGTAGTTAATTTTTCTGTTACTATGATAAACTATTCTGTAAAAAAATAATTGGGGAAGATAGAGTTAATTTCATCTAACAACTTGAAGATTGCAATCCATCCAGTTGTGGAGGTGACATTTCATGATACCTATGTAGAAGTCTTAGGAAAACTTCCTTTCACTTCACAATGTGGGTTCTGAGGATCAAATTCAGTTAATCAGATTTACTGGCAGGTACCTTACCTGTTGACCCATCTCCCAGGCCTTGTCCTAGGCATTTTTAACCAATGATTTTTTAAACAATTTTAAGTATTTATTTAAATATCACATAGTACTTCATTAAATTATGTACAATTTTGTATTTTATATATAATTGAAATTAAATTTTAAAATAAATATGTAAAAATTAGTCTATTAATTTTAACACTTACTAGGTACATAACTAGTATCCAGCATTGTTTCCATCCATCACTTGCTATATATCAGTGAATAAAACAAATATAAATTCCTACTTATTAGTCATCTATAAAGTTTATGCCTGAAACTCATGCAATTGTTACAAAAAATAAAAATAATTCATAATTTTTTTCATTTAAAATTTTGACAATTTCATCTAGGTATACAGTATAATATTATGAAATTCATTCCATATCATTCCTTTTTATTTTTTTCTTTTCTTTTTTTAAAATTTATTTATTTATTAAAAATTTCCACCTCCTCCCCACCTCCCTTTTCCCTCCCCCTCCCCATCTTCCCCTCCCTCTGTAGTCTTAAGAGCAGTCAGGGTTTCCTTCCCTGTGGGAAGTCCAAGGTCCTCCCCCCTCCATCCAGGTCTATAAAGGTGAGCATCCAAACAAACCAGGCTCTCACAAAGTCAGTCCATGAAGTAGAATAAGAACCCAGTGCCATTGTCCTTGGCTTCTCAGTCAGCCTTCATTGCCAGCTACATTCATAGTGTCCATTTTGATCACATGCTCCATCACTCCCAGTCCAGCTGGCCTTGGTGAGCTCCCATTAGATCAGTCCCACCGTCTCAGTGAGTGAACGCACCCCTCGTGATCCTGACTTCCTTGCTCATGTTCTCCCTCCTTCTGCTCCTCATTTCAACCTTGGGAACTAAGTCCAGTGCTCCAATGTGGGCCTCTGTCTCTATCTCCATCCATCACCAGATGAAGGTTCTATGGTGCTATGCAAGATATTCATCAGTGTGGCTATGGGACAAGACCAGTTCAGGCACCCTCTCCTCTGCTGCCCAAGAAACAATCTGGGGACCTCTCCTTGGACCTGGGAACCCCTCTAGAGACAAGTCTCTTGCAAACCCTAAAACGACTCCCTTAATTAAGATATTTACTTCCCTGCTCCCATATCCACCCTTCCTCCATCCCACCCATCCCACTCCCCAATAAAATTGGCACTTAAAAATAACCATCCCAGAAGACTTTGACAGTCAGTTCTGGCCCATTTAATTTGTGGCCAAGCATTCTTTAGTCTCACAAATGGGGTGTTCTTGAGGATCTCCTCCTCCTTGGGGCATCTTGCTCGCTGTGCTTCTTGGCTCCTAATGAAAGACTACTAAATTCAAGCTAAAGAGGACTTCTTGTGGTCTGCTCTAATGAAGGCTTCTTGTTCTTCCCTTAGATAGAGTTTTCTTTGTCCTTATCTCTAAGATTTTCTATCTTTACCCGGGCCTGAGGTCAGCAAAGTTTATTGACTCTCTTTTTGGTCAGAGAATAATTGTGGTAATGTTTTAGGCCTTTTTAGAAAGACACTTACTTGTTTTTGTGATGGATGTTTTCTTATGTCTTTCTACCTGTGCACCATGTCCATGCCTGCTGCCCAGGGAGGCCAGAAGAGGTTGGATCCTGTGGAACTGGAGATAGAAACAGTTTTGAGCTATCCTGTGGGTACCAGCAATTGAGCCCCAGTTATGTAGAAGAGTTGTAAGTGCTGATAACTACTGAGCTATCTCTCCAGCCCAGTGTTTTTGGCTTTGTATGGAATGGAAATGTTTGCATTTTTCCAAAACCAATAGCAAGTACAACCCTAATTTCAGGCTTAGTTCTTTTCTTATGCACTCTCAAAAGAGGATCCTAGGGACTTTGTCTCCCACACTGGTGTTTAGTCAGCCTTTATTTTTTTTAGCTGAATTGTTCTTTTATAACTTACATGGTATTTGGCAACCCTGCCTCTTGTAATCTTCTCTCCTTGCAGATTTTTCTCCTGATTTTTCTTAGATGATGTACATTTTTGTTGTCTTCTTGTTATTCCATATTTCTAGTAATATCAAGAAAAATTATAATAGTTCATTGGCTGTTTGTTAATTTTAGGGTTTGAAATGGTTCTTTCTCTATCTTCGTGCATCACATCCAGACACCTACACTCCCTTTCTTCTATTTTTGTACTACTTCAGCCTTCAAAAATCTCTCACTTTTGCTTTTTGAGAAACTGAGAATGATTTACTTGGTGGTTTTTCAACCTTCTGTTCTTCTAGGATTTAAGAGTTGAGAAAACTGTAAATTTAAGTTAATACTCTTCCAAATTTTTTTAAAGAAATTAATTTCTTGTCTCTTATACCTTTAACTGGTAGTTATGGAAGTAGAAATTTAACCACCCCGGCAATTTTTTATTAGTAATTAAAATGATTCTTCAACAACCAATGAAGAACGGAACGTTTATAATTGAGACAGTGCATTAAAGAATATGAAAAAATGTTTCAAAGTCCTCAGACCTAACGAAACGAAACACTGAGTTGAGGTAAATTATGTAGGTGGTGTGTTTTAGCCATGACAATTACTAAAGACATATGATGGCTGCTATTGCCAGACAGAAAATCCAAGTGCATAACTAAAAACATAAAATATGGTCAAGGTATGACACTTTATGACACTCAAAGACAACAGCAAAGAACAGGTTAGGTTACAAGTTCTAATAAAGCATTTGTAATTGCTACCTCATTTGTAGTGACTCAAGTACCTGGAAGATTTTCCAAATGGTGCAATATTATTATTATTTTACTTCATTTTACTTTGGTCTTAGGGTACATTACTTCAAAAATTGACTGTAATATTTTGGATTCTTCTCATCAAGGCTGTTTATATTACTGGAAAAGAAGTTTTCAGCTTCAAAATGATTTCTTACATGAATGCAACTGCTGGCTCTGCATACACAGATATGGATGTGGTTGATGTTCAAGTTAATTTAACTGTTGGTTGCATTGAAGTCGTGTTTGTCACAAAATTCCTATATTCTATATTGGTAAGTATTTAGCTCTTCTTCCTTGTCTCCCCTCCACCACCAGTTTTCCTTTTTTGCTCTTCATAGTAATTGTATTCCCCTACCCTTCTTCCTCTTGGCCTAGTCTCTTCTTTCCTGGCTTTTGAAGTTACTTGTGTTTTAGTAGTCAAATCTAAAGATTCAAGATAGGATTCACAAATAAGAGAGAACATGGAGTGTCTTTCTGGGTCTGGGTTCCTTCATTCAATATAATATTTTCTAGTGCCACCCATTTGATTGTGAATTTCATTGTTTTTACAATTGATTAGAATTCTGTTTTGTATATTTACCTTGTTAACAGAGTGGCAGTGAACATGTAGAAGGATTTGGAGACCCCTCTTTTTCCCTTTTTTTATATGTACCTTGCTATTCCCCTATTTCTCCCCCTACTCATACAGTGGTACTATCCTGCTTTCCTAGCTTCTGCAGGATGTGCTTTACTTTCCTAGTTTTTTACCACGAATATTAAAAACCCAGAGACAGACATTGGGGTTCAAGCTGAAGATCAGAAAAGCAAAGCAGCCAACTAGAGAGTCCTAACTCTACCAAGGCTCAGACAAACAAAGGGGCAATCTGGCCCTCAGCATGACTGTAGATTGCAATGCTCTCATAGTTTCTCCAGGATATGTACTCACATATGAAGATTTGGAGCTAGGAGCCTCAGAGGATAGAAATCGTGCGACATTTGTCTTTGTGAGTCTAGGTTACTTCACTTAATGTGTGTGGGTTTTTTTTTTTCTGATTCTTTCAACTTACCTGTAAATTTCATGATTCCATTTTTCTTTACAGCTGAATAGTATTCCACAGTGTATATGGACCACATTTTTAATACCCATTCAACAGTTGAAGGACATTTAGGCTGTTTTCACTTAGTAGCTATTCTCAGTTGCTTGTTTCCTTTGCTATATAATTTTTAGTTTGTTGAGGCCCCGGTTCTCAGTTTTTGGCCTTTTTTCCTGATCATTTCTTACCCATGAGAGTCCTGGTGACTGACTTGGGTTTTCACATAGGTAGCAGGAACTTATACACTACATAGTGAACCATTTCACCAGTCCTGAGATTCTTAAATACTTTATAAATTTTTAAATCCATACTGTAAATTGTAAGACGTGCTTAGGTCTTAGAGGAAGTGTACTATAAAGAAACAATACTGGCCAGGCGGTGGTGGTGCACACCTTTAATCCCAGTACTCGGGAGGCAGAGGCAGATCTCTGTGAGTTCGAGACCAGCCTGGTCTACAAGAGCTAGTTCCAGGACAGGCCTCAAAGCTACAGGGAAACCCTGTCTTGAAAAAATGTTCAAGTATCCCCTTTTTACTTTGTTTTGATGACTAGATTTTTATTTTATCACTATATATTTGTTGTTCAATTTTTCTGGCAGAAAATAATAAGTAAATAATGGGCTTTGTTTTACAAAGTAAAAGTTTTTACTTTATGGAAGTAAAATTAAGTTAATACAATTTATATTAATAATTTGATGTTTATTAAAGGTAATATTATGTCATTCTATTTTCTTTATAGGCTTTTATAGATAATTTTCAAGCAGTTAAAAATGCCTTGGCTGAAGCCACTGCTCAAGCAGCAGGAATGGCTGCGGATGGTGTAATGGAACTGGCTCGAAGGAGTTCTAGGTTCGCATTGGATGTCAACATAAAAGCCCCTATTGTGGTCATCCCTCAGTCTCCAGTGTCTCACAATGTTTTTGTTGCTGATTTTGGCTTAATTACAATGAAAAATACATTTGTTATTGTGACAGAAACCCAGAGTAATCTCCCACCTGTAATTGATTTGATAACAATAAAATTGAGTGAAATGAGACTATACAGGTAAGCTTTTCACAGCCTGTTTATGTAAAATAATAAATCTTTTCTTAATCCTTAGCCTAAAAGACTTGGTATCTTTAGATTCTCTTTATAGTGTGATTTTGTTTTACTATCATTGTACTTTGTGACTTTTTTTCAAAGTATCTTCTAGTTAGATCACTTATAGTCTTTCAAAAACCACCTAGAAATATTTGAAAACTGCTACTTAGATCATGATGAAAACTGTAAACTTAACTGGAGGAGTATATTTTCATGCTTCTATAATTCTTTATAAGGATAAGGTAGAAATGGAGAAGTTTGACATGAAACTTATGTTCACTTTGCAACGCATAGTTTTCCCCAATCTATTCTGTCAGCTTTGAATATTTTTAAGCAACTTTATTGAGAAATAGTTGTATAAAAATATTTGTACTTAATGACAAAAAATTGTTCAGAGTACTCATTCCCATTTTAGTCATTAATGTTTATGATGCTATTTCTCTTATTTCTTATATTTTTGTTATATCCTTTTGCTCATCAGAATCAGTATAAGTGTATTAATTTTACGATTTCAAGTCTTCTGCTTTTTACTTCATTGTTTTTCTTTCATTATGTTCTGTTTACTATTTTTCCAATTGTACACTCTTGGTTCAGTTTTTCTCTTTGTCTAAGTTTCTTAAGATGATAACTAAGATTATTGATTTTGTTTTTAATGTAAGCCAGACTTCTATAAATTTAGTTTCTCCCCAGAATTTTTGGTTCCTTTGGATTATCATGGAGTTTCCTGGCTTTGCCTTTTTTAACCTTCTTGTAGCACAAATAATAAAAACTCAGAGACAGATATTGGGGTTCAACCTGAAGATCAGAGAAGCAAAGCAGCTAAACCACTAGAGAGTTCTTTCTTCTATGAAATCTTTTTTTTTTTTGATTTTTTGACTTTTTTATTCAGAAATTTACACTTCCTCCTCTCCTCCCATTTACACTTCCTCCCCTCCTCCCATTTCCCCTCCTGCTTCCCCACTCACCCTCCTCCCTCTCTCTCCCTCTTTAAGAGAGGGCAGGGAACCCTGCCCTGTGGGAAGTCCAAGGCCCTCCCCTCTACATACAGGTCTGGGAAGTTGTGCATCCAAATAGACTAGGGTTCCAAAAGCCAGTACATGCAGTAGAAACAAGTCCCAGTGCCTTTATCACTGGCTTCTCTTTCAGCTCCCATTGTCAGCCTCATTTAGAGAGTCTGTTTTGATCACATGCTCCTTCAGTCCTGGTCCAGCTGCATTTGGTGAGCTCCCATTAGAACAGGCACTCTGCCTCAGCAGGTGGACCAATCCCTGGAGTCCTGACTTCCTTGCTAGTCTTCTCCCTCCTTCTGCTCTTCAATTGGACCTTGGGAACTCAGTCAGTTACTCTGATGAAGGTCTCTGTCTCTATGAAATCTTCAGACTGAAAAAGAACTAGTTCCTGTCTCATCCCACTTTATATTCCTGTCTAGTGGTGATATTAAAGGCATACATCACCACTGCCTGGCCTCTGTGACTAACTAGTATGGCTGCTGGAATTAAAGGTGCATGCACCCATTGCCTGACCTGTATAGCTGAATAGTGTGGCTGTGTTGCACTGACCTTCAGACAAGCTCTAAACACAAATAATATACCGCTGTACCCTCTTTTTACTGTTTCTCTGTAAGTCATCTGAAAACAGTAGTAAACTGAAGCAAGTCATAGGTTACCAGCATCCACACTTCCCCACCCTCAACGCTCAGGGATTCTTTTCCCCCAACCTTTTTGGAGGAAAGCATTTCTGGCAGGAATGTAAATCTGTTTCATTTTGCTCATCTTTGGTAAGGGGACTGCTTCCATCATTGAATATTAAAGGATTAATTCAACTCTTAATGGATGAAGGGGTAGGATCAAGTATAATCATGAAAAAATTCTTTATAAGGAACCAGTAAATAGTGCATACTTTATTGGATTGTTGTAGTACATATTAATTAGGTTGCTGGAAAAATAACGGAAAATCGTTCAAAAGGAGACAAAACCTGAAGGTTAGGCAAAGAGTTTGGTAACTATGACCGTAATTCACAAAAAGTTACAGTTGGCCTACTTACTTCTTTGTAGATGAATGAAGTCAGAGCTAACCAGTTACAGGAAATATAATAGAGTCAATAGTAACTTACTAAGTGTATGTGGGAGTTTATAGTAGAGGAGATACTAAAATTTTCTTTAGCTGTAATGCTTATAAAACTCTACTTGTTATTAATGCAGTTCACTGAGAGAAGACAGAACCAAAAATAAAAACAGTATACTGACAATACTTGTTTCTGTAATGTACAGAATAGCTTAGAAATAAATATAAGGAGAGATCTAAAAACACCTAGAAGATAATCGATTATATATTCTGATATTAAAATAAAGATCTTGTTTAAATTCTTAAATACGGGAGTTTAGTAATACATGACTAGTCCTTCAGGCTGTTGGACTGAGTGGTAAAAAGATCTTAGACCGCAGCATGGGAAAGCCTGATGAGGAATGCAGACATTTAAGAAATTCGCATAAGAGGAGCCCTCAGAAGTGAGCCAGACAAGATTCGAGTTCTGTATCTGGGACCTGCACATGGTGGAAGGAGAGAATCGACCCACCATGCTATTGTCTGACATTGACGAGGGCCATGACAGTTGTGTCCTCTCCCTCGTAAGGAAACAAACAAAAAAGTATAATTTCAAATGTTAACAAATAGCAAAAGAGAGAAGAGGGAAAGTGAGAGACTGTATTGAGGTTTTGTTATTGTTAAACATGAAGTTGTTTTTCATCTAGTACTTAAATAGCTATGTGTTATTAGACATAGCCAGTAAGTTTCATATCCATTTGTATTATAGCATTTCCCTGTGGGGTTTTAGATATCTTCCCTCACTACCATCAAATGGAGATTACAAGCCTGCATACTTATTTAAATGTTTTACTCCATAAACTGTTTATGAAATGGTTTCCTAACAAGGTATTCTGAGCAATTCCTGTTTACATTCATGTTTTCCTGTTAATGAACTGATAACTAAAATTGAAGTCATCTCTTACTAATGTAATTTAAAAATTTAAAGTCACTAAAATATATGGAATATTACTGGGGAGTAGCCATTATTGTCACATGAGGTCCAAAGGATGCTTCTGTGGTCAATTCCATTGTTTTTTGAAGGAATTCAGTCACCCACTCCTTTGCAGTGTTGCTGTGATAACCATCTGGGAAGGCAAATATGGTGCAGCTTTGTGTGAAGTTGTGTATATTCAGCAGTTTTGATCTACAGAGAAATCTTATATGGTGCAACTTTGTTTCTTATGAAAGTAGTATGGTGTTCTGCTGTATATGAATTGCTATAGAATGTTTTTAGAATGGGGTCTTTTACGTTTGTTTACTGATTTTTGTAGAGGTGATTCTACACAACTTAGTGGTTTTGAGCTTTCACTGTTCATCAATTCTGTTGTAAGTCTTGCTTCTCTATGATATGCAGCAGTTTAAAGAAATTCACCTAGATGTCTAGTGAGATGGAGTAGTTCTTTTTGACATGTAATTTTGTTTTTCTCTTCACACAAACAAATTAAAGATGTTTCTGACAATAAAAAATGATACATTAAAGTTAATCATACGTCTATGTTTTCCTGCCTGAATATATACACAACGGTACAAAACAATGTATATTTTCCAATTAGGTCTCAGTTTATGAATACTGCATACCAGGAAGTGCTTGACCTGCTACTACCTTTGAACCTGGAAGTGATTGTTGAACGAAACTTATCCTGGGAGTGGTACAAGGAAGTTCCTTGTTTAAATGTAAAAGCTCAGCTAAAACCCATGGAGGTAATGTTTTTACGGCTTTTGATTTCTCTTACAGCTGGACAGTATTATTTTAGCAACATAAATTTCCTGGCTAGAATTTAGGAATAATCAGGTTTCTCAGATATTTGAGTGCCTGCTGTGTGCTAACCTTTATGTTAGATTTTAAAGATACAGTTACAGAAAAGCCATGCTGTCTCATATTTAAATACTTAAATCACCAGGGGAGTAGAACTCTGTGGTAGGATTAGGATTAGGAGGTGTGGCATTGTTGGAGGAAGTATGTCCCTGGGGCTGGGTGGGCCTTGAGGTTTCAAAAGCCCTTGCCAGACAAAGTCTCTCTTGACTTATGGATCAGGATGTAGTTCTATGATACTGCCCCAGCAGCATACTCCCCTCCGTGTTTCCCACCTTGGTAATAATGGACTAAACCTCAGAAACTGTAAGCAAGTACTTTAGATTATTTCTTTTGTAACAGTTGCCTTGGTCATGGTGTTTTTTACAGCAATAAGGCACTTCAGTTGATTAGATGAGCCCACTCATATTGTGAAGGATAATTGAGTTTGCTCACTCAATTTGTATTAAACATCAACCTAACCTTAAAAAAAATACTTTTATAGAAACATTTTAAGTAATGTTTGACAAAATATCTAGCTATTTGCTGTAACAAAACCAACAGGATACATAATATTCATCATTTCACTTAAGGTAAGTCTTTGGTGTTGATGTGATGCTATTTTCAAAACAAAGAATTTGAAGTTAACTTGTTGAATTTGTTCTTAATTATTTGTAAATTAAGTGTTTTACTCTTTAGCTATAGCTTCTTATAAAATCAGGATTTAATTCTTTATATAAGGACTTTTGTAAAGAATAAATAAAATACTTCATATAAATCATATTGTAAACTATATTTTCATTGCATAGGTATGTTTATTTTGTATTTAAAATGATGTGCCTCCTAATTAAAATCAAAGTCTAAGTAGTTAGATGACTCCATAAAAATAAAAACTCACTTTAAAACCTTAAAATGACTGAATTACATAGGACGTCCATAACAAATAGTTCATTATAGGAATTGACAGTATCTGTATTTTATAAACTAATAGTTATCACTTGGTCTGCAGAAGACTGAATATTTGGTCAGTAAAAATCTTTACAGCCTTAAAAATTGGTTTATGGAAAAACAATGTGTTCATTTTTATCCTGTGAGTCCAGGAAATTGGACTTTTAAAAAACAAATCTTGGGTACTGGAGAGATGTCTCAGTGTTAAGAGAATTTTACATTTCCAGAGGACCTGGAAATTCCCAGCACCCACGTGGCATATTATAATGGATTATAACTCTAGTTCCAGGAAATCCAAAGCCCTTTTCTGCTCTCTGCTGGAACTAGGCATGTATGTGGTGATACACAGACAAAACAGTCGCATGCATAAAATACTTAAAGCACTTTTCCTTCTTTTAGGTGGATATTTTCTTTTTGTAAATCTTTCTTTGTTTTTAACAGTTCATTCTTAGTCAAGAAGATTTAACAACCATCTTTCAAACACTGTATGGCAATATATGGTATGGACGAGATGTTTATGTCCCATCTTCTGTAAGTAAAGACAGCGAAATCATGACTAGTGGAGCCAACCATGTTTCCAACCATTCAGGAGGTGTGTGTTTAGTCTGTCTTTCTCTCTGGCTTATTTCTCTTCTTTTTCTCTTTGCCCTTTTTGTCCTCCAACTTTTTTCCTCTAGTTCTTGGTAAAGGATATTTAATAATTCTCTGATTAGCTAGTTTCACTTAGGCAATTTTAAATGATCTGTTTTTAGTTATTCTGTTTAGTATGTATGTATGTATGTATGTATGTATTGAATGAAAGTTCTTAGTTCCATTATGACAAAAAATTCTTAGAATTCTTGTTTTTCTTTCCTGCTCTTTTACTTTCTGCATTTTCAGTTTTTCAGCATATATAATAGACAACTTAATATCTATTGATATTTAAGGACTATCAAAATACTAGAAGTGTGACAATAGGATAATCATTATAAATGATGAATTTTTTCTTTTTTAAGTTTTTTTGAGACAGGGTTTCTCTGTGTAGCTTTGGTGTCTGTCCTGGAATTTGCTTTTGTAGACCCGCTGGCCTCAAACTCACAGAGATCAGTCTACCTCTGCTTCCCAAATGCTGGGATTACAGGCACATGGGCCACCACCACCTGGTGTATACGATGAATTTTAACAAAAGTTGGAGAATTAGATGGAGGAAAAATAGTAGAGTGAAACGAGGGAAGAAACTTGTTCCAGTGCTGGTGGCCAGGTGCTGTATGAGTGTGACCAGTTCTAACTGCAGCACCACCACGTGGAGCATGGCTTAGGTTAGGGTGCTAGGGTGACTTTGAGGCTCAAAAATAAAATTATATCCTCGTTTTAACTTTTATAGGTGATCACAAATCTGCCTCTCTTAAAGTAAAATCTGCTAATCCACAGTGCCTGCTTCTCCAAAGCCCTGAAATATTTCACAGCTTTACTACTCAGAATCCTACACAAATTCAATATAATATGAAAGCCCATACTCAGTAGGTAGAATAATCAACCCCATCCCTAATTATTAAATATGAGTGGTTCAAAATGAGGTAAACCAATAGAACAGAGGCATGAAAGTGCCGTTCCTTCAACATGAAAGAAACTGATAAATAAAATATGTATTATGACTAAAAAAGAGGTGACACACTGAAAACAAATAAAAGTAGGCCTTCAAATAAAACAGGTATTTTACAGGAGCTGCTAAGAGGTGAAAGTAGTAGCTAAATGGATCCTGCCAGTACCGTAAACTTTCCCCTTGCAAGGATAGAAAAGAGTTCTTGGAAACTGAAAGTTTAAAGTACATGATTGCTTATTTTTTAAAAATAATAGTACTAACCATAGTGTTAGAATATACGTATTCAAGAATATGACCTGAAATAATTGCCTATAGTATAAAGAGAGAAAACAACAGGGATGGACAGATGAGATAAAAGTAAGATTGATATTTCTGTTCAGAAGTTCCAATCCCAGTAACTAGATTTCAGTGGTAGAAATAACTGAGACAATGGAAGAAAACCTTGAGAAAAGTAACTAGATCCCACCCTCCAGATCTGTGACTCCTGTTCTCAGCCGTAGAGAACACACAGGTCTACGCAGACTGGTTAAACTAAGACACACATGGAAACACAATTTTCTGAAACATTAGGCCTAAAAAAAAAGTAAATTTTTAAAATTTCAGAGAAAAACAGGCTACCTATTATAGACTTCCAAAAGAACCAGAAGGATAATTGATTTTTGTTATTGTTGCTTTTTCAGTAAACCTGTTGAAGTAGGACCGCTGGATTATAAAAGACAATGGAACAGTATTTCAAAATTTAAACAATGTGATTTTGAAGCTAGGATTCTATACATGGTCAAATATTACTCCTCAATGTGAAAACAAAATAATTCTGTTTTAGTAACTTATAGTTGACTCAAATTCTTCCAGATTTTCTCCTAAAGAAATTATTCTAAAAATATATTCCAGCAAGATAAATTAAGAATCGGGAAAGAAGAAACTATGATATCAAAAACTTCAGTAACCCAGGAGTACATTTAATAAGGATCCCAAAATTGTCCATATGATTAGGCTAAAAATTCAGTTTCTTTAAAAAGGAATTCACAGTGCTTTATGGTTTCTATAGTACAGTGTTGAGTTATTACATTCACCTCACTCAGAATGCTTGCAGGGAACTAAGTGGAATAATGTCTCCAGAAAAAGAGACCCAAAGTATTGCTCAGGGATAGAGTGCATTGGTAGTATATACAAGACCCTGGCATTGTTCCCTAATAATGCAAGCGAAAGAGCAGGAAAAAAAGGATAGATTTCATAAATATATATATAGAAAAGCAACTACATATGCACATAATAAATTAAAATAGCTTCTGTTCTTAAATATCTGCTATAATGATGCAGAACTGAAGTACACTACAGTTGACATGATTTGGTATTAAATTATTTAACATATGAGATAAGAGAACGTGTTTGTATTGGAGAGATACCTTAGTGATGTTAGCAGAGACAGTAGTATAATGAGCTGTAACATGAAGAACTGTAAATCACCTTTGAAAACTGTAGTCAGCATATGAAGAACCATGTATGGCAAACCCTTTGTAGATGGCCTTCTGTCAACCAAGGAGCTCTGTTTTCTAGAGCTGCTTTCTTGTCCCTGTCTACTGAAAGTCACTCAAGATTGCAGGGTATGACAGAGAAAGACTGAGTCAATTTGAGTAAATACAAGAATAATTATCACTAATATTCTATAGATCAAGCAGGTGAAGAAAATGATAAAATTCTTAGTTTTTAAGGGTCAACAAGGAGGTCTAGTAGACAGATGCTTACCAAACAAGTCGAGATACCTGATTGACCCAAGTTCAGTGCACAGAAACCAACATGTGCCCATCAACATAAAAATGCCAAAAAAGTAGTTTTTTTTTAAATTGGAAAGTCTAATAGAATTGATAGTCCCTCAAGCAAGACTAGTCAAACGAGAGAGTACAAATTCTTAACATCAGTTTTCAATAGAGTAGTACAAACTACAAGCAGGAGAATGAGGAAATATGAATAACATAGATGAAATGGAATGTCTACTCTTCCAGGGGATCCCAGTTCAATTCCCAGGACCCACATGACAGCTCACAATTCTCTAACTACTGTTGCAGGGAAATCCGTGCCCTCTGCTTGCTTCTGTGTGCACTGCCTGCACATTGTACACAGACATACAGGCACAGCACTCATGTACACAACATTAAAATAGCTCTTTTAAAATTATTTATTTAGTTGATGCATATATATTTCATTTTATATAAGTTTATGTATAAATCAGTTAATATAAATTGCCTTATATAGTGATACTTTTGTCTGGAGTTACATTAAGTGAGAACTAAGAATTATTGTGTTTGTATTATAAGCCCAATTAATATATACATGTGTATATATTTTGATTTAAAATTTAAGTGTAAAAAAATTTTGAATTCCTATTAGAACAAGTTTTAAATTGACATCTAAATTACATTGTTTTGTCTAGGTATCTTTAAAGAACAAATTGAATATAAACTGTTCGATGCTGTATGTGTATGTGTGTATTTGTTTTATACATTATTTAATCCCTAAAATAAACCCATGTTCATGATTCTAATATTATGAAAATACAGTTGTAATCCCCAAATAGGAAACAAGCTCTAAGTGTTTGATTCTTTCTCTCCACTTAAGACAGAATGTTACCTTTAAATTTGTTTTGTTTTGTTTTTGCTTTTTGTTTTTGAAACAGGGTGTGTGTGTGTGTGTGTGTGTGTGTGTGTGTGTGTGTGTTTCTGGCTGTTCTAGAACTCATTCTGTAGACCAGACTGGCCTTGAACTCAGATCTACCTTCCTCTGAAGAAAGAATGTTAATCTAGACTTCCATGTTGAATTTTCTAAACCTTTGAACTTTCTTGAATATCATTTTACTGCACTCATGTAATTAATAATTTGGTGTATCTCGTGTGTGCTTCAGTTATCTGCTCTTCTAATGGTTTCCTTTCATTCTGTGGCAGGTACCATGGTGACAGCTGCTGTGGTGGAGGTCCACCCCCAGGCCTCTCAGGTTAACACGACTCTGAACGTTAGTTTCAGGACTGATTACCTCACCATGGCACTTTACAGTCCAGGGCCTGAAGAGGTACGCTGAAGAAGACAACCTATGTCTAGATTTAAAAGAAATTATGTAAATAGAGCATATATCACTATTTATTAAATAATAGTTTTACTATTTTGTGTATATTTTATAGTGTATGTTCTTTTGAAAAAAGGTTGGTATTTTCAGTAATTATTTCATACATTTTCATTTTTCAGTGACATGTTTCATAAAGCAAAAAATATGAAAAACAAAATTTGAAAGTAGTACCTTTTTTTTTTACCTTTTCTTTAGATAGCCCTTTGAAAATTGAGAATTTGGGGCTTACAGTGTTGAACAATAAAGTTTGTTTAGCATACAGAAGACCATACATAGGGTTAGTTTAGCATCCAGAAAATAAACAGAGTAGGGCCAGGTGTGGTGGCACACTCTTTAATCTCTGCTCTTGGGAGGGAGAAGCAGGCAGGCCTGTGAGAGTTCGAGGGTAGCATGAACTGTAAAGGAGGTTACAGGACAGCCAGGGCTTTGCAGGTGGTCCCCCCTCAGCAACCAAAAAAATAAATACATAAAAATTAACAAGAGAAATAAAATAGTGGATCTGATATTTCATAAAAGCCAATGTCATGACTTGTACATAGTTATAGCACAAAGTGTATGTTAATCCTGTGTTTCTGTGTTACTTTGATGTGAATTTCTTTTTCACAGGCCTTCTTTACAGATGTTCGTGATCCTTCTCTGAAACTTGCTGAATTTAAATTGGAGAATATTATAAGTAGTTTAAAACTGTATACAGATGGCTCTACATTCTCTTCATTCTCATTAAAAAACTGTATTTTAGATGATAAAAGGCCTCATGTCATGAAAGCCACGCCTAGGTATGTATTATCATAATTTTGAGCTATCGAGGAAAGATTCTTCATTCTTATAGAACTTATACTCAAAATTACCTTTATGTGTATTCATGAGGGGTCTTGAGAACTTCAGTACATCATGGTATTTGTTCATGTTTGAAATGTTGATGAATTTATTAAATACATAGAATTAACTAGTGCAGCTAGATGGAAAATGTATGAAATCAAGAAAATATAAACTGATATACAGAACTCTTATAATTTCTCAAATAAAGATTTTCCCCTATTGTGAAAAGTTATATACCTGAAGTTTTATAAGTTCATTATTCTTCAAAAGACATGCTCACAGAATATTTGTTTGCTGTCAGTAAAAGGATAGACGGGTCTTTAAGCTTTATTGATATGTTTGGTTATTTTAAATTATCCATACATGCGCATTGTCTTTGTTTTTCAGAATGATAGGACTGACCCTTGGATTTGACAAAAAGGACATGGTAGACGTAAAGTACAGAAGAGTCAGAGACACTTTTGTGACTGACGCAGTTGTGCAAGAGATGTATGTTTGTGCAAGTGTGGAGTTTCTGATGACTGTTGCACATGTCTTTTTTGATGCCTACATGACTACTATGGCTTCAGAAACCAGTGTTCAAACATGGACTACTAAAGAAGGTTAGTTACCACATAAAAATATTAATGTCTTATTACTGCAGCTATAGTTACCTCAATTAGTCTTCTCAGTGTTTAGAGTAAACGCATTAATAAATTAAAAGTCTATATGTATGTATGTAAATAATAAATAAAAATTAATAATAAAATAAGTAAATTATAACTTTTTGGTTTTTTGTTTGTTTTGTTTTGTTTTCCGAGACAGGATTTCTCTGTGGGGCCTTGGCTGTCCTGGAACTCTGTCTCTAGAGACCAGGCTGGCCTCAAACTCAGAGATTCAGGTGGCTCTGCTATTGGGGTACTAGGATTAAAGGCTTGTACCACCACTGCCTGGTTGCAGTTTGTAGTGTTTTGAATTTGTATTTTCAAGAAAGGGTCTCAAGTGGTTCTTGCTGTCCTTAAACTTACTTCTGAAGCAAACTTTACTGTTTAACACAAACTTACTTCTGAAGCCGAGGAACTCCTAATCCTCCTGCCTCTCTTCTCCTACTGCTGGGGTGAGCAGTCTGTGCCACTCTGCCTGCCTTCGTTGTTTGAAGGTCTGAGTATGAGATTTGCAAGTAGTTGTTCTCTGCAGTCAGTAACAAGCAGGAGAGTTAATGAATCAAGTGTCGTTCTTTAAATTAAATATGGTGTTTGAATTTAAAGTACTCATTAACTTTTATATTCCCTTCTAGGTTTTAGCATATAATTTTTCTGTTTTCTTTTACATATTCAATATGATATAGTTGAAAGAGTGTTGAGAATTCGAAATCGATTTAGATCCAGTTCTACCATTAAACAGTAGAGACTTTGCCCATAGTTTGATTCATATTTCTGTAAGTAAAAGGAGGTTTGATGGCAGAACATGTGCATAGCATATACAAAGGTAGTTCTAGTTCCGTCCCTGCGGTGTGTTTGGGGTGTATTGCCTATCTCAAAAGAAATACATAATAAATGTTTTTTAGTATTTCACTTTGAGTGACGTAACTAGCTATTCCTCTTAACTCTTCATAAGTAATATGTGTAATTAATATGTATACGTTTGTTTCTATTTTAGAACCTGCACAGGATTTAGGGAAGTGGGAAATAAATATTCTAATAAAAAACCCTGAGATTGTTTTTGTGGCTGACATGACAAGGAATGATGCTCCTGCGTTAGTCATTACAACACAGTGTGAAATTTGCTGTAAAGGTGACCCTGAAAGCAATACAGTGACCGCTGCCATTAAAGATCTCCAAGTCAGAGCATGCCCATTTCTTCCAGCCAAGAGAAAGGGCAAAATCACCACTGTGAGTTCATTGTCTAATTCAATTGCAAGTTATTTGGGGGTTACTGTAACTTCTTCAGGAAGTAACTGCCTTCTTCCCTGCAGTCTTGTTCATGACAACAGTAACTTTCTTTCGAATGGAGGGCAGAAGTTAGAGTGCTGTTGCATTTTTCCAGATAGTCTTCATTTAGAGGAACAGTCTAAGGAGTTAGTTTCATCCTTACACTTTTAAATAACATTTTACTTTGTGGTTCTAACTACATCAGTGTGAAGATGCTGTTTGACCTTTAAGTTAAACCTATTACTTCCTTATTTTAAAATTGTGTTTTAGTTTTATTTATTTTAATTTGGGGGGTGGATTTTTTTCCCTCAATAATGTGATTTTACTTATAACTTACTTCATGTTTCAGCCCTTTACTTTTACATACTTGATACTTGAATTTTACTCTCTAATAAATTATTTGGTTTTCCAGTATTGGAAATGAAATTCAAGTACTAGGCACACACTTGTCCACTGACCTGTTTCTCCAGTCTGTGAATTTTATTCTTTTTGTCTTTGAAGATTCTCAGTAATCTGAAATACAATCACAAAATGTTGAGGCTGCTAAAGGAAGATTGAAAGTATAAATATTCCTCTTATGATTAACTAAAAATAGAAACTTACTTTAGGAGGATCTTATCACATAACCCAGGCTGGTCATGATCTCATAGGTTTCCTGCTTTAGCTTCCTGAGTGCTAGAATTACTAAATGTACTACTATACCCAGTTAATTTTAAGTCAACATTTATTAGTAGTTATGATTTAAAATCAATTGTTGTTATAGTTCTCTGTCACCACTAAAAAAATAGAGAAAACAGAAAGGAGTCCATATTCACTTATCTTTAGATTATGACACAATCTTCCATTCACCTTGCCCTTTTGGCATGTATGACCTATATGACCTTGAAGGACTAGGAGTTAGACAGACAGATTTTAGGACGGCAGATAGGTAGAAGGTCCATAACAGATTAGTGGGTGGAAGCCAGTGGTTTTCTACAACGAAAAGGGTTTTTTTATTATTTATAGAATGTTAGTTAAAACACTGGGCATGAAATTCTGGAGGTCTAGAACTAGCCCAAGATAAGGTAATTGCCCTCTGTACTGCAACATTCCAATCCCTTAACAATACTGAAATTCCAATCAAATCATCAGACTCTGCATATACAATTCATTTTCTGGAATTTTCATTCACAAACTTTATATACATTTTTGATAACATTGTTCATGTTGCTCCTTGAGGTTTTGAATGTTCTTACCAGTGTTCCCCGTGCTTAATTAAACATGTCAGATAAAGCTCTACATTCACCTAGTGAACTTTCAGAAAGAATTAAGTGTACTTATTCTTACCAGCAGGACCAGTGAAATACAGTGAGGATGGTGTGCTATTTAGCTGATAGGACTTAATCATTAAAAAATAAATATAGGGAAAATTCTGCACTTGGCTTAGGGGAGTATAGCTTGCAAATGCCTAGGGTCAGGAACCTAGGATATATGTAGATGAGTAATCCAAGCGTATTACCTCTCCTGCAATTCCAGTAAAGACTGTCGCCTTGGGTATGGTTCTGAAATGTCACTGGGACCAGAGGATTTTCCTCTGAACTCATTTGCTTAGCTGTTGGTAGGAGGCTTCAGTTTCTTATCACCCCAGTCTTTCTCTAGACCTGCTTATAGAATAGTTTCTTCTAGGCAGAGTAAATGACGAATAAGATACTTTTATCAATGTGGGGAACTACAGTAACTTTGAGAATTAAAGTAATAGCATTGATTTAATGCACAGATCATTGGATCCGTCTGATAGGTTGCCGTCATACATTGCAAAACCTCCATGTCATTAGTGTGTGCCAGTAGTCTAATGAGATAAAAATGCTGATGGTCCTCAGTGATGGATGTATGACCAGCTTATGTACTCATGCCCAACATTTGTAAATATTTTGCTTACCATTCCTGCAGATCTCAGGAGCTTATTGTGAAGTTCATAGACTAATTTAAATAAATATCAGAATTGGGGTAGGAAGATGAATGCTTCGTTTGCATTTTCATGTTAGTATTATGCTAGTATTTTTGCTTATACTTTATAACAGTACTGTGTTGATTTGATAATAATTTTTATTTTATAGGTTTTACAGCCTTGTGACTTGTTTTATCAGGCTACTCAGATAGGAACAGATCCACAAATGATTGACATATCAGTAAAATCTCTTACACTAAAGGTAAGTTAAAACATAAACACTTAGCTGGGCTGTTGTGTCACGAGCTAGTTTCCAGTACAGGCTCCAAAACTGCAGAGAAACCTGTCTTCAAAACAAAACAAAACAAAACAAAACAAAAACAAACAAAAAACATGAACACTTAAAATTGATTTGTTGGTATGTCTTCTTAGCTGCTCAAGAGGCCAAAGTATAAGAATCATAAGTTCCAGGCCTGCCTGAAGTACAGAGCATTGATGTTTAAGCAAGCCTGGACAATTTAGAGAGACCCTGTCTAACCATCGCCATCACCACCAGAAAAAGGACTGATCTATTGTGTAGCAGTCACAGGACCCAGGATAGACCCTGGTTCACAAAATGTATATATATATTTTTGGAAGTATATATATTAAGTTTATAAGATATTATCGTAAATTTTATGATAAATGCTTTATTTTGACTAAACTTTTATAGTTGATATCTAGTATACAAATAATTGTCATATCTAGTTGGTTTAATAGTAACAAGATTTACAAATATTTTAACAAACGTATCTAAACATTTTTGTTGTAGAAAATTATATCTATTATGCAATAGTGCCTTTCAGTGTTTAGTCTTAATTCTTCATGTTCATTCAGCAAATGTATGTAATCTATTTTTAAATTGTTTTCTCCATTTAGGTTTCACCTGTTATCATAAATACCATAATAACTATTACTTCAGCCCTTTATACAACTAAGGAAACCATCCCAGAAGAAAACACCTCTTCTGTAGCACATTTATGGGACAAGATTGATACTAAGAATCTGAAAATGTGGTTTCTTGAAGAATCCAATGAAACAGAAAAAGTAGTTCCATCAAACGAATTGATGCCAGGAGGAGAGACACTGAACTTGAATATTGATTCTATTTTTATAGTTCTTGAAGCTGGAATTGGTCATAGAACAGTGCCGATGCTGTTGGCAAAGTCACGCTTTTTGGGGGAAAGCCAAAACTGGAGTACTTTAATAAATCTCCACTGTCAGCTTGAGCTGGAAGTAAGCATGTTTATAATTTTTCAGGTTTTATGATGCTTCACATAGAATATTCTGGGATCTTATGTCACTTTTAAGTTGAATTTATTGTAAATAATGATACTAACTTTAAACCTATTAGAAGAAAGCTTACACATTTATGCCCTTGAGTGGTTGCTTATATATATTTATTACTTTAAATTTCAAATTACATATCCATATTTTATATTTCAGCTGATTTTTATGAGCTTCAGAGGTGGTGCATTAGGGTCTAGAGAGACAGCCCTGCAGCTAGAGCGTCTTGCTTTTCCAAAGACCAGAATCTGGTTTCCAGAGTCCATATCAGTTGGCTCACAACTGCCTACAGCTCTGCCCCTACCACTGTCTGGGGTCCTCTTTGCACACAGGGACCCAAATGGCAGACAGTCACAGAAACACAAACATACATATAAATAAAAATGAAATCTTTTTGAAAGTGATTTATCAATAGATAGTTGTTATGATTAAAAATTCTGATTTTTGAAACCCTGTCTAGAGAAAAACCAGAAAAATTTTTAAGAACTAAGATTGAGTTATATTTTTTTCTTTGAAAGGGTAGATTAAATTTATGAATACTGGGTAAGGTCTTTGAGTTTTTGTCTCTACCAAGAATGTACTTGAAGTGTAGAGTGGTTGCTTAGCATGTGTGAGACATTGGACTCTAATCCCAAACCCTCCCAAAATTTTTAAAGAGAAAAAAAGAATCAGAGTAAATATGTTTTATCTCAGAATTTATGAAACTATTTCCATGGATATTTAAGATAAAATTATTTTAAGAAAGAGGCTGGGAATGTAGGTTAGTAGTTGGATGCATACCTAATGTGTGTGTAGTACTAATTTTAATGCCAGCACTTCAGAAACAGAAAAATCATATATAATCATCTCCAATAATTCTTAAAATTATTGTACTTCATAATTTTCCAAAAGCAGTCTAGTAGTCTACCTTTTAAAAGTGAAGCTGAAAAATTAAAAGCTTCTATTTTTACATGAAATGATACAGAATTATGTACTAACACAGTTGTAATGCATTAGTACTACACTGCAGATTTTCAAATTGTGTATTTTGTAGAGGACTTTATCTGGGCTATTTGACAGGCACAGGGCATTCAAACCCCGAAGCTATGTGGATGGTAGGAAAGCTTGCCATGTCACCACCAGCACAGTAGTCGGTGATGCTAGACTGGCAAGTTTTCAAGTGTTAGTAATTTGTGATAGATGAGTGCAGGATTTGCTGCTGGTCCAGGAAAGAGACCAAGGAAAAGTGCATTAGAAGGGGTTGCAGGGTTTGCAGGAAGGCTCATTGGAGATTAGTTCACCACATGCTGTAAAGGGCAAGAACTGACTCATACAAGTATTCTCTCATTGAAATATGTGTATGCACATGTAAATAAATAAATGTCAAAGGGGGTTGTACCAAAATGTGAAGGTAGAATTTGGTCTCTAAGTCAGATGAATAAAGTATGTAAGGAGTATATATAGAAAACTATTGACATGTAGAATAGAAAACTACTGATACGTGGAAGAAATAGCACAGCCAAAATGTATGGTGGTAAGAAGTATCATTTAAAAAGTCATTTTAGATAGTAGAATGCTTTATTTAAAAAATGAAAATTTCTCTTTTTAGATTCACTACTATAATGAAATGTTTGGTGTTTGGGAACCTTTACTGGAACCCTTAGAAATTGATCAGACTGACGATTTTAGACCATGGAATCTTGGAATCAAGGTATATATGTGTGTGTTATTTTCTTAAAGTAGTTTCAGGCTTATAAATTAATTGATGTATAGTTTTTCCATATATCCTTCTGTGTATGTGTATGTGTGTATGTATATATATATATACATATATATATAAAACTTAATTATTAGCATCCTCAATCTGAGTATATTTGAAGTCTGAAAAAGAGTTTAAAAGAAAAAGCTTTCCAAAGTTTTTGAGTGTATATCACACTATACACTTTAACTTATTTATTGTTAATACATGTGTGATTGTTTTGCCTGCATGTGTGTCTGCACCCGTATGCCTGCTTGGTGTCCACAGAGGCTAAAAGAGAACATCAGATCCTTTGGTACTGGAGTCACAAACCATTGTGAACTATTCTGTGGGTGCTGGGAGTCAGATTCAGGTCCTCTGCAAGATAGCAAGTGCTCTTAACCACTGAGCCATGGTTCCAACCCATATAATACCAGAAATGTAATAGACTTCCGTACAGTGAAAGTAAAAATTGTGACCTGTAGACTGAACATCAGAGATCCCATTCTTAACTGTTACCTTAGACTGCGGCAATGTTCTCTTTGGTTATGGTCGATCCCACATTCTTTTGTTCTGTGAATGGACTTCCTTCTCTCCTTCCATCTCTTGCTCCCTCCCTCCTCTTGTTCTTACCTTCCTACTTCCCCCCTCACTCCCGATGCCCTGCTTTCTTCTTCTCTATTTCATCTTCTCTCTATAATCTACTGAAGATTGTATGTTTATTTGCTTAAAATATATTGTGAGTTTATGTAATCCTGAGAATCAGTGCCTTTAAATAGGTGAAATTGTGTTTGTGAGGCATGCTGTTATCTGAATTAATGCATACTTCTTACCTAATGGTGGGCTCCTACTTGTAGACCTGTAGACAGATTTTCAGGGCCCTAAAATAAGATAAAATATTTCTGAGTTCAAGGCCATCGTGGTCTACAGAACGATTTCAAAGACAGCCAGAGCTATACAAGATCTTTTCCTTGAAAAACCAAGGGGAAAAAAAATGTAGGATAAAATAACAAATACATGACTAACTTGGCAAGTCTACCCTATTATATTTAAATGATTTAATTTAACTACTTACGGTATATTAGATGATGGATTTTTATTAACTAATTTTATTGTTAGTTTTTAGATTAGGCTGTACATTGTAACATGAGGGCCGGACTTTTGGGGTTTCTGTCCCGCCTGGTACCCCACAACCGGCAAGCTCCAAAGAAAATCTCACAGAGGACTCCTTAAGATTATAAATTGATTGGCCCATTAGGTCAGGCTTCTTATTAGCTCTTGTAACTTATATTAACCCATTATTCTTATCTATGTTGACCACATGGCTCAGTACCTTTCTTAGCAAGGCAGGTCACATCTTGCCTCTTTGAAGTCTGGACAGGAGTGGGAGGAATGGGCTTCCTCCTTCCTGACAGTCTCCTGTTCTCATTGCCCCACCTCTACTTCCTGTCTGGTTGACCCGCCTATACTTCCTGCCTGGCCAGTTAGCATTTATTTAAAACATGATTGACAGAATACAGACAATTCTTCCGCACCACATCCCCCTCTTTTTTTCTTAAACAAAGGAAGATACCCATAGTCCATTTTTGGGGAATGTGGGTGTAGTATTCCAGACTGGTTAGGGGCGCTGATAATCATATGGGGACTTAAAGAAAATTTATAATTATCATCAAGTCCATTCTGTGAGGCTTGATCATTTCAGGCAGCATCTTGAATCTTTTCTGGATGTAGAACTCAGACATCTGGGCCATCTGTTCCTACCAGAGATTTCTCAAGTGGTCTTTGATCGAACCTGACTTTTCTTAACTAAGAATGAATCCACAGCCTCTCATTTCCTGTGGAAACAAAAAGCAAAGTATCTTCTCCAAAGTAACATACCTTTTGACTTCAGTTTTGAAGTCAAGGTATTTTCAAAATACCTATCTGGGATTAATTCAGCAGCATTTATAAGCAAATATCTTTTAGCAGCTGTTGCTCCTTCCTCAACATTCTAACAATTCAAAGAGAGCATAATAACATATAGTACCAAGATTCTCTGCATATTTTTCATCTTTATGTGGCTTTAACCTCTATTTCTTTTATTTTTACTTTTACTTTTTGAAACAGGTTCTCTGTATATCTTTGTCCTGGAATGACTGTAGACCAGGCTTTTCTTGAACTCACAGAGATCCATCTGTCTCTGACTCCCCAGTGTTGGGAATAAAGGTATGTGCTACCACACCTTGAACTCACAGAGATCTGTCTGTCTCTGCCTCCCCAGTGTTGGGATTAAAAGTGTGTGCTACCACACCTTGAACTCACAGAGATCTGTCTGTCTCTGCCTCTCAGGCATTGGGATTATAGGTGTGTGCTACCACACCTTGAAGTCACAGAGGTCAATCTACCTCTGCCCCTTGAAGTCACAGAGGTCAATCTACCTCTGCCTCCCAAGTTTTGGGATTAAGGGTGTGTACCACCACACCCAACTACTCTCTTTCTTCCTTTTTTAAGAATTTTAACCGTTTTCTTTCTTTTAAGCCTACATATATTTTTAACATACTGTAAACCATTTAGAGGTTTTCTTCCTCTTTGAATCTCTCTTTACAGTATCTCTCTCTCTCTTTTTCTGACCATATGAGTCTTTATGGAGAGGATTAAAGTCGTGTCTTTGATGGCTAGATCCAGCCCATTTCTTAGCTTTCCAGCCTCATGGCGGAGGTACCATCTGTAGCCATTTTTATTGCCGCAACTCTATGACGTTTTAAGGCCCCTGCCAGCAAGCAAGCTGCAGCATTCTGCTCACAGACCACACTCAAGTGCTTCAGGCTGCCTGCCTGAAAGAGTCAGAGTTTGCCCTGGCAGATTGACCAAGAAAGTTGGCATTTTAAAATGGTGCAACTTTTTTCCTGCTACAGCTGGAAACCGAAAAGCATGCGTTCAGCTTTTCATCAACACCGTTTAAGTGTTTTGTGACAGGACCTCTTAAAAGAGCTGCAAGGGTTTGCAGCTAGAGCTGAGTCTTAAATGAGAGCATTTGCTTGCCTCTAGCAAACAGAGCCCATCTGAGAAAATGATGCTATCAATAAGGCATTCTTTACTCTGTTCTTTCCCATGCTTTCCCAGGCTTTCTGTGGATGCAGTTATCCTTGTGGGCGCCGTTCTGTAACATGAGGGGCAGGACTGTTGGGGTTTCTGTCTCGCCTGGTACCCCACACCCGGCAAGTCCCAAAGAAAAATCACACAGAGGACTCCATAAGATTATAAACTGATTGGCCCATTAGGTCAGACTTCTTATTAGCTCTTGTAAATTATATTAACCCATTATTCTTATTTATGTTAGCCGCATGGCTCGGTATCCTTTATGGAGTCCTCTGTGTGGTTTTCTTTGGGTCTTGCTGACTGTGGGGTACCAGACGGGACAGAAACCCCAACAAGCAGGCCCCTTCTTGTTACAGTACAGGGCAGTGAGTTGCTGAATTCTGGAAAGAAGTATGTAGTACACAAATCCCTGCTTCCCAGTATTGTTCTGCCACTTCCATCTAACTTTGTTAGTGCCTAGTTCTCATTCTGCTAACATGACCAGTTCACTATACTACTCTTCTTGACTAATTTGTTGTGAAGTGTATGTGTTTGATTTACCTGTAGATTCCGTATATACTTAGTAATTTTCAAAATTTTTCTTTCTTCCAAATTATCAAAGACGTTAGAATTTATTTTCCTTTAGTATTTCCTCCTCTCGGCTTCGTGACATTACTTGGAATTTCCAAGAAATTTCATTGAACATTATATAGCCCGTGTAATTCATAGCTCTCTACTGCGGCAGTATAACCCATGGAGTTCATAGCTTTCTCTCTGATGGTGTTTGTTTTTACTTTGCAGATAAGATACGTTATACTCCTAAAAGCGAATTCTTTTCTTTTATGTCTAATTTTCGTTTATCATTTTAGATGAAAAAGAAAGCAAAAGAGTCCATCGTTGAGTCAGATAGTGAAGAAGAAAACTACAAAGTACCAGAATATAAAACTGTTATAAGTTTTTATTCTAAAGACCAGTTAAACATTACATTATCCAAGTGTGGCCTTGTGATGTTAAATAATTTAGTCGAGGTAAGAAAAGACAAATATTTGACATGTTGAATATTGAAGTATTTTACATTGACCCTTAAATGAGTAAAGTTGTTGTTGATCTAGTTACTTTTCTCATATACTAGAGTGTTCTCATTTCTTCCAAATTTTGCCTTTTAGGCATTTACTGAAGCTGCTACTGGATCATCAGCTGTCTTCCTAAGGGATCTAGCACCATTTATGATTTTAAATTCTCTTGGACTTACTGTCTCTGTTTCACCAAGTGATTCTTTTAGTGTACTCAATGTTCCTATGGCAAAATCATATGAACTGAAAAATGAAGAGAGTTTAAGTATGGATTATGTACGAACTAAGGACAGTGATCATTTCAATGCAATGACCAGCCTAAGCAGCAAACTCTTCTTCATTATCCTTAGTAAGTGATACATTTCCTTTCTGATACTTTGTGAAGTTGTTTTGTAAAAGCTTTCTCCTTTGTTCTACCTTAACAGCTGTTTTTGTTCTGGTACAATGGGGACTACATTAATTACTGTTCCATTACTGAGAAAAACACTATGACCAATGCAATTTACAGAAGAAAGAGTTTGTTGGGGATTATGGTTCCAGGGGTTTGAGTCTAAGAATGGCAGAGTAGAGGCAACAGGCATGGTGGTTTGAATAGCAAGGGAAGCACTCACACCTTGAACTGCAAGCAAGAAACAGAACAAAATGAGAATGGTGGGAGACTTTGAAACCTCGAAACCAACACCCAGTGATGCACTTTTCCCAAAAGATGGCACCTCCTAATCCTTCCCAAATAGCTCTGCCAAATGGGTACTAAGTATTCAAATGCTAGAGCCTATAGGAGGGTACAATCTCATTTAAGCCAACACGAGAACAGTATTTTTCCTCTCCAGGATGTTGATTTCTTTAGTCACTACATCTTGGTATTCTAATTTCTGACTTTGCTTGTCCAGAGAATGTTATTATTAGAACTTGGAGTGAGGATGAAAGATATTATATCTCACTCAGCTTTTCCATATCAGTGATAGGTGTGTCATATGTTGTAACCATTATATCTATGATTAAATATATATTTTACAAATGTTTTTAGGTGAGTGAATTTTTAAATGAATTAATTGCATATATTTCTCTCTTGTTTTGTTTTGGTTGGTTAGTTGAGTTGTTTGTTTGTTTGTTTGTTTGTTTGTTTGAGACAGGGTTTCTCTGTGTACCCCTGGCTGTCCTGGAACTTGCTCTGTAGACCAGACTGGCTTCAAATTCACTGAGATCTGCCTGCCTCTGCCTCCCAAGTGTTGGGATTAAAGGCATGTGCCACCAAGCCTCGCCTCTCTCTGTTTTTATGTTTGTAATTTTTTTAGATTTATTTTATGTTTACAAATGTTTGCCTTTTTGACTGTATGTGCTTCACTCACATGCTTGTTTGATTTCCCTGGAACTGGGGTTATGGATGATTGTGAATGACCATTTCGGTACTGGTAATTGAATTCAGGTCTTCTGAAAGAGCAATGAGACCTCGTAACTAGTGGACCATCTTTCTAGCCCCTTTCTAATTGTTTTGAATATTATGTCTATTGATGGTGAAAGTCAGTTCTGCTTTTCACAAGTTACTCATTTTTATTGGAGGTAAAAACTGCATATAATTTCTTTGTCATAAAATCTTATTCACGGATATTTCAATCAGATACTGAAGGCAGTAGTTGATGGGAGACTGTCTGAAAATCTAACTAGACTCAGAAGGCTACTAATACATCAGTAGCTATTCTCATCATGAAGTAATGTTTAACAGATTGGTGTTATCAGGACATTGTCTATGATGTGTTCTTATTACTTTATTTACTGTGAGAATTAATTTTAAGACTAGGGAGTCAAATTTATATAAATTAAGTAATTTTACTCCCAATATAGTATGTTCATGTTTTCCGAGTGTATATGAAATTTTCTTTAATGAAATCTAAGTTGTATCTTAAACGTGACATAGAGAGTTAGAAAATTAAAAAGGGAAGTCTATACTCACCTTGGTAGCTCCAGTGGTTATTATGACAGCAAACTACTGATCATTACTCTTGGATTTCATAAGCATTCCTCCCATTACTGTTTGCTTTCTTAATTGTGATGGTTTTAGGTTAAACTCCTCAGTGAAAACAATTTTTCAGCTATGTTTTTGATAAAATGCTTTGGAGGATTAAGGTGAATAATATCCTGTAGTACTGATTATATTCAAAGACTTGTTTTTTCATTTCATACATTTGAAATTATTACATAGTAAATTCTAATTAACTTGAGAACATTTGTATTTGATTTAGCGCCTGTAAACCACTCTGCTGCTGACAAGATTCCGTTAACAAAAGTGGGACGGCGTCTGTACACAGTAAGACACAGAGAGTCTGGAGTTGAAAGATCTATTGTTTGTCAAATTGACACAGTTGAAGGAAGTAAGAAGGTAACAATCCGCTCACCAGTGCAGGTATGAAATAAGGACATTGGTAGAAGCTCTTATGCCTGTGTTTGAAGTAGGCCGGGGATGTAGCTCAGTTTGTAGAGTGCCGGCCTTGGATGTAGGAAGCCCTGAGTTGGTCTCCGGCACCTCATATACTGTATATGGTGGCAACCCTTTTTACTCTTAGAACTCTGGAGGGCAGGGCAGCAGGGATCATTCTGGGCTACTCAGTCAGTTTGATGCCTGCTTGGAATACATTTAAAAAAGAAAAAAAAAATCTATCTCAGAAAAGAGAAATATTCAAGTAAATCATTGCCAAAAGAATACAAAGTGTTGCAGACACACCGCCAGTGTTCAGATTCCCATCAGCACAGCCCCTTTGACATGAGCACTGGAACATTATCATTTCTTAGAGCATTGCTTCGTTTTTAGTAGTTGATAAAAATATGCATCATATTTTGCTTAGTTTTACAGCATGTTTATATTTTTAAATAGTAAAACTCAAGAAAATTAGACTTATTGAGATATACATACTATAAATAGCATATAAAGTTTAGTTTTAACATAATGATACACCTTCATAACCATCAAAGTAGTGAATGATTACTATTCAAAAAACTTCATTGTCTTCCTACTTTCCCTTCCTGTACATCAACTTAGTTCACAATACATAATTTACATAGTCTTAAATTTTATATAGGCATAATAAAGAATATTATGACTTTTTCACTCACCCGAATATGCAGCTGATAAGGTTCCTGAGAAGTAGATCTGGTGTGTGGAGAATACCACATTTTCATTTTGAGCAAGTCTTTGTATATGTAGAAGAGAGGTTTGAGGGTCAAAGTTTTCCATTTTGTTATTCAGTTGCTATAAAACACGATATTTTCTTCTTAGATTGTCCTCACTGGCCTTATATATTAGAGGTGATCTCTCCATTTTTCATTTATTCAACAAAATTTAATTTTAGTATTATATTTTCATAGTTGATTTGTTTCTGGTCAGTTCTATTGTTTACAGTACATTCTTAACTATTTGCACTCATTCAAGACCTAGTAATTGCATACATATTGACTTTATATTAAATACTAAAGTTTTTATTAAAATAACTATTATTTAGTAAATTCATAGTGCAGTGTCATAAATCATGGGATCCCTCCTTATTTTTTCCTAAGTTTTTTATCTATTATAAGTATTTTCCTTTTTAAAAAATAAAATTTATTGTTAATTTTTTGTTTTTGTTTAGCCATTACTGTCATTTAGAAAACAGATTATTATAACATTCATATATAATATTCCATTTAATTAGACCCATGTGTTTGTTCTAGTAGATTTTAGCTATTATATTTAAATAAAAGATTTATTTCATTTATTTTAGTTTATTTCTCTTGCAATATTTTAATCTTTATTGAAAGGCTAGGAACAAAATTGTTAATGTGAGTAATGATCTAGAGTTTCAAACATTAAACAACTATTCTTAGTATAATTCTTTGCCTTAAAATTATTAAACTTCTAGAGCACTATTAGATTTGGTTTGCTTAAATTATGTTTAAAAATTTTGCATTTATATTCCTAAAAGTTCTTGATCTAATGTTTAAATGTGTTTAGGGAAAGTTTGAATTGATCTAAGATATTGGTTGTTACTCTTTCATGTAAATGATTACTTACACTAATTCTGAGTTTCTGGGAAAATTTTCCAGTTGTTTATGAATTTATTTTTTTAATTATTTATAATCCCTTTTTAAACATGTTAAATTTATAATGAGTGTAAGTCACAGACTCTATTTGAAGTAATCCATCTATTTAAAATATTTTTATGTAATTTGTATAATACAATATTTTATTAGTCCTCTGAGAATTATATACAAGGTATCTTGATGACATTCATTCCCCACCGTATCCCCAGTACTTCCCAGATCCACCTTCTTTTCATAACCTCCCTGTGTCTGTTATTTGTTTTTTAGAAGAGACTGTCATACAGCAGATTCCTAAACCTCTTAAAAATCTTTCTGCCCTTTTCTTCAATGTTTTCTGAGCCTTAGGTAGATTTTGTATTATAAATGTATTAGTTGGTACAGTTGGTCTCTGCATTTTGATGAGTTTCAGCTTTCTTTAATGTTCTTTGCTGCAAAAAGAAGTTTTTTGATGGAGGTTGAGGGTTACATGTATCTTCAGATGTAAAGACAAATATTTAAAATGCAGTTAGTGACTATATTGGGTTAATAAAGGGGCAATAATAGTTCACCTTTAGGCTCTATGGTCTCACCAGCCGTTGGTAGTTGGCTAAATTTAAAGTGCCAGGCATGAATTTGTTCCTATTGAAAAAGCCTTAGTCCAATAAGGTGACTGTTGGTGACCCTCAGGATATAAGTGCCACCATTATACCTTTCAGAATATCTTGCCATTATGATCATTGTTGTGATTAAGGTGGGTAGGAATGTTGACTCATTTTTCTCCCTTGGCAACTAACATGACTCTCTCCTATTCTTTGAGAGATAATCTTCAGGAGGACGCTTCCAGTTTAGCTCCAGCTTAATTCTTCTTAATTCTATGTCTAAAGTGTGTGGTGTTTAGCAATAGTGCCTTACTTCTATTTCTGGAAGGGCAATAACAATACCCTGTATTGTTTGAGGAATTGGTCGCTTGGATTTGTCTCACCTAAGACTTAAGATGTTTTCTATGCCTGCCACTGGGATTTTTGTTAGTAGACAATTTTGAAGGGAGCATTGTCTCTCAAAATGGAATGTACTTCAATTTAACTCTTGTGTGTGCGGGGGGGGGGTGTATTGATATGTTTAATTTTTAAAAAATTATTTATTTTTATATGTACATTGGCATTTTGCCTGTAGGTATGTCTGTATGAAGGCATCAGATTTCCTGGAATCTGGAACAGGAGACACAGACAGCAGCAAGCTGCCGTGTGGGTGCAGGGAACCAGATCCAGGCCTTCTGGAAGAACAGCTAGCCCTCCCAACCACTGAGCCATCTTTCGAGCATTTATATATGTAATTTTCAGTTAACATAAAATAATTCCCTATGGCTTTTTAAATGTGTAGTAATATAGAACACCTTGAATCTTTTTTAATAAATGAACCATAACATACTAGACATAAGCAAAAATACTTTAGAAATTATTGCCAAAATAATCCTTATTATTGATAATGATAATTTACTGCATTTATCATGTTTTCAGATGTTTTAGAATATGAATGTTTTGAGTTTAGTAGTCAGGAAAAATAATGTCAAAAGTTATATTTACCCGTGGTTCATTGCCAGATTTTTCTCTGGGCTACCAGCTCTCAAATAACCACATGGAAACTTAATTATGAAACCTTGGCCTTAACTTAAGTTTGTCCCACTAGCTCTAATAACTTAAATTAACCTTTTTATTTTAATTTATGTTCTGTCCCATGGCTGGTAACCTCATCTCTCCATTCTGCCCACACTGTTTCCTCTATCTCTGGCTGGCCACTCAGCCTTCTTCTTCACAGAGTTCACTCTCTGCCTGGAAGTCCTGCCTATACCTCCTATCTAGCTATTGGCCATGCAGCTTTTTTTATTACAGTAATCACAGCAATAAATTTTCACACACTGTACTAGTATCCCAAAACAGTTCCCCCTCTTTCTAAATAAAAAAGAAAGGTTTTTGTTCTCGTAGAGTAAAACTATATAAAATAAGAACAATTATCGAGTATGACTTAAATTTACAATGTCCAGTCAAAGTTTGTATTTGTCAAAGTTGGAGAAATTACTCTATTATATATCCTACTTTGGTGAGTCCAAATTTTTATAGCTAAGCTACTTTCTATCATAACTTGTTTTACTATCATAACACTATCGTTTTTGACCTTAAATCATCATCTTAGATAAACAACTTATCTTTAATGTTTTTCAACCTATAAATTTAATTAACATCTTTTAGGAAAAGTGTATTTCTATCTAGTCTTCAATCCTCATCAGAGACCCAAGAATGATAAAGGATTCCTGAGTAAACAGGAAGTGCACAGCAATCAACTTCTAAAACTATAGAAATGACAAAGACAGCTGGCTGCCTGGACAGTCACTCAAGGTGTCTCTGTAACATTGGGGCATCCATCTTTGACCTATAGTCCTAGAATATCTGACAGACTTTTCTGTGAAGCAGGAAATTTGAAGGCCTGTTTGACCTTGTCTTGGCAAAGTATGGCAGTCGCCTTCTTGTATGTCCTGCTTGTCCAAGCATACTGTCAGCAGTCAAGGAAAGGGATAATTTCTTGCTCAGTGGCTAACTTTTGTAACAAAGAAAGCAAACTCCATATGGAGGTTCTTCGATGCCCATTTTCTTCTCTAGAGTAGATTGGTGCTGCCAGGACCATATGTGTCTCACTGTCACAAAAGGTCTTATGTTATTAAACTATGTAAAATACCATATTCTGTATATCTCTGAAGTGTTTGAAGACTCCATTTAAAATATATCTAACCTTGAAAACATACCTAACATGGCCACAAATTTGTTAGATAGCTAACTACTAACGTGTATTTCTTTTTTATTTTCAAAGTTTATTAAATTATAAAAGTTTCCATTTCTGCCCCTCCTCCCAACATCCTCCCACTCCCTCCACTCCCTCTCCTCCTCCCTCTCCATCCCTAAGAGCAATCAGGGTTTCCTGCCCTGTGGGAAGTTCAAGTTCCTACCCCCTCCCTCCAGGTCCAGGAAGGTGAGTATCCAAACAGACTGGATCCCAAAAATCCAGTATATGCAGAGAAAACAAGTCCCAGTGTCATTGTCGATGGCTTTTCAGAAAGACTCTGGGCCGGCCACATTCAGAGAATCTGGTTGGATCATGTGCTCGTTCAGTCCCAATCCAACTGGCCTTGGTGAACTCTCCTTAGATCAGTCCCCTTGTATCAGTGGGTGATCGCACCCCTCTCGGTCCTGATTTCCTTTTTCATGTTCTTCCTCCTCCTGCTCCTCATTTGTACTTTGGGGGCTCAGTCCGGTGCTCCAATGTGGGTCTCCGTCTGTATCACCATCCATCGTCGGATGAAGGTTCCCTCTGGTCTTGCCTTCTTTGCTCACGTTCTCTTTCCTTCTGCTTCTCGTTTGGACCTAGGGAGTTAAGTCCAGTGTTCCAATGTGGGTCTCTGTCTCTATCTCCATCCATCGCCAGATGAAGGTTCTGGCCCTCTTGTCTATTTCCAATCTCCAGGAGGATAACTACATGATTTTCTTCAGGTTCACCTTCTTATTTAGCTTCTCTAGGATCACGAATAATAGGCTCAAAGACCTTTAATTATGGCTAGAATCCACTTATGAGTGAATACATACCATATTCCTCTTTTTGGGTCTGGCTTACCTCACTCAGTAAAGCGTTTTCTATGTCCATCCATTTGCATGCGAAATTCAAGATGTCATTGTTTTTTACCGCTGAGTAAAACTCTAATGTATATATGTTCCACACCTTCTTTAACCATTTTTCTATTGAGGGGCACCTAGGTTGTTTCCAGGTTCTGGCTATTACAAATAGTGCAGCCATGAACATAGTTGGACAAATGCTTTTGTAGTATGATAAGGCATCTCTTGGGTATATTCCCAAGAGTGGAATTGCTGGGTCTTGAGGGCGGTTGACTCCCAGTTTCCTGAGAAACCGCCACACTGATTTCCACAGTGGCTGCACAAGTTTGCATTCCCACCAACAATGGATGAGAATTCCCCTCTCTCCACATCCTCTACAGCATAGACTATCATTGGTGTTTTTGACTTTAGCTAATCTGACCGGTGTAAAATGGTATCTCATAGTTGTTTTGATTTGCATTTCCCTGATGTTGAGCATGACCTTAAGTGTCTTTTGGCCATTCGAAGTTCTTCTGTTGAAATCAGCACCCCATTTTTTAATTGGGTTAATTAGAGTTTTAGTGTCTAGTTTCTTGAGTTCTTTGTATATTTTGGAGATCAGACCTTTGTCTGATGAGGGGTTGGTGAAGATCTTCTCCCAGACAGAAGGTAGCCTTTTTGTCTTACTGACAGTGTCCTTTGCTTTACAGAAGCTTCTCAGTTTCAGGAGGTCCCATTTATTCATTGATTCTTTTTTTGTCTGTGCTACTGGGGTTCTATCTATGAAGTGGCCTCCTGTGCCTATGTCTTGTAGACTACTTCCCACTCTCTCTTCTATCTGGTTCAAAGTGGTCAGATTAATGTTCAGGTCTTTAATCCATTTGGACTTGATTTTTGTGTGTGGTGATAGATATGGATCTACTTTCATTCTTCTACAGGTTGATATCCAGTTATGCCAGCACCATTTGTTAAAGATGCTTTGCTTCTTCCATTGCATACCTTTAGCCCCCTTGTCGAAAATCAAGTGTTCATAGGTTTGTTGGTTAATATCTGGGTCTTCTATTCGATTCCATAGGTCAACTTCTCTGTTCTTATGCCAGTACCAAGCTGTTTTCAATCTGTAGCTGTGTAATAGTGTATTTCTTAATTCTCCTAAATAGTTTGTAATAGTAGCTTTAAGAATATAGAAATTTGCATTACATTGTTAATTGAGCTACATAGGCACAATACATTAAGAAGAGAAACATATATACCATAACAAAATTAATCCATGGAAGGGAAGGCCATGAGAATGTAAGCAATGGAGGAGGGGCGGAGTATTGTGATATGTCAGCCTCTGTATATGGATATGAACTTAAAATAACTATAGTTGTTTTGTTTTGGCAGTTTGTTGTAAAAAGTTTGCCCGTGGATATATTTTCTTCTTTCTAGGAACACTGATTATCCTTTTTTCACTATTTGTTAGTAATTAGCTTTTCCTTCTGTGCATTTCCCTGTTTATTCTGTTTCCGTTTTCATTGTGTTTGGAACGTTTATAATTTTTGTGTGTGGAAAGATATCCCATGCTCTTGGGTAGGCAGAATTAACATAGTAAAACTGGCAATCTTACCAAAAGCAATCTACAGATTCAATGCAATGCCCAGCAAAATTCTTCAAAGACCTCAAAAGAACGGTACTCAACTTCATATGGAATAGCAAAAAACCAAGCATAGCCAAAACATTCAATACAATAAAAGAACTTCTGGAGGCATCACACGGTCAAAAAGACGAAACAACAGCCTACAGAATGGGAAAAGATCTTCACTAATCCCACACCAGTCAGAGGTCTGATCTCCAAAATACACAAAGAACTCAAGAAATTGGACACCAAAAGATCACATAATCCAATTAAAAAAAAAAAATGAGTACAGACCTAAGCAGAGAACTCTCAACAAAAATGGCTGAAAGACACTTAAGGAAATGTTCAACATCCTTAGTCCTCAGAGAAATGCAAATCAAAACAACTCTGAGATCCCATCTTACACCTGTAAGAATGGCCAAGATCAAAAACACTGATGACAACTTAGGCTGGAGAGGTTTGGGGGAAAAGGGAACACTTCTGCATTGCTGGTGGGAATGCAAGCTGGTACAACCCCTTTAGATGTCAGTGTGGCGATTTCTCAGGAAATTAGGAAACAATCTTCCTCAAGACACAGTAATACCACTTTTGGGTATATATCCAAAGGATGCTCAATCGTGCCCCAAGGACATGTGGTCAACTATGTTCATAGCAGCTTTGTTTCATAGCCAGAACCTGGAAGCAACCTAAATGCCCCTCGACTGAAGAATGGATAAGAAAAATGTGGTACATTTACACAATGGAGTACTATACAGCAGAAAACAATAACGACGTCTTGAATATTGCAGGAAAATGGATGGAGCTAGAAAACATTATTTTGAGAGAGGTAACCCAGACACAGAAAGACAATTATCACATGTACTCACTCACAGTTGGTTTTTAAACATAAAGCAATGAAAGCCAGCCTACAAACCACAATCCCAGAGAACTTAGACAACAATGAGGACACTAAGAATGACTTACAGATCCAACCTACATGGGAAGTAGGAAGTAGAAAAAGACAAGGTCTCCTGAGTAAATTGGGAGCATAGGGACCTTGGCGGAGGGTTAAGGGGGAAGGGGAGAAGCAGGTAGGGGAGCAGAGAAAATGTAGAGCTCAATAAATATATTAAAAAAAAAAAAAAAAAACTTTGAAAACCCAGAAGGCTGAGAGTGGTAGCACACATCAGTGTTTTTGTACTTGGGAGGCAGAGAAAAAAAATCATGAAAATAAAAAAATAAGCCAAGAACCGTGACTCCTCATTTGAGCCAGTAGCTTCTGAGCTTAGACTAAGAACTTCCTTCCTTTTGCATATGGAAATTTTAACTGTCTTGACCTTGTATAAATAGCTATTTTTGATATTCAGAGGCCGACATTTCACAGTACTCCCTTCTTCCTCCATTTCTTAAATTCTTTCTGCCTTCGTTTCCCAGTGTTCTCTAACCTTGAGGGGAGTGTGTGTATGTGTGTGTGTGTACATGCACACTTTTATTGGATTGGTTCTTTTACAATTTAATACAGGTGTAAAGTATATTTTGATTATAACTCCTACCCTCTTTATTCTCTCTTCTACCCTGTTATATACTCTCTTCCATACAACTCTCCTTTTCACATTTTTGTTGTTGCAAGGAATCACTCCATTTGTTTAAATTTGAATTTTGTATATAGGAAATGTTAATATGCCTGTATTTAATCAAATTTATCCCATACCCTTTTGCTAAATGCTCCCTAAATACCCTTTCTTTCCCAACTTCATCCTTTTTGTTATTTTTTTTTAATAGCACACCAAGTCCAACTAATGGTGCCCATTATATGCATCCGTGTACGGTCATCCACTGGAAGATGGGCAGCCTACCAGGGACAGTCCTTATGTAGAAAACTGAGTCTTTCTTCCCAGGTGGCCATCAGTGGCAAATAGCTCCCCAGCTGGGTTGGTGCCTTACACAGCCCTCCCTCATCTATGCTGGAATGTTAACTGGCTTAAAGTTGTATTTTTCTATAAAATATAAACCTGGATAGTTTCCCCTTTTTTTAATTAAATAATTGTATGTTTGTTTCTTCTAATTTATATGACCAAGCTGTATATTGCCCAGTAGATTCTATGTTAAGATATGTAGATGGACAAATATTTTAAATATTTTTCTTATACTAATATTAAGTATGATTTGTTTTTTACTCAGATTAAGAATCATTTTTCAATTCCAATTTCCATTTTTGAAGGGGATACATTATTAGGAATTGCTTCACCTGAAAATGAATTCAACATACCATTAGCATCTTACCGGTGAGTTTTTTTCTTTATATTTTTCCTTGCCCTAAACTGTTTAGAGAATTTTTGGTTTCAGATTCTATATAGATAATGTTTTTAAATTATCAAATACAAGTTTTAAAAATTGCTTTAGAAAACAGTATCTTTTGTGTATCTTATTTGTTTATGGATAGTACTGTAATCTTAAATATTTAAAATACTTAAACTTGATGAAAATATAATACAAACACACACACACACACACACACACACAAACATAATATGATATATTAGAATGGTTTACAGGCTGCGGTCCAACTACTGCAACAATGATTGTCTATCAACAAAAGTTCTAAAAATCGTGTAGTTCTTCAATCCACAAAGCTGGATGTCTTAATTGATCTATAGTATGCACTGGAATCCCAAAGAAGCAGGCTCTAATGTTAGTGAAGGAAATGACTTGCTAGTGAGAGGGAGAGAAAGCAGGCTAAAAGAGAGGAAGCTTTTTTCTTCTGTGACTTTATAGGCTACTAGCAGAAGGTGTGACCCAAATTAAAGGTGTATCTTCACACCTCAAAGATCCGGATTTGAAGTGAGTCTTTCCACTTCGAATAATTTAATTAATAATAAAAAAAATCCCTCACAAGTATTCCCAAGGGTTTGGGTTTTAGTTAATTCCACATATAATCAAGTTGACAACCAGGAATAGCCATAACAATAGGGTAGTGTTGAGATTAGGTGAAGAGGAACATTTTACCAGGAGGGATTTGTGAATAAAGATGAGGCAGCTTTAAACGATAAGGCTTTTGTGGAGAGGAGTAGGAATTTCTTCTGGACAGTGCTTGGGTGGGAGAGTGACTTGGAAGAGCTTCAGTTCTCAGTGAAGTACTTGCTCCTAGCTTTACACACTTTACCTCTACTTTGTAGTGTCCAATTTTTCTTTACTGCCTCGGAATATTTGATGTCTTTTATTTCAAGATCTTCATTCTCCTTTTATTTTGAACCTCTTCTATTTTTATTAGTTCTTTTATTTACTTTACAGTGCATACTTTTCTAGTTCAGATCCTCAGAAATCAGCTTTCTTGCAAAATTGTCTCATTATCAAACATTCCCTGTTCTGTGTGCAAAGAGTATTCTTTATTTGAAAACTTCAAACTATTGTTTACATTTGTTTGTTTGGGTGTAGTATAACAGTTTTGTTGTTGTTTTAATATTGCTTTCTCTCTAAAACTAAAAATATACTCATTTTTGTGTTTTCATTTGTATCTTCTAATTGGTATGAGTATTTTACTATCAAGTCATACATATTGTTTTATTCCTAAATTCCAACACTTGACAAGAAGACTGCCATAAGTGTAAAGGCAGTGCAGGACACACAGGGGATTTCAAGCTAGCCTAGACTAAAGATTAACTTAATATAAATAAAAAAATACTTTGCCAAACTGCATGAGTTTATTTGCCTTAATTTGAGGGGAATTAATTTTTATGTAATATTCAAAATCAGAATGTAAAGTAGAATAACAGTTATGTGGATAATGTAGAAGTAGAATAGGAAAAATAAACTGTTTTGACATTAGTTTTGTGTGGAGGCCAGAAGTCCATTGTTTAATATTATCTCTAATTCCAGAGCACTAGTATTTGAATGTCACAACACAATAGGTGTGGAAGTTTCAGTGTCCAATTGAGTCAAGCTACAGTAACATCACATGTAACATAAAAACATATATAAGATATTTAAACTTTTAAGACTGAATGTTAGGAAAGTGATTAGGGATATAAGTTGTTTTGATAGCTCATCTATAAGAGATAGAATTGAAACTAGTTTTACAGACAAAAGATATATATAGAGAGAGAGGATTAGTTCAGAAGCAGAGGGCTTGCTTGACAAGTGTGAGGTTCTATCCCCAACACTGGAAAATACAGTTAGTTTTATATATATATACACATACATATACATATAAAGATTAAAAGGTTTTTTACATAATTCCTTATTGGAGGGACTCCAGTGTCTGCCCTATACCCCTGCAGCATGCCCCCCCAAAGTTAATTTAAAACAACCAACAATAAATTCACCTCAATCCTCCATGTTCCCAACACCTCTTCAGTCATCCTAATGGCACTTGGAGCTGCAATATGTCGTGCATACACTCTTTTGTCCAAACAGCCACGTACAAAATGTTCATTGCATTGAATCATTGATTTAGTTCAGTGTCTTTGACATGCCATCATCACTGGACTCTCAGTGAAATTCCTCTTGGATATACCATCCTGAGTCAGGGAGATCCAGTAGCTGTTGTTCCGCAGTACCAGTCCCATTGCACACTCCAGCAGGCCTTAGGGGCAGATCTTAGGATGGCCCCAGGATGTGGCTGGTAGCTGAACTGGTCAGTCTTGGCCACCAGGACTGCTTCCTCAGGCGTGGGTGGGACAGAGCCAGCTCTCCAAGGCCCATGCCATCAGGGCCAGTTCTTGCAAGCCCCTAGTGAAGAGTATAGCCATCTCTCCTGAGTGCAGGGAATGGGGTTCAGCTCTCCCATGGGGGATCAGAGCCAGCTCTACTGCGGTGTCCAGCAAGGGGCAGGATCAGCTATCCTAGAGCCAGTGTGGGGCAGGACTGGCTCAGCACAGCTCTCAGATTTCAACAGAAATGGTTCCTATGACCCTCTGTGGTTATAGGAGCCATGAACATCATCCCAGACTGTTGTTTGGCCATGAACCTAGACATGACCCAGGACACTAGCCCAAGCCCAAACAACACCATGGCCCCATATGACTGGGCAGACAACCCAGATCAGTGTGGCCCTGGTGGCAGCACTGCCTTCAAACACCAATATGGCCACAAGTTGTAACCCAGGCCTCAGGTATACATGTGACCTTTGGTATCATGGGCCATGGATATTAACACAGACCCTGACTTTGGTAGGGCCATAGACCTAACCTTGTCTTCAGTAGCAGCCCACACCGTAACTCCAGGTGGCAGCATAGGACATTCAGATTGGCATGGCCCCCATGGCACCAAGGCCCTTGGACACCAACATAGTCCCAGTGGTGGCCCAGACCTTTTCAATGATGTCAGGAGCTATGGACATCATAGCAGACCCTAGCTGCAGTAGGGTCACAGATCAGACATGGCTGGTGACAGCAGCCCTGTCCCAGATGACACCATAGCCCCAGTGGCAAAATGGCCCTCTCACACCAACATGGCCATAGAATGTGGTCTACACCCAGGGTATCCATGTGGCATTTGGTGGCATCATAGCCCACAGACTTCACAGACCCTGACTGTGGTTAGAACACAGACCCAAGCACAGTCCCCAGCAACAGCCTAAGCTTGGATATCACCATGGCCCCAGGTGGCTGCCCAGGTCACTAAGGTTGACATGATTGATCCCCACAGCAGAGTGGCCCTCAGATACCAACATGGTCCCAAGAGGATGCCCAAGCCCCTGGCATCAGCGTGGCCTTCTATGGTATCAGGAGCCAGGAACATCAATCCAGACCCTGGCTACAGTAGGGTCATGGACATAGACCTGGCCCTCAGCAGTAGCCCTGGCGGAGATGACACCATGGCTGCAGGTGGCAGGAGGGCTACACAGAATGGCATGGCCCTAATGGTGATATAGCTCGTGGATGCCAACAGGGTCACTGATTGTGACCTAGACCCCGGTCATCAGTTTCCATGGACATCAGCGAATACCCTCACCGCATTAGGGCCGTGGGTAACATGCCTTCAGCAGCAGGCCTGGCCCAGTTGACACCATGGCCCCAGAGGCAGCACAGCCCTCGGACACCACACATGGCCTCGGCGCCCTGGGTCCTAAAAGCCCAGGCTCTCTGAAGCATCCGTATGCTCCCTGATGCCCTGTGGCTCAGGCAGCCAAAAGACACCCATGGTACAGCCTGAATTCTCATAGTTTGGCCTGTCAGAAGCATCTACATGCCCATCTGGCACCTTGCCAAAGAAATTTCTTAGAAATGATTCTTGGATGAGGCTTAATCTCACACACACACACACACACACACACACACACAAACACAATGCTCTTAGGACTGGCGAAGTTGATCAGTAGGTAAAGTACTAAGACTTGAATTCTCAAAAGTCAAGTAAAAGCTGTGTGTGGAAGTATACCTGTAATCACAACATTGGGAAGCAGGAAAGGTGATTCTGGGTCTTGAGGGCCAGCCAATCTAGCCATCAGAGCTTCATACTTATCGAGAGACCTTAGTCTTCCCATGGAAATGCATGTACCCTCACATGCACATACCGCATAGAACAATATTTATCCAAAATATTGAAATACACACACACACATATACACATACATACGAAAGTTTGTAAAAATAATCATGATCAAAATAAAGCTTGGTTAGCATCTGGAAAATTGGGGTACCCCTGTTTAGGTTATGTAGTTCTGAAACATGTAAACCAGCACTCTTTATAATAATACTGAAGGGAGTCATTGTTCGAAGCAGTAGTATTCTAATTTAAGGTTTTAAAAATGCTTTTAAATTATATTTTATTTTTTGTGCAGATCATCGCTTTCTTTGAAGCCAGATGATAAGGACTACCAAATGTGTGAAGGAATTGACTTTGAAGAAATCATAAAATATGATGGACAACTTCTAAGGAAGAAATGCAAATCTATACATGCTTCTAAGAGATCATTTGTTATTAATATTGTCCCAGAAAAAGATAATTTGACTTCTCTGTCAGTGTATTCAGAAGACGGCTGGGACTTACCATATGTAATGCACTTGTGGCCACCTATCCTCATTCGGAATCTTCTTCCCTACAAAATTGCTTATTACCTAGAGGTACTTGACAGTTTCTGAGTGTCTTCTGTCTTCGTAGTTTGATTTACTTAAAGTTACAAACAAAAGTTTTTGAATTTGTGCCCAAGATTACAGCATTACTTAAATATAAGTATTTATCAAAATGAAAATTTTAATATCATGCTTAAAAAGATAATTTAGAGTCTTCAAGTCTCACAACCTGAGTTGAATCTCCACAACTCACAACTTCCATAAGTTGATCTCTGACTTCCACAGCAATCCTTAGCGTTCCCTCCTACATAGAATAAATAAACAAAATGAATTTTCAGAAAAGATAATTTAAGAGAAAATATTTTTCATTAAATTATCTTAGAAATCTATTGAGCTCTTTTTAATTATGTAAAAATAATATGTGATTTGCACAAATAAGTTTATTCAATAAATGACATATAGTTACCATCTGAACATACCATTTATTTCATAGCCCTTCCTCTTCATATATAGTTCATATAGTGTATGTTTAAATGATGGTTACTGAATTATAAAATAAACATGGGCGTTTGTTTTGAAATAACATTCAAGTGCAATACCCATACAATTGAAGTTTGCAGTTTTATGCAAATTCTCTTAAAATTTTATTTTCTATAAAGATCCTTTTTCTATTAAGTATTCAATTTTAGATCAAGTAGGTGTTTTCTCCTTTCTAAGTATTTTTTTGTAAATCTTTTTATTTCAATATTTATCAAACATAAAGCAGTTCTTCACTGTAATTTATTCATTGTAGGCTTATTTAACTTTGTGAACTGCATTATTTTTACTGTTTTGTGATATATTTTTAAGGAGGAGGAATTAACTTATTTGTGGTTATGTTTTTACATGTGGCAGATTTCCATAGTGATAAGTAGTTGAGTTGGTACTTGGCCATCATGACTTAGAATTATATCCTAGCTCTACCACTCATTAACTTGTTTTTAGGTAGATTAAACATATTTATATTTTATTAAATGTAAGTGATTAAACTTATATGGTTAAGTCCTGGGGAAAATCAAACTTGTCAAGTATAGAAAGAACACTAACTACCGTGACTCTCAGTTCATGGTTATCATTCGTCAGCTGCGCTAGCACCACCAACGCTGCAGTCACTGCTGTATAGAATAGTCTGGTCCAGGTTCAAGTTCGCACAGTGATAGTAGTTACAACTTAAGAATTCTGTTACAATGGTAGGAAAGAGCTGAAAAAGAGACACTAGGGAAGTCAGAGATAAGAACTAAGGTAATGAAGATGTGAGTGGAGAAACTTAATCATTTTTGAGATATAATAAACTCATAGTGGATGAAGGGGCTGTTTGTAAAAATGGCAGGCAGTACAGTATGTGTTAACTTTTTTAGATTATGATAGCTGTCTTAGGCGTTTCTGTTATTTTTACTTTTCAAAACTACAATTACTAGTAGATAAGTAGGGCTTGGTTTAGTTTTACTGATTATGGCATTACAGTCACAACTTGCTATGAAGTTTCTCATGTCATTTAATCTTAACCTTTTGTAGCAATTGATCTAGAGCGTTTTCATAAGGATCATTACCTAAGTGTAGATCAAGCACTAGGGTAGCCACAGCTTGCGGAACACCGATGACTTGCTCTGACAGTACTTGAAGAGTTTTGTGTAGTGTGTAGAAAGAATAAGTGTATTTGGAAGTTTGTTTTTCAGAAACATTTTTACGTTTGTTTTTGGTTTTGCTTCTTATTCCAGGGCATTGAAAACACAGTTTTTACTTTAGGTGAAGGACATTCATCACAAATTTATAATGCTGAAATGGACAAAGCCAAGCTGCACTTAAAATTGCTTGACTATCTTAATCATGATTGGAAAAGTGAATTTCATATAAAACCTAATCAACAAGACATCAATTTCATCAACTTTACCTGTCTCACAGAAATGGAAAAGACTGATTTGGATATTGCTATCCATATGACTTACAATACTGGTCAGACAATTGTGGCATTTCATAGTCCATATTGGATGGTCAATAAAACTGATCGGATGTTACAGTACAAAGCAGATGGAATCCACCGAAAGCATCCACCTAATTATAAAAAGCCAGTTCTCTTTTCCTTTCAGCCAACCCACTTTTTTAACAACAATAAGGTATGTGTAATTTTTCCTAATTTTTCTCTTTAGATAAACATTGTTTCAGTTTTTAAAGTTCTGAACAGTAAAATATGAAATTTCAGTAGAAATAGCATTTATTAAATATTTGAGATTGAAAGGGTTGGCAAAACTGGGTACAGTAGCATGCTCCTGTAATCACGGCATTAGGAAAGCAAGAGAATGTAGGTTTTTGAGGCCTGTGTATGTACAAAGTAAGTTACATCCAACCCGAGCTACCCAAGAGACCCTGTCTCAGAAACATCTAAACAAAACAGTATGGTAAGATATTTAATGTTAAAAATGATTTATTACATTATTAATATAAGGGCTTTTGCCTAACATACAAAGCTTTGAGTTTGAGCACCACATGCAGATAGATAGATGGTATCTAAGTTGTAATTTCTCTCCAATTCCTCCCTAGGTTCAGCTCATGGTGACTGACAGTGAGCTCTCTGACCAGTTCTCCATTGACACTGTTGGTAGTCATGGAGCCATTAAGTGCAGAGGCCTGAAGATGGAGTACCAAGTGAGTGTCTTCTGTGCTAGCGATACTTCCATTTTCAATTTATCTGTTGAATACTTTTATAAGCGTACAGTAATAATAGTTTTCAAACAGTCTTAATTTTTTCCTTAGGTTGGTGTCACTATAAACCTCAGCAGTTTTAATATTACCAGAATTGTGGTATTTACTCCTTTTTATATGATTAAAAATAAAAGCAAATACCATATATCAGTGGCAGAAGAAGGAAGTGATAAATGGCTCTCTCTTGACTTAGATCAGGTATGTAAATGAATTTCATAACGAACTTTGTTCTTTTATGATCAGTGTACATGAGACTATGTGAAAATACCGGTGAAAACTGACTTGTAAAGTTAATATATGTTGATTAAAATGCAGTTTTTATTGTTTTATTTTGATGTTACACTTCTTAAATTATCATACACTGTTTTAATTCCCTTGTACTATAATTTTTTTCAGTTCCATGAAACTTTATTGACTGTTTCTTCTACATTTTCTTTAATTATTAAAATCTGAATATTTGCTCCCTAGTATTGAATAGCTCAATCAGGATGATAGACACTGCAAGTTCTTACAAATCTGGTTAAATAACTTTAATAGAAATTTGGAAATAACAGCAGTGGAAGTATAGATATCCTGGAAGAGTGGGAAGCTATTAATTTTCCACAAGAAACTGTTGGGAATCCTTTATATGCTAAGTTATGCGAAGCTTGCTTGTTAGAAGAAAGTAAGAAACATTTAAAGAGAGAAATTTGCTTTTGTGTCAGGCAGCTAGACGACTTTTCTAAATGATGGACTGAGGTTGTTATATTATCGAGTTTTGAAGAATTATTATACTAAAAGGGTAAGATTATAGAAAAGCATTTGCTATTTTAGTCATGATTTTTTTTCCTGTATATGAAATCAATCCTTAAAAGTTTTAAAATTTCTACTAGGTTTGATTTTTGAGGCAAATGACATCACTTTTTTTGTCCACTGAAGTTTTAACCTTTATCTTTTATGGCAGTTGTTTGCTTTTGTTTTATTTCCGTTTGTTTTTATTTTAAGTTGTGGGGTTTTGGGGTTTTTTTTATTTTTTCAATGTCTTATATCTTTCACACTAGTATCTTTGGTTTCCATTTTCTTGAAAATTATGATTCTGTCATTCCTTTGGAAGTGACTGATCTTTATCTCTAATTGGAGTGTAAGTCTATTTTTCTCTTGTTGATATCAGATTACTGTGTTTGTATATGAGTTACTGGGTTTGTTTTTTTTTTTAGATACTTTTTTTTAGCATCTGTGGGTTACTGCAACTTTCTGTAAAACTTAAAGCTACTATTTCTGCTTCATTCGAAGTTACCAAGTTAAGTTTTTATATTGCCTAAAGTCTTCCCTGTAAACTTATGTTAAGTGCAGGCTCATGAGATAGACTTCTCAGCAATATGGTTATCTTGTGAGTGAGCTTGAGTGACAGAATATAAACAGACTCTAATGGAGGAGAAGTTTTGTCATGTTTGAGAGATAGTAAAAAAGACCAGTATTATAGGAGAAGGAAAAATTAAAGGACAAAGCCATAATAGGAATAAGGGGTAATTATGCAGATTTTTGTAACCATCTCAAATATTTTACCTTAAAATAAAATGGGATCTGTTGGAAAAGTTTGATCATTGATTAAACATGGCAAAATTTTCTGGCAGTGTGCTATGAAATGACTAGCCAAGATATAAGAAACCAATCTATTAAAAAACAATTTAGAGCCAGGAGTTGTGGTTTGATACCTTTAATCCCAGTACTTGGAAGGCAGAGGCAGGTTGCTGTGAGTTGTGAAGTTGTGGCCAGCCTGGTTTATATATTGCTTTCCTCAACAGCAAAGACTAAATGGGGATACCCTTTCTCAAAACAAATAATATTTTGCTCAATGATTAAACATGGTAGAGTCTCATTAAATTTTTGTTGACTTAACATGATTTATTTTTGTAAGTGTTAAGCAAGTTCTCAGCAAGTCTGTTCCTAATTTTTTGTAGGCAATTTTTTGGTCCTTCCTGCCAGCTTCCAAATAATAACACAGAGACTTCTTACTAATTATGAAAGCTCAGCTGATAGTTAAGGTTTGTTTCTAACTAGCTCTTATAACTTAAATTAATCCATGATTTTTAGTCTATTTTCTTTTATGTGGCCCAGGTGCCTTTTCTTTGTAATGCCTATGCTGCTTTCTCTGTAACCCTAGCATTGCCTTAGGGTCACAGTGTTCTCTCTGCCCCCAAAATCCTGCCTAGCTATTCAGTGTTTAGCTTTTTATTAAACAAATCCCAGTGATATGTCTTCACACAATGTAAAGGTTTATTCCACATTTCCCCCTTTTGTCTAAATAAAAAGGGTTTTAATTCTAATACAGTAAAACTATATTTAATAAGAACAATTGTCAAGTAAACATTACATTCATAAAGTCCAGTCCATTCATATTTGGCAAATTTAGAGAAACTATTTCATTATCTGTACTCTCTTGATGAGTCTAAAGTCTTGTACCTAATTTACCTTCTGTCATAACTAAGAAAAACTGTAATTATCTAGTCTTCAACTAGAAGGACTTCAATTTAGAAGGACTGTCCCACCTTGTTTTGGCAAAGTGCAGAGTCACTTTACTGTTTGTTCTTTTTGTCCAGTTTGTACAGTATACTGTCAGCAATTGAGACAAGACAGTTTGTTGCCCAGTGTCTAACCTTGCCACAATGAAAGCAAACTCCATATGGAGTTTCTTCAGTGCCCATCATCTTCTCTGAAGTAAATTAGTGCCACCAAGAGCAAACGTATCTTGTTATCATGAAAAGCCTTATGTTATTAAACCATCTTAAATGCCATATTTTATAGCTATCTGAATGTTTGAAGACCAACTATCTATCTAAAATATATCTGTTTGACCTTGAAAACATACCTAGCATGACTACAAGTTTGATTATAATAGGTGATTAACTACTAATCTTCATTTCTCTATTATTTTACATAGTTTGTAATAATAACTTTCAAGAACTAGAAATTTGTATTACATTGTTAAATGAGCTGCATAGGTACAATCCCTTAAACAAGTAGAACATATATACGGTATAGCAAAAGTAACCTTAAATTTGTATCAGTATATAAAAGTCCATACCAATGTAACATATTTGAGACTAATGGTTGTTTAAAAGTAGATTCAGCAATCCACCCTTTTATCTCATCATTGTTATACTGTGTATCCCTTTTCAGAAAAAGATTCTTGAATCTTAACTCCTTTGTTTAGCTTTTTCCTGCCTATGACCATAACAACTTGTAATCAAACCCCCCCACCCCTGCCAAATGATGACAAACATCTATAACTTAAATGACCAAAAGCCACCTGCCCCATTTCTTGGGTATGTGGGCACTGTGTTCTCTAGACTGACTCCTGTTGTCTGGGGGCACTTGCATCTTTGGGGCACCCTGAGAAAATTAGGATAATGGTCAAGTCCTGGCTAGAATAGTCTGTGAGGCTGAATCATCTCAACTAGCAGCCTTGAAACTTTTCTGGATGCAGACCTTCGAGGAAACTACAACAGAGGCATTCAGAGAGGCTGGGTCACCTAGGCCACCGTTTTCATTGGTGTCTTGTTCACTTGCTCTGAAAACACAAACTTTCAAAGGTAGCATACACATCTGCTTTAATACAAGTATAGACTGTGGATTTACACAAGCCAGCCAAAGATTGTTTTAGGTTTTATGTTTGAGCAGATAAAATATACATCACCTGTCTTTTATTATATTTAGATTTATCTCATGATTTCTGTAGCCAGGATTTTCAGGAGGTCTTCCCTGATCAAACCTGATCTTCTTTATTCTTTAGCCTTGAGTGAATCCACAGCCTTTCATTTTCTGTGGAAACAAAAGCTTAACCTCTTCCCCAAAGCAAAACTGACTTACATTTTAAATTTAAAGTATTTATAAATTATCTAGCTTGGTTTAATTCAGCAGCCTCTTTCACAATCCCATGTTTCACAGCAACTATCATTTGTTTATCGGCATTCAAAAAAATCAAAGACAACAAGTAACATCCAGGTTCTAGACTCTCTGTGTCTTCCCCTCTCTACACAGCTCATTCCTTTTTATTACTTTATTCTCTTTTTAAAGACTATTATTTTTAAACTATTTATTTTATGACTGTCTATACCTTTTTCTTTAAGTCAGCGTACATTGTTAAACACAGTGTAATCTGTTTAATGGTTTTTACCATCTAAACCTTCTGTGTTTCTGTAACCTTTTTCATCTGCATGAGCAAAATCTTAAACCACCAAGCAGCTCATCCAACAGCAAGCTGGTAGCTGGCTTCATCCCTCTTGGTTCCCTGGGGCTAGCCTCATTGCGGAGGTATGATGGGAGCCATGTCACATTTTCTGCCCCATTCTGGGAAGTTTCTGGGTCCACACTACTGTAGGCATTTCTCCCAAGTTTCATGCCACTGAGTTGTGCACTACCTGCTGCTCATAAACCCATTCAAGGGCTTGGTATCAGAGCCTCTTAAAAGAACCAAGCCTCTCTATGCCACTAATACCTAGCCTGCCTGAGAGACCACAGTCATCAGGAAGCTGCTTATTTCTAACTAGTTATAACTTAAATTAATCCATATCTTTTCATCTACACTCTTTTATGTAGCTTAGTTACTTTGACTTTGTAAAGCTCATGCTGCTTGCTCTGTATCCCTGGCATCACCACCCTTCTTCCCAGAATTCTCTCTGCTACGAAAATCCTACCTAGCTGTTGGCCATTTAGCTTTTTATTAAACCAATCCCAGTGACATATCCTTCACTCAGTATAAAGGATTATTTCATAACAGTTTTTGGACTTAGAATTCTAGGTATATCTAGATGGTGCTAACTATAACTTTCTTTTGTATACTTCATAGACATAACTTTTCTACACTTTAATTTTTAACATTTTTATTTTGTATACTTATCACTCACAGATACTATTCGGTCCTGATTATCTTTTGGAAAGTAAATCTGTGGACAGCTTTTGAATTTTAATTTTTTCTTTTTCAGTTTTATCTAAGATCAATTTTCTTTTGCTGGCTTAAAATTTTACATTTTTACTTGACTTATAATAATTACTTTAAAATGTATGATCATGACCATTATGTCTTGTTAAATTTAGACTCTACTTTGCAACTAAAAGGTTTAGAAGAGCTTGGCATATTCTCCAGTCTTAACAGATCTCATACATAACACTTAGAAAAGATACTGCATTATTATTCTATATATTATGTTATTAAACATTAAAATATAGTATGAAATTAGGACTCTAAAGGAACATCAGACTTAAGGGTGTTTAGAATACATATCATTTTTAATATACTTGGTTTCTAATTGGGAAACGCTTCTGTGAGTATTGACACTATTTTGAGTCTTGCAGCTTCCGGGGTGATGACAGCAAGTATGGGCAGAAAAAATTACTTGCTACTCTCTAAGACTATTAAATGTTATATAAGTATTTATGATGAGATCTGTTTAAATATGTGTAATACATTTTTAGTGTATCCCCTTCTGGCCTGAGGATGCCTCCAATATTCTTCTCATTCAAGTTGAAAGAAGTGAAGGTCCCCCCAAAAGGATACATTTTAACAAGCAAGATAGTTGTATTTTATTGCGACTGAATAATGAGGTAAGTGCTTTTTCTTGATATTCATGATCATTATCATGTGTGTATCATCAGAAAAACTACTATATGTATATCAGCACTGCACTTTGCTTTTCATAACAATTTTCTGATAATTTTCCTCCTTTACATAAAAATTTCTTTTTATGAAAGGAGGTGAAACAAATATAAAGTAATTTGTTATACAGAAAGTTAGTTGCATGTCTGAATGAACACTGGAGTATACTGAAATTTCGTTTGCATACAGTAGTTTTGTTGTTTACCAGAAATGACAAAAGTCTGAATTGTCTTCTAATTGTTCACAGAAAGTGAATCATACACTATTCCAAGTTGCTGTAACATAGTGAACATACATAGAGATGATGTAGAATATTATTGAGGCTTATTTTGGGGTTCATCCTCTCAGGGTTCAGAAGGATTCAGTATAGCAAGTGAAAATCTGACTAATAAGGTCTGAGGGTAAAAAAAGAAATAAATTTATTCACATAAATCTTTTTATCATGTCCGGTTTATTCTTTCTAAGGCCTCTCTAATGTCCATGTTGTTCCTTGTTCTTTGCTATTCCCCCTCCTATGAGGTTTCCTGTCTGTATAACCCACACAGACATTGACAATAATATCAACACGCATTTCAGAATCATAAAAACAAACAAACACACAGGTAGGACCTGACGAAGCAGCGTTTCAGGAAAAGGTAACACAATTCAGGAAGGGCCAGCGTCCAAAGGGAAATACTTGACCTTCCAAATATTTAGATAAAGATCTCTAGAAGTCCCTGAACCCTGAACTCACCCACACATCTCATCTCAATCTCTTTTGTGATCATCAGCTTTGGGGATGCCCAGACCTGTTTGTCAATAAGGGCAGGCATGCCCTCTTTGTATTCTTTTGAAGTTCCTTTGTGGTCTATTAGCAAAGGTAATTGTGGGGGATTGAATTTATGTAGGTTTGACTATTAAAACAAGGGGTGAATGTTACCACTCTAAGGCCCCATGGAAGGTCTTGCCATTGCATATATAGGAGGAAGTTACACTGCTGAGGTATTTTAGGAATGAATCCCATTATGGAAGGGGGGAAAATGCCATGATTTCACAAGATTTTTAAAGGATTGACAGTAACTATATAAAAGACAAGTATTCCCAAAGCTCTGCAATCGGGTTCTTCATATGGAGTGTATACTCCTATGGATCTGTCTATTGGTCTCTCAGCTGTACATTCACTGTATAATACTTGTGACTCCAATAGAATACTATTTTAACTAGGTAACGATGTGTTACATCTGTTTTTGCTGTGGAATATTACATTAACTGTGTAAAGCGTGTTGCATTTGTTTAATCTGCACTTGGTTTTTTTTTTATTTAGCAATCTTTTCTCCTTTTACATACCAATCTCAGTTTCCTCTCCTTCCACTCCGTGCACCTCCCACCCATCCAGCCCCATCCACTCCTCAGAGAGGTTAAGGCTTCCTTCCCTTGTGGAGTCAATAAAGTCTGACACATCACTTTGTGGCAGGACCAAGCCCCCCTTCCCCCATGTCTAGGCTGAGCAAAGAGAATGGATCCCAAAAAGCCAGTTCAAGCAGTAGGGATAAATCCTGGTTCCACTGCCAGTGGTTCCATAAACTGACCTAGCACACAACTGTCACTCCCATTCAGAGGGCTTAGTTTGGGCCTATGCGTGTTCTCTTACTGTTAGTCTAGAGTCAGTGAGCTCCTACGAGCTCAGGTCGTCTGTTTCTGTGGGAATCCCCATCACGGTCTTGACCCCTTTGCTCATATTATTGCTCCTCCCTCTCTTCAGCTGAACTCTGGGAGCTCAGTCCAGTGCTAGCTGTGGATCTCTGCATCAGTTCTGAATGAAGTTTCTATGGTGACAATTAAGATAGTTATCAATCTGATTACAGGGAAAGGCCAGATCAGGTACCTCTCCACTATTGCTTAGGGTTGTAGCTGGGCTCATTCTTGTGGATTCCCGGGAATTTCTCTAGTGCCAGGTTTCTTGATAACCCCATAATGTTTCCCTCAATCAAGATATCTTTTTCCATGCTCTCCTTTTCTGTCCTTCCCCAGTCTCAGCCATCTAATCTATGTTGGTTTAATTATGTAAAGGTGCATTACTTTGCTTATGTTGCATTTGTTTAATTATGTACAGATGTGTTACTGTTTCACTTTGCCTGCCTAAGGCACTTGATTGCTCTAATAAATGCTGAATGGCCAATAAGTAGTCAGGAAAGGGATAGGCGGGGCTGGCAGGCAGAGAAAATAAGTGGAAGGAGAAATCTAGGCTGAAAAGAGAAGAAGAGGGGTAGAATGAGGGAGAGAAAGAGGGGAAAATTCGAGCTCAGTCCTGCAAGAGAAGAGTAACCCAGCGCTTTCCAGGACTCTTATCTCTGGGGCGCGACATAAAGCGAGGTGCAAGAAGAGAGGCAAATCTTCAGATACCTACAGGGTTAATTTATTCAAAAAAACAAGAAATGCTCAACATGCAAAAGTCTTGTGACGAGAACGAAGGAACACCCCAGAATACACCAAAGGCAGATGAAGGCCATCCTTCAGAAGACTCACCTCAGCAGGCAGGAGAAAATCTTCAGGCTTCTGGAGAAAGTGTGGGGGAGGATGCAGATGGAAGTCTTAGAGCAGAGCCTGCTCAAGCCAGCCCTGAACCTAAAGAGGACACTCCCACCGGGCATCTGAACCCTGACGAGGTGATAAGAGGAGTGGATGAGCTGGAAAGGCTTAGGGAGGAGATAAGAAGAGTAAGAAACAAGTTTGTGATGATGCATTGGAAACAAAGACATTCCCGAAGCCGTCCGTACCCTGTGTGCTCAGGCCTTGAAATCTTTTTTTTCTCTGATGTTGAAATCTGGCTGCTGCTTTCTTTCTCTTAGCGTTTTCTGATGTATCTTTGAACTTCATTTTACTTTTAATTACCTGGCGGTATTTTAGATAGTTTTGTTGTTACCAGCATCTCATTGGATTTTGGATTTTGACCCATTTTCCACGTTTATTTTTCAGTTGGAAAGTTTCACCCTTATGCATGGAAATGTGTTCATTCCATATTATACAAGTTAAAAGCAGCATATTTAGTATCAACTCGCATATATAGGAAAATTCCTAATTATGTGTGTACATGTATAATTATACGTATCAAAAACCTTAACAGTGCTTATTTTTGTGTGGTGTGTTTTAATTTTGCCTTTTGCTCGTGTGTATTTTTTTAATGAATATGTGTCTCACAAAGAACTGCAGATTTTTTAATAAGTGGGAGTTAATTAAAATAAATTTGTAACCAGCTTGTAGAGGCAATAAAGGCACTAAACTCTTGATGAAGAACTATTAAAAGGAAATGTAAACCTGGAATTATCTCTGGAGTTCTTAGCCAGAGGAATAAAACTGGCAATCATTATAGACAAAAAAAAAAAAAGAGGGGAAAATTCCCCGGGGCCAGCCAGGCAGGTGCCAGCCAGCAGACACAGAGTAGGAGATACAGAAAGAAAGGTAAAAGGCCCCGGGCAATAGATGAAGAGAAACAGATTAATGGAAGTTAAAGAAAGCTAGCCAGAAACAAGCATATCTAAGGCTAAGCATTCATGACTAGTAATCTGAGTCTCCATGTCATGATTTGTGAGCTGGTTGGTTGCCCAAAAAAGAAAAAGCCTGCTACATTTGGTGCCCAATGTGGCATAAACTATCATGAATAGTTTTATTATTAAATGCTATCAGTTAATATTCTTAGCAAAATGATCACATTAAATTTTTTCTTTTATTTAAGCTTGGAGGAATTATTGCAGAAGTTAATTTGGCTGAGCACTCGACAGTTATTACATTTTCAGATTACCATGATGGTGCAGCTACATTCCTACTAATAAATCATACCAAGAATGACCTTGTTCAGTACAAGCAGAGGTAAGGTGATTGTCACAATACAGTAATTTATAATTAGCAAATTTAGGTAAGAAAACATAAATTCTTCCAATGATTCCTTAAAAAAAAATGCCACTAATGTCAGTTGAGTTTATGTTAAAGTGATTCCCTTTTGAAAACATTGTATTTAATTATATAGAAGTAGAACTAACTTGGTGTTTATAATTATTTTTAAATGACTCAAAGACACGTGGAAAAACTAAAGCCAGTGCCATATAGATTGGTCATTTTGAAATCTGCTGAAGAATATATTGTGAGTCAGTCATGAGTCTCCAAATTTTGTCCTATTTTTTCTTCCCTGTTTTCTTTCTTCTTTCCTTTTTTTGTTTTTGTTTTGTTTTGTTTTCTTGTTTTGGTGGTTAACTTCTGAGACAGGCTCTCACTATGTATTGCAGGCTAACTTAGAACTTAGTATAGAGTCTACACTGTTTTTAACCTCAGGAGAGTTCACCAGCCTTGACCTCCTAAGTACCTACATTATGTGTATAAACTACCACACTCAGTTAAGTTTCTCTCTCTCTCTCTCTCTCTCTCTCTCTCTCTCTCTCTCTCTGTGTGTGTGTGTGTGTGTGTGTGTGTGTGTGTGTGTGTGTGTATGTGTGTGTGTGTCATACACACACATACACACACATACACACACACACACACAGAGCACGATTTTCTAATTGTTATTAATAACAAAATCCCAGAATCAAATACAGGGGTTAATGCTGAATATCAGAGAAGCAGAGTCCAACAACTAGATAGTTCCTTTACCTCTACCAATGCTCAGACAGAAGGGGTTGATCCTCTCTTCAGACTGCATCTCCAGACTCCATGTCTCCACCAAAACTCTGACTGCAGCTGTCTTCACAAACCTCAGACTGCACTGAACTCCTGTCTCCTTCCACCTTATATTCTTCTCTCCAGTGAGCCATATCACTCCTGTCTCCACCTCCATGGTGCTGGGATTAAAGGGGTGGAATCCCAAATGGGATCAACTTTATGTGAGCTCTGTTTCTCTTTTAGACAGATTCAATCTCTGGTAGTGGCCTTGAACAAGTAGAGAGCCCTCTGCCTCTCTTCCAAGTTCTGGGATTAAAGGTGTGTGCCACCACTCCCTGGCCTCTAGTGGCTTAGGTCTACACTTTGATCTTCAGGCAAGCTTTTTTGTTAAGACATAAGCAAAATATCACTATACACACACACACACACACACACACACACACACAACATATTATGAGAACCAGCCTCCCACAGCTCAGCATTTGAGGGGGAGCCAACGGAGTCACCAGTACATCTCTCAACTTTCTATCTGAGGGAGTAAAACTTAATTATTTGTGGCCAATGACGGGGTGCAAAACTTAACTCTCTAGGACTCACATAAAAGAGAAATACACACACACACACACACACACACACACACACATCTTCAGCATGTCAAGATCTCACCTAGGGTGTTGATGAATGGTAAGACTTCAGCAGTTCAGAGAAAATGAAGAGGATATGCAGAACAGGTGAACTACTGGATAGACAGATACACAAGGAATTTTCTGAAGGCAGAGTTTAGTTTTCGTTTTATTCTTACTGTTTTTTGTTGTGCTCTATTCATTTTCTGTTATGTTCTTCTACTTTGATGTTTCCCTTCTGTCTCTCTTGATATTTTCCTTCTAACTTTCCTTCTACGTCTTCCCTGGTGTTTTCCTTCCCTCCTGTATTTATATTTCCCCCTTACAGCTTATAGACCCCTTTAGAATATTTCAGACACTATAAAAATTTATGATGTGGTTACATCCTATTTTTCAAGTGAATGATTGCAATGAGTACAAGTTAAAAATAACAGCATGTTTTCCATATCCCTTACATGATTAAATATTTTACATATTATTGATGAAAAACAAGTTGCTCCAAGAACCCACAAACATTCATATTTGAGCAACTTGTTATAGATGATTAGAGTGTAAGCAAGCAAGGTATTTTTCTCAGTCAGTTCTTTTGCAGCCAGGTTGCATTTTGCGATTACAAAGAAAGGACTAATCATTTTATTATGTATCTCAAAAGTAAAAAGAAATCTTAAAAAAAAATCCCAAATCTAAACTTTCATATATAAAAAGAATCAGCCCATTCATCAACATTTTTTTATTAGTAAACTATTGCACATTTTATTTTTTTTTATTTTTTTAAGTAAATTTTATTAAATTATAAAAGTTTCCATTTCCGCCCCCCCTCCCAACACCCTCCCACTCCCCCCACTCCCCCTCCTCCTCCCTCTTCGTCCCCCAGGGCAGTCAGGGTTTCCTGCCCTGTGGGAAGTTCCAGTTCCTTCCCCCTCCCTCCAGGTTCAGGAAGGTGAGTGTCCAAACAGACTGGATCCCCAAAATCCAGCATATGCAGAGGAAACAGGTCCCAGTGTCATAGTCAATGGCTTTTCAGAAAGACTTCGGGCCAGCCACAGTCATAGAATCCGGCCAAATTCCGAGAATCTGGTTAGATCACGTCCTCGTTCAGTCCCAGTCCAACGGGCCTTGGTAAACTCTCATCAGATCCGTTCCCTTGTATCAGTGGGTGATAGCATCCCTCGCAGTACTGATTTCGTTTTTCTTGTTCTTCCTCCTTCTGCTCCTCATTTTTTGAGAGAACATTTCTCTGTAGCTTTGGTGCCTGTTCCAGAACTAGCTCTTGTAGACCAGGCTGGCCTCGAATTCACAGAGAGCCATCTGCCTCTGCCTCCTGAGTGCTGGAATTAAAGGCGTACACCACTACTGCCCAGCATATCAATATTTTTTTATATCAAGAAACTGAAGGCAGAAATGGGCACAAGGAATTAAGCATCATCTTTGATTGCCAACCCATCCTAACAAGAAAGACATGTCAGCTAAAACAATTGGGCTGCTTTGTTCTTATTTCCTGACTTTAATGAGTCCCTTGCTCAACTGTGTGCCTTTCTAAACTTTCAGTTGCTTCCCTGGGTTTTTCTCCTCAATGCTATTAACAAAAACATCTTAAAGCTTTGTTTTAACTATGATATACACCAAAAATTTGATAATACATCTCTCACTAATAAAATTAAAATAGCTTGAGCAAACTTAGCTTCTGGGACTCAATTGAGGTAGAGGTCAGAGTCAGTGGATGGCTGTTTTGCTTTTCTTTCTTCAGATTGAATCCCAATTTCTGTTTCTGGGTTTTTATTAGTCGTGCTACATTATGTATAACAATTACAGGATCACAGAGAGCTTCTTAGCAGTTAGGCCCATCTTTCAAGGAAACACCCAGGGAAGGACTCAGAATGTTCAGGAAATAAAGACTTTAGTTTTGTAGTGTAAGAGGCATACCACCAAGAAAAGTGCTTAGAAAAGTAGTCTATTTAGACTTAAAAAAAAACAACCCACTTTTTTATTTAATCAACAATTAGAACAATACTTCTTAGGAAGTATGCATAAATGCACTGAAACTAACTAAACAAATGAAAACAAATAGAAGAACAAGAAAAAGCAAGTTTGAGGCAGCTGGGAGTCACTGAGTGGAAGAACATACATCTTTAGAAACTTTAGTAGCACTTAATCCATGGAGCCATATCTCCTGTCCTTTGTCATCATATTGTATCATATTTATTATCTAATAATTTGGAAAATAACTATTACTGTTTGTGATTATGTGAAACTGACATCATTTCTGATTAATCTTCACTCTTTTTTGTTATTGTTGTTTGATTAGTTTTGAATCTAGGTATTAAACTAAGGGTCTGCACTCCTTTCAATCTGCAATACTTTTGTCTTTATATGTATGTGGGTGTGCATGCCATTTGTATGCAGTTGGCTTCGGGGCCAGGAAGGCTGTCTGGCCCTCTGGAATTAAAGTTAGAGGTTGTTGTTAAGTCTCCTTAGTAAAGTGCTGGAAACTGAGCCGAGTCCTGTAGAAGAGCAGCACATACTTTTAACATCTGAGCCACTTCTCCAGCTCCTGTGTAGTACTTTTCAATATTTTTCTACAATTTAAAGTAAAAGAAAAGGTAATTTTAAATTCTTGAAGGTCTTTATTTCCTCAGAAAAAAATGTTTCCCTTGAAATATTCTTGTTTTCTCAGAGAATATATTTTTCATTGTAAGAGGTGTAACATTCTGAAAGGAAATACAGACTTACTCTTTTTATTGGGTAAGGGGGAAAAAACCTTTTCTAGTCTTAATTTAAAATTTTTACAAATCTCAGTTAATGGGATAAGAATGAAATACTATTTAGGATTTTTATGTATTTGTCTGTTGTATTTTATTTAATTTACTACATTTTTTATTACTTAATGTCAGTTCTCTCAGTGAAATAGAAGATTCCCTTCCTCCTGGTAAAGCAGTATATTATACATGGGCTGATCCAGTGGGTTCTAGAAAGCTGAAGTGGAGTTGTGGGCAAAGCCATGGTGAAGTAACACATAAGGATGTAAGTACTGAGTTGATCATTATGGAGTTTTCAGCTGCCTTTTTATATTTTATGCAAGTGTTATTTTACCCCTAGTGGATTTTAAGGACTGCTTTTTGCTATTCTGTAAAAGTTAGTAAAGATTTTAAAAAGCATTATTGAAGTTGTTTTTACTTTTGCCAATTTTCTTTAGGTTTGCCTTTTTCAAACTCCAACCAGAAGCTAACAGAAGTGGAAATTTTTTGTTTGTTTGTTTGTTTTGCCCACCGTTTCTCTAAAGGAGTATGCAAGGCCATAGCAAAAGCTGGCATTTAGAAGAAACAGCAGAGTGTAATCTTTCCTTTTGGTCATTGTGCAGTAGTCCTGTCCCACTTGATCTTTTCCAAAACCACCAACAACTGCAAGTCTGATTTTATCTACATCATCGTTTGTTTTTACTGTTAGCGAAGTTGGCATGCTTGAAAAAACCTTTCAGCATTCCTCTCTCAAGTGTCTTTGCCCCATACTGAACAGTCACCTCACTAGAGTTCAGCTCTGTAAGGTGCCTAAACTAAAAGGAGTTATTTCTCCATGGCAAGCTGTAGAAACCAATGACAATCATTTCAGGGACTGAGATCACCAGTTTTACCATTCTTAGCGACTCACCATTTTCCAGCCCTCTACAAACACTTTTATTTTGCATACGTTTTCCAATAAAAAATATTGTACCAAGAAATTCTTACTCAGAGTTTCTTTACCTTTTTATTCTACTTACACCTTTTTAGATTTTAGTTTCTCTTATGTGTTGGTATATTTGCCTCCTTACTAGTATCTATATATGTGTTACATATGTATACAAGTTCCCATGGATGTCCTATAACCTGCATACATGTGGTACTTGTGAGCTGCCTGATGTTGATGCTGGGAAATGCTTTTAACCACTCGGCATTTCTCCAGACCTCCTGGACTAGTTGGATTTTTTTTTCCCATTGTCTGTTGCTGTGGGCTTTAGTTGATTTGATTTTGTTTTAAAGTGGATTTTATAAATTAACCTAACTTTTAATTTTTAAAAATTCTTGATTATTGGGTTTTGTTTTCTTTTGTTTGATTTGGTTTGGTTTAGTTTTTTTGAGACAGGGACTCCTTAAATAATTCTGGATGTTCTGGAGTGTGCTATGTAGACCAGGTTGACCTCAAACAATGGAGATCCACCTACCTCTACCTCCTAAGTGCTGGGATTGATGACCTATATGATCTCTTGATTATCACATTGCATAGATAAATAATACTAATAGTTAGAAGTTTATAAAGATAAGTCTGAAGTTTGGTATATTAGAGATTCCAAGTATTTGGAAATACCCATTTTCTTAATTCTCTGTACTTCTAGTACTGTGTGTTTTATTTTAGAAGTTTTTGTAGGTAAAGCTATGATACCTAGGTAACAATTTTGTGGTAACTTCAATTTTTAATTTTTATGTATTATAATATAAATGTGAATTAAATATTAATTTTTTATGAATCAGAATACTTACTAACTAGAATTCATACTTAATTGTTTATTTATTGTATCTGTTTTATTATTGAATCTAAAGACCTGATATCAATACAATGTTTTTTCATTTATTTTTACTTTCTCTATGTGTTATTCTTATAGCTATAGATTTGTGTGTCTATGCATATGTACACACATGAGTACAAGTGCAGCACGATTAATAAAAACCCAGATACAGATGTTGGGGTTCATTCTGAAGGTCAGAAAAGCAAAACATCCAGACACTGGCCCTTCCCTCTACCTCAGTCTGAAATGGCAGTCCTGCCTCCAGGAATCCTCAGAATGAGGAGCTGTCTCCTCATTTTATATTTCTCTCTAAGGCTGGGATTAAAGGTGTGTACCACTAATGCCCAGTGTCTATAGCAAACTAGTGTGGTTCCTGGGAATAAATGTGTATTCTACCATTATCTGGTCTGTAAGACTGACCAGTGGGACTGTTTTACTCTCTGACCTTCAGGCAAGCTTTATTTATTGCAATATAAATAAAATATCACTACAGGTACAAGTATACCACAGGTCAACTTGTGTAGGTCAGAGGACAGCTTGAATATCAGTATATCAGAAGATTTCTTCTTCTACTGTATGATTCCTGGAGATTGATTCAGGTCATCAGTCTTGCCTACATGTTTTATTACCTGTTGACCTGTCTCACTGACTCCCAACACAGTATTTATAAAGGAAATTCCTAAGTGACCCTTAGAAAATCAGTGCTTTTTATAAATATACGTTTTTATTTGTCTTATATTTTGGAACAAAAGCTCCCACTGTACCTAGGTTAGCTTAACTCATGGCAATCCTTTTGCCACAACCTCTCAAGTCCTGTAATTGAAAATGTGAGTTATTGCACCAGCTGTATCAGTGCTCTATAAGGCTTGCAACTTTTTCTTACTCTGCTGTGTAAGGAAATGTGAATTTGAGGCTTAAACAACCTATAATATGTACTATATTTACAGAGAGTTACAATGATTTAGAGTAAATATTACTTTGTGTTGTTGGTTTAGCTTATAGGATTTTAAATTTGATTTTATTATGATCTAAAAGTACTTAAACAACTGGTTTTACTTAATGATTAACAATATCATTATAATGTAGCAGCTGACATCATGTTATTTTAGTGAGGAGATCTTCCAGGTACTGTACAATTATTCATTCTCTGGATTACTGTGAATTGTCTGAAATAGCTCATACGAGTGATAACTCTCTCCAAGTGATATGCAAATGTTCATTTAGATTGCTGCCTCAGCTTTAGGAAGTCAGGCTATTTGTATTCTCACCATATAAATGTCAAGTGTGGACTTAATGTTTGTTGGGTACAAACTGATTCCGTTTTTTATTGTTTTCTTTTAGGATATGATGACCCCTATAAGTGTGGGGAAAAAAACCATTTATTTAGTGTCATTCTTTGAAGGTTTGCAGCGTATTATTCTATTCACTGAAGATCCAAAAGTGTTTAAAGTAACGTATGAAAGTGAAAAAGCAGAGTTAGCAGAGCAAGAAATCGTATTGGCATTACAAGATGTTGGAATTTCACTTGTCAATAATTATACAAAACAAGAAGTAGCCTATATAGGCATTACAAGGTTAGATGCTTTAATATTAGGAATAATATTTAAAGATAAAACTCAGAATCTGTTCCTAAAATGGTTTACTTCATTTGGCCTCTCTGGTTTCTGTTACCTCTACTTCTACTGTGTTTCTATCATGCTAGTGGTCTCTTCGTTCTTCTTCATGCACCACAGTGCCTATTGCTCCAGGGTTCTTGTTAAAGCTGCTCACGTATCTGAAATGTTTTTACCCTTTTTTGCATCCCTACAGATTGTGGAAGTTTCACAATCTCAATGAGGCCCTACTGGCCATTCCATTTTAATATAGTTCTGGTATTTAAGACTGAACTTCTGTCTTAGACTATATTTTTTTATTTCAAAAGTATTTTCCCCTCCTATATAGTCAAATTGATTTATTCGTGTTTACAATTATCTGTGACTCTCTAGTGAAAATGAAGAATGACAAGGATGCTCAGTGGTATTTTTCTTCTACTTAGAACATTGCCTGAATAAAAACTAAATAAGTATTAGTTGAGTAAATTTACATTTTTAAATTGGAAATGTGCTTACTTATAACTGAGACTGTTGTGAAACTTGGGTGGAAGTTCTGTAGTTCATGTAATTAAATACTAGTTTAATTGTTATCAATTAATACTGTGATATCTGCTTTCATATGTAAGCTCTGATGTGGTTTGGGAGACAAAACCAAAGAAAAAAGCAAGGTGGAGGCCAATGAGTATAAAACACACCGAGAAGCTGGAGAAGGAGTTTAAGGAATACACGGAATCTTCGCCTTTGGAAGACAAGGTTATTGAGTTGGACAATAACATTCCGGTAAATTTAAAAAGTGCTCATGTGAACTTTTAATTTTACATTTTTGTTTGAAATCTTTCTGAATTTTAAGGAGAAACTGACTTATTACAAAACATATTGAATGTAGTTAGTGCTAATGTAGACTTCATCTGACCTGCTTTTATATTAAGAAATTGAACATTCTCAAGATACCAGTTACTAATAATTCTTTAAAGTAGCAAGAAGCAAGATCTTTTTTATTTCAAGATTTGCATTATTTTCTTAAAGTCAGTTTTAGTGATTAAATATAAAAAGCAATGCAGCCAAGCTATAATCTTCGTACGAATATTACATTTTATGGATATGAACATAAAAATTTGAATCTTAAATCTGTGCTTTAAAAACTTTTTTTTGGTTTGATGCGGTTTGGTTAGTTTTGCCCTGGCTGGCCTAGAACTCGCTGTGTAGATTAAGCTATCCTCAAGGATGGCAATCCTCTGTGTATGCCCCCAGAGTACTGCGATTACAGACAGGCACTAGCATATTCAACTTTATCTTCTTAACTTAGCATACAAAGTAATGGGTTTCAGTGTGTATGTGTGTGTGTGTACATATGTATATATAATGAATATTTATCATTATATTTTGCTTCTACTCATTTCCCTGACAACACGACCCTTTTATGTAGACTTTCCATTTTAAATTACTGTATCCTGAAGTTATTTTCATATAAATTGATGATTTTAATCAATGGTCAAACAGCTCACTGTTGGGTTGTTTTTTGTTTTTTTTTTTTTTTTCAGGTTCGCTTAACACCTAGTGGCAATGACATGAAAATTCTACAACCACATGTGATAGCTGTACGGAGAAATTACCTCCCAGCACTAAAAGTAGAATATAACACATCTGCACACCAGTCATCGTTCAGAATTCAGATTTATAGAATACAGGTGAGTCTGGAAAGGAAGGCAAAACAATAAAAGCTCAGATTTGTTCCCCTGGTCTGTTTTATCTAGTACAAAACCAAAGAAGGCAAGATAGAAGCCAGAAAGTAAGAAGTACACTGAGAAACTGAAAAAGAAGCCAGAATTACATGCAGGCAGTAATCCTGGCCCTTGATAAGATGAACCTGGGATAACCATGAGTTCAAGACCAGCCTGGGCTCCAGAATGAGACTCAGTGTCTAAGACTGAAAGAAGTCATGCAGCATGGAGGAATAGTTTGAGAGAGAGAAGGACAGTAGAAAAAACGATAAAGGAAGTGAAAGGAGGGCGGGACTGAAGTTGGAGATGTGAAGGGATATAGTGAGCTTCACCTTGTATCAGCTGTGTTGACATCTGAATCTAGTTCTGAAATTCTAGTATCCTGGTCAACTTGTGTATGTGAAATGATGTATACTGATTCATATTTCATCTTCCTAGATCCAAAACCAGATTCATGGTGCTATTTTTCCTTTCGTGTTTTATCCTATTAAACCTCCAAAGTCTGTCACCATGGACTCAGGTTTGTGTTTATTTTTAGATTGTGGTATAAATAGTTGTGTGGCTAGGTTTTTTGTTTTTGTTTTGTTTGGCGATTTTGGGGAGTGGAGTGGGGAGGGCTATCTTAAATTTAGTTTTTCTAGATTAGATAATAAAGCTGCTTACTGAAGGTCTAGGAGTTAATCATTTGAACATTATGTGAATGCTGAGGGAAAGGTTACTTAAAAAAGTATGTGTTGGCGATGTAGAAATAGGAAGTTTAAACCATATTGCTGATATGTAAACTATTTAATAACCTATAATATTTGAACTGAATAAACAAGGAGAAAATTTATATTTATTTTTTTAAGATTTTATTGTTTATTTTATGTGTGTGCATAAGAGTGTATATGTACGCTGTGTGCATGCCTGGTGCCTAAAGAGGTCAGATCCCCTGAAACTTGAGTAACAGATTGTATGCTGCCCAGTGTGTGTACAGGGAAGAGCAGTCAATTCTCTTAACCTCTTGGCCATCTCTCTAACCCCAAGAGTCAGCATTTTTCTGAATAGTTCTATGTTCTCCAAATGAGAATAACTGATACTCTTTCTTCTACCTTTCTCTCCTCTTCTGCATTTCTTCTCTCTTTCTTGTTTGTGCCTCTTTACCATATTTTCTTTTTACTCCTACCACCTTTCACTCCGCCTCTTTTCCCCCTTTTCTATTCCTACCACAGACCGCATATCATGAACTTCACACTTTTTAGTGGCTTTTTTCATAATTTCTTGCAACTCTTTTAATCACACGCATACTAATTCCATTAGAAATGTGAACCCTGTAAGTCTCTAGAATATGTTTTCACAATTTGCTAATGATTTTAATCCATTCTTCTAATTTACGGTCATTAATATTTGTAATTAGTTATCCTTAAAATGACTGTAAATAACTAAAAAGGTAATTCTGGGATCTGAAATTAAGACTAAATGACCCTGTAGATGTCATTAATTTTAATTATGCTGCTGATGTACTACATGATTGATTTTCCATTGACATGTATATTAAATTGAATGAAAATGCCCATCCTTTGGCTTAAAATGTGATGAGAATAATCATATTTTTAACATTCACAGAACCAAAGCCCTTTACAGATGTGAGCATTGTCATGAGATCTGCAGGACATTCCCAAATATCACGCATTAAGTAAGTGTTTCATATATTTCTTGTGTGTTTACTCATTTAAATAGTTTTGTTCTTATTAAAACTAGATTTCAGGTGAGTCAAATACTTAAGTATAAGATAATAAATTTTAAAGGTTAAAAAAAAATCTATTGAACATTTGATAATCTTAACAGAAGATTTTGGTATAATATACTTAAATGTTAACAATAGTTGTTTCTGGATCTCAGCTTCTTTAGTATTTGCATTTTTTATGTTTTAAATTATTTATAATGACCATACATTGTTTTGGAAACAGAAACAAAAGTAAGATTTTCATCTTTACTCACAAATTGCTCATTCCAAGAAGCAGATTATGGACCACAGCATCCATCTGCGTGATACTCCGCTCTTCATTTCTTCCTCCTTATCACTGAGATAAATTGTACTAAATACCCTGCTTTAAAAAATGCAGTATTAGAACCTCCCAGGAACTAGGCCTGAACCAGGACCTCTGCCAGTCTGGGCATGAGTGAACCTGGGTACTCCAAGGGAAGAGGGAATAGGCAGGAACCAGAGAACTCGGCGGGCCAGGCATGAGTCTGGGGCCTCAGAGAGAGTATTCCTGAGCCAGGACCTCTGTGGGTTTAGGCATTGGTCTGGGACATCAAAGGGAATAGGCAGGAACCTAGAACCTCTGCAGGTTCAAGTGTGAGTCTGGAACCTCTGAGAAAGTAAGTAGGTCCTCTGTGGGTCTGGAAGCACCCAAGCCTGGGACCTCCAAGGCAGTAGACCAGAAACAGAATGCTTTTCAGGTCCATCTCCAACCCTGGGCTCCCACTTCTACAGGAGGGAATCCAGACCAGGATCTACAGATAAAGGTCAAAGTAGGTAACCTAGGCCAAAGTTGCCCTGAGGCAAATAACTCCACCTTGGGCAACAAATTCCACAGGAGTGGGACTGAATGAGCCACCTAAGACAGGAGGGCCTGAGGAAACAAGCTCCCCTGGGAGCAGAAGCCAGGACCAAATCCTGTCCTGGGAGCCAACCCAGTTCCAGAACACTGGTGGATCAGGATTGAGCCAGCGACAATATCCAGAGTCAGCAACCTCCACCAGAACAAATCCAACTCCAAGCCAGGGACTTCTGCAGGAGAGGATCCAGACCAGGATTTACAGAAACAGGGCAAAGCCAGCAACCTAGGCCAAAGTCGACCTGAGACAGCAAACTCAGGGAGCAGAGCAAAGCACAGGAGCGCTGAGCTATCTCCAAAAACATGGAGTAACCAACAGGGTAACTAGAACTGTGACACTGACTGTACCACAAGGAACAACCATCTGAGCTTTGAATTCACTGACACCTAGCAGATTATTCAACAGAATCTCAGACAGCCCCAAGTACACCTATTAGAGGAAAAGATGAGTAAAATAGGTAAGATCACACGCTGTACCACAAAGAGCAACACAATACCAGTAAAACCTAAAGACCCTAAACAGCAATACCTGAACAACCAAATATAGATGAACCAGATGAAAAAGACCTAAAAAATAACTTCAAGAGAATGTTTGAAATTCTTAAAGATGAAATGAGAAATTCCCTTAAAGAAATTGAGGAAAAGACAAACAAAAAATTGGAAGATATCACCAAATCACTTAAAGAAAACCAAGAAAAAGAAATCAAACATATAAAAGAAACTATTCAGGACTTGAAAACTGAAATAGAAACAATAAAGAAAACACAAGCTGAAGGAATTATAGAAACAGAAATCATGAGAAAAAGATCAGGAACCACAAATGCAAGCATGAACAGCAGAATACAAGAAATGGAAGAGAGAATCTCAAGCGCTGAATATACAATAGAGGAAATAGACTCATTAGTTAAAGAAAGCATTAAATCTAACAAAAGCTTAACCCAAAATATCCATGAAATATGGGACACCATGAAAAGACCAAATCTTAGAATAATAGGTATAGAAGAAGAAGTTCAACTCAAAGGCACAGAAAATTTATTTAACAAAATCATAGAAAAAAACTTTCCCTACCTAAAGAAAGATATGCCTATGAAGATACAGAACACCAAATAGACTGGACCCCCCCCAAAAAATAACTCCTCTTACCACATAATAATAATCAAAACACTAAACATACAGAGTAAAGAAAGAATATTAAGAGCTGCAAAGGAAAAAGGCCAAGTTACATATAAAGGTAGACCTATCAGAATTACACCTGATTTCTCATTGGAGACAGTGAAAGCCAGAAGAACATAGTCAAGCATTATGCATTATGCAGCCCAGACTACTATACCCAGGAAAACTGTCGATCACCATAGAAGGACAAAACAAAATATTCCATGGCAAATCTGGATTTCACCAATACCTAGCCATAAACCCAGCCCTACACAAAATACGAGAAGGAAAACTCCAACCCAAGGAAGATGGCTACACCAACAAAAACACAGACAATTGATGATCTCATAACAACAAATCCTGAAGAAAAAAACACACAAATTAACATCACCAACGATGAAAACTAAATTAACAGGAGATAGCAATCACTGGTCATTAATATCCCTTAATGTAAATGGACTCAACTCACCTATTAAAAGGCACAGGCTAACAAATTGGATAACAGAATCCATTCTTCTTCTGCATACAAGAAACACATCTCAACCTTAAAGACAGACATTGTCTCAGAGTAAAGGGTTGGGAAAAAAATATACCAATCAAATGACCCAAGAAACAAGCGGGTGTAGCTATCCTAATGTCTAACAAAATAGACTTCAAGCTAAAATCAGTCAAAAGAGACAAAGAAGAGAAGTTCATATTAGTCACAGGAAAAATCCATCAAAAGGAAATTTCAGTTCCGAACATCTATGCCCCAAATAAAGGGCACCCTCATATGTCAAAGAAACACTTATAAAACTTAAATCATACATTAAACCACGCACACTAATAGTGAGAGACTTAAACACTCCCCTCTCACCACTGGACAGGTCAAACAGACAAAAAATAAACAGAAATAAGAGAACTAACGTTATGACTCAAATGGACTTAACAGACATCTATAGAATATTCCATCTAAACAGAAAAGAATATACCTTCTTATCAGCCCCTCATGGAACCTTCTCAAAAATTGGCCACATAGTCGGTAACAAAACAAACCTCAACAAATACAAAAAAAAAAAAATGGAATAACCCAATGTAACTTATCACCATGGTTTAAAACTAGAAGTCAACAGCAATACTAATTCCAGAAAACCCACAAACACATAGAAATTAAACAATGCTCACCTGAATCATCAATGGGTCAAGGAAGAAATAAAGGGGGACATCAAAGACTACCTAAAATTCAATGAAAGTGACCACACAATATACCCAAATTTATGGGACACAATGAAAGCAGTGTTAAGAGGCAAGTTCATAGCACTAAATGCCTACATAAAGAAGCTGGAAAAATCCCACACGAGTGAATTAACAGAACATTTGAAAACTTTAGAAGAACAAAAAGAAGCAAACTCACCTAAGAGAACTAGATGGGAGGAAATAATCAAATTGAGAGCAAAATCAACAAAATAGAAACAAAGAAAACAATACAAAGAATTAATGAGACAAAGAGTTGGTTCTTTGAGAAAAATCAACAAAATAGACAAACCTTTATCCAAACTCACCAAAAGACAGAGAGAGAATATCCAAATTTAAAAAATCAGAAATGAAAAGGGGGACATAACAACAGACACGAAGGAAATACAGAGGATCATCAAGTCATATTTTGAAAGTCTGTACTCCACAAAATTGGAAAACTTAAAGGAAACGGACAACTTTCTGGATAAATATCACTTACCAAAATTAAATCAAGACCAGATAACCTAATTAAACAGACCTTTAACTGCTGAGGAAATAGAAACAGTCCTCAAAAGTCTCCCAACAAAAAAAAACAAACAAACAAAAAACAAACAAACAAAAAAAGCTCAGGACCAGATGGTTTCAGCTCAGAATTCTATAAGACTTTCAAAGAATAACTAATACTCCTCAAATTATTCCACACAATAGAAGGAACGTTGCTAAACTCTTTTTATGAGGCTACAATTACCCTGATACCCAAACCACAGAAAGACATTACTAAGAAAGGGAATTACAGACCAATCTCACTCATGAACAATGATGCAAAAATACTAAATAAAATACTGGCAAATCGAATCCAAGAATACATCAGAACCATCATCCACCATGATCAAGTAGGCTTCATCCCACAGATACAGGGATGGTTCAACATACGAAAATCTGTCAACCTAATCCACCATATACAAGTTAAAAAATAAAAACCACATGATCATCTCATTAAATGCCAATAAAGCTTTTAACAAAATATAAGATACCTTCATTATGAAGGTCTTGGAGAGAGCAGGGTTACAAGGAACATACCTAAACATAATAAAGACAATATACAGCAAGCCAACAGCCAACATCAAACTAAATGGAGAGAAACTCCCAGCGATTCCACTTAAACCAGGAACAAGACAGTGTTGTCCACTCTCCATATCTGTTCAATATAGTTCTTGAGGTCCTAGCTAGAGCAATAAGACACCAAAGGGAGATCAAGGGGATACACATTGGAAAAGAAGAAGTCAAACTCTCACTGTTTGCTGATGATATGATAGTTTACATAAGTGATCCCAAAAATTCTACCAAGGAACTTCTACAACTCAAAAACACTTTTCAGCAATGTAGCGGGACACAAGATTAACTCAAAAAAAATCAGTAGCCCTCCTGTACACAGATGATAAAAGGGCTGGGGAAGAAATCAGAGAATCAACACCCTTCGCAATAACCACAAATAGCATAAAATATCTCAGAATAACTCTAACCAAACAAGTGGAAGACTTGTATGACAAGAAATTTAAATCTTAGAAGAAAGAAATTAAAGGAGACACCAGAAAGTGGAAAGATATTCCATGCTCTTGGGTAGGCAGAATTAACATAGTAAAAATGGCAGTCTTCCCAAAAGCAATCTACAGATTCAACGCAATGCCCATCAAAATTCCAGCAAAATTCTTCAAAGACCTTGAAAGAACGGTACTCAACTTCATGTGGAAAAGCAAAAAACCAAGGATAGCCAAAACAATCCTGTACAATAAAAGAACTTCTGGAGGCATCACAATCCCTGACTTGAAACTCTACTACAGAGCTCAGTACTTAAAACAGCCTGATATTGGCATAAGAACAGACAGGAGGACCAATGGAACTGAATAGAAGACCTGGATATCAATCCACACATCTTCAAACACCTGATCTTTGATGAAGAAGCAGAAAAATATCAAATGGAAAAAAGAAAGCATATTTAACAAGTGGTGCTGGAATAACTGGATATCAACATGTAGAAGAATGAAAATAGATCCATATCTATCACCATGCACAAAACTCAAGTCCAAGTGGATCAAAGACCTCAACATAAAGCCAGCTACACTGAACCTTATAGAAGAGAAAGTGGGAAGTATACATGAACGTAATGGCACAGGAACCACTTCCTAAATATAACCCCAGAAGTACAGACACTGAGAGAAACACTTAATAAATGAAACCTCCTGAAACTGAAAAGCTTCTGTAAAGCAAAGGACATGGTCAACAAGACAAAACGACAGCCTACAGAATGGGAAAAGATCTTCACTAATCCCACACCAGTCAGAGGTCTGATCTCCAAAATATACAAAGAACTCAAGAAATTGGACACCAAAAGATCACATAATCCAATTTAAAAAAAAATTGAGTACAGACCTAAGCAGAGAACTCTCAACAAAAATGGCTGAAAGACACTTAAGGAAATGTTCAACATCCTTAGTCCTCAGAGAAATGCAAATCAAAACAACTCTGAGATCCCATCTTACACCTGTAAGAATGGCCAAGATCAAAAACACTGATGACAACTTAGGCTGGAGAGGTTTGGGGGAAAAGGGAACACTTCTGCATTGCTGGTGGGAATGCAAGCTGGTACAACCCCTTTGGATGTCAGTGTGGCGATTTCTCAGGAAATTAGGAAACAACCTTCCTCAAGACACAGTAATACCACTTTTGGGTATATATCCAAAGGATGCTCAGTCGTGCCCCAAGGACATGTGGTCAACTATGTTCATAGCAGCTTTGTTTCATAGCCAGAAACTGGAAGCAACCTAAATGCCCCTCGACTGAAGAATGGATAAGGAAAATGTGGTACATTTACACAATGGAGTACTATACAGCAGAAAAAAATAACATTTTGAATTTTGCAGGAAAATGGATGGAGCTAGAAAACACTATTTTGAGTGAGGTAACCCAGACACAGAAAGACAGTTATCACATGTACTCACAGTTGGTTTTTAAACATAAAGCAAAGAAAGCCAGCCTACAAACCACAATCCCAGAGAACTTAGACAACAATGAGGACACTAAGAGAGGTAAATATAGATCTAATCTACATGGGATGTAGAAAGTAAAAAAAGATAAGATTTCCTGAGTAAATTGGAGCATGGGAACCTTGGGGGAGGGTTGAAGGGGGAGGAGAGAGGCAGGGCGGGGAGCAGAGAAAAATGTAGAGCTCAATAAATATCAATAAAAAATTAAAATAAGTGCAGTACTGTGGATCAGTATTATGAAGAAGTCTTAGTGGATAAAGACACTATCACAACCTAGTAAAGCCTAAGTTTGATCCCTAGAACCTTCATAATGGTGGAAGGAGAGAACTGTCTACACAATGTACTGTTTACACATGGCCCACACACATGCACACTGATAATAGATCAAATTTTAAAATAAATATATTTTGACTGTGTATGCATGGTTAAATTGCTTTTATTTTTATTTTCTAGTTTTCTTTAAAATTTATGCCCTTATTTTTATGAGGATGAATATCTTGCCTGTATATGTCTGCACACCATTTTATATGTCAGGTGGCTGCTGTGGCAGTAGAGGAAATGGGATTCCGTGGGACTAGAGTTGCAGTCAGTTATGTGCATTCAGTGGGTGGTGGGAATCAAACCAAATCCTCTGGAAGAGCAGCAGCCAATGAGGTCATCTCTCTAGCTAGCTGGATTGATGCCCAATTTTCTCAAAATATTTAAAACTGTAAAAGACTTGTAGGACTTGCTTTTTTAATTAAAATTTTTTATTTAGATGTAATGATTTGCCACATATAGTTTGTTTATTCATTATTGTTGTTATGTAATGGTCTATTTCATGACCTTTTGTCACAAGTCAATTTCTTTTCTGTGGCCACTTTCATGTTTTAGCTTCTTGATGTTAAAATATAGCATGGTTCATTGCATTCTTTAGTCCCAGGTTTCAAAATTCTAATTTATTTCGTCTAATTTCTTAATTTATTTACTTGAAAAGAAAATGAATGCTTCTAACATTTTAATATAGGTATTTCAAAGTGTTGATTCAAGAAATGGATCTCAGATTGGATCTTGGGTTTGTGTATGCCATAGCAGACCTTGTCACAAAAGCTGAGGTGGCTGAGAACACAGAGGTAAGACTTAAAGTGACAGCATCTGACAGGAAAGGATATGAAAAGAGACAGTCTAAGAAAATATTACCAAACTTTGTAGGTAAAGTTGTAGTTACTACCTGATCAAATTCAAGAGTCTCTCAGCACATCTTAAATGTTTATATACTACATAAATGTGAATGTGCTTTCTCCCTGTAACATTTGCATGCACAGAATCATACCATGAGCTGCTGGTTCATAATTAATTTTTTATTTATGAGAATTTCATACATGTATACAATGAAATATCATATTCATCCCCATTTCCTCTCCAGCTGCCTTCGATCTCTATCACTTGGCATGTTTTTAGTGCTTCTCTGTGTTGTGTTATGTATCAACATGTCATTCCAACTAACAGTCCTTTACCTGGGTTTGTTGTACTGCACCTGTTTATTTGTCGCTCGCTTGAATCTGGATTGCTTTTACATTTTTTCTAGAACGATGATGTTCTTTATGGACATAATTTTCTGTCAACGTAGACTATTCATTTTTCATATATATACATGCCTAGGAGTAGAATTGCTAAGTAACATAGTAATTATGTTTCATCAAATTTAATCTTTTAAAAAATTCACCAGCAATTTCATGTGTTCAATCATTTTAAAATTTTAATTTCTAAAGTGACTCTGCCATGCTTCCATCTTACCATCTTTAGTTCCAGAATGTGAGAACTCTGATTTCTCATCCTTACCTACAACAATTATTGTTTGTGGTTTTCGTTCTGGCTATCCTAGTGGGTAGAAACTGGCTCCTCACTGGGGCTTGTATGTCTGATATTGATACTAGTTTTTTTTAAACATTTAGTTGCTTGTGGGGAGGTAAGAGTATGCCATAACATGCATGTGGTGGTCACTTACCAGCTCACAGGAGTTGGTCCTCTCCTTTCTCCATGTGAGTGCCAAGATCAGGTTTGGCATTGTCTTTACCCACTGAGCCCACCTAGCCCCCTGCTGAGAATCTCTTGATGTGCTAGCTATGTGTGTATCTTCAGTGGAAAGTGTCTGCTCAGGCTCCTCAGGTTATATAATGAGCTGTCTTCTTCCTGTTGAATTTCCAGAGTTCTCTGTGCATCCTAATTGATCTTTGACAGGCCATATGATTTTTCAAACATTTTCTAATGTTCTGGTGAGAAGCACAGAAGTTTTTAATGTTAAGAAAATACAAAATATTTTTTCATTTATTATTCATGCTTTTAATATGCTTTTTAAAAATCATTTGCTAAATCCTGTGTCATAACTATTTTACCATGTAGCTAAGTCTTTAAAGCCTAAACTTTTACAGCTACGTTTTGATCCATTTGTCTTATTTCTATGTATGTGTGACATAAAGACCCCAGTTCTGGAAATAACTGACAACTGCCTCAGCAGCATGTTTTGAAACACTGCTTGTTCCTATATTGCATAGTTGGATTCTTTTTGCAAGAAAAAACTAAATAATTTTATTTCTGAAATCTGTATGTCTGTCATTTTGCCAGCCTTAATTTTTCTCATTGTCAGTGAGTTCCATAACTGGGGTATGATCCAGTACTTTGTTGTTCTTTTTGAAGATTATTTAGGCTAACTTGAGCCCTTGCAGTTACATATGAATTTTTAAATAAGTTTGTCATGTTCTTCAAACAATTCATTGTCATTTTCAGAGTGTAGATTTTGCACTTTAAATGTATTCTTAGGTGTTTATTTTTGCTGGGCTATTATGCATGAAGTTGTATATATTATATGGTTTCAGCGTGGGGTTATAATGCTGGTACATATAGGAATACAACTGCTCTTCATATGTAGCTCTTGTCATTTACAGCATACTGTGTTAGTTTGTTGCCTCTATTATGTATCTTTTGGCTTTCCTATTTAATATCAGATCATCTGAAAAAAGTAGTTCTATTTCTTTGGTTTTTGGTGCGTGTGCTTTTGCTTTTTCATCCTTGTTTGCCTTCCTTGAAGCTAGTGAGATAGTCAACAGCCATGAGAAATATGCATTGGTGGATTGTTTCTGATCATAGAGTAAGATTTTCAGTGTTAGGTTACCCTGAGTTCTTTCTAGTTTTTGATGGTGTATTTAATAATTACATTTATTTGGTATTGTTCATATACATTGCGGGGGCGCTGCTGCTTGGCCAGCAAGCAGAACGACCACGAAATCGAGAATCCTTCCCAAATCACACCTTTATTGGAGCACTCGGTTGAAGGGGAAAGCAGGGAACGGGAGAGAGAGAGAGAGAGAGGGAGAGCAAGGGGGAGAGGAAGTGAGAGAGAGCGTGAAAGGCCCAGAGGAAGCTGCTTTTAAAGGGTGGAGGGACTCGGAAACTGTCCTGATTGGTGAATACCGTTCTGCTAGTGCCCGGGGGTTCCGGATAGGCTAGGGAACCAAGGCTCAGTTGCGCATGTGCAGGCAAGGGCACTCAACCCCATGTGGCTATGCCAAATATGGACTTGTATACCTCCAAGCTGTAGGACCACCTGTGCCATCTCGTAATGGCGATTTCTCCAGGTGGCTCCTTACAATACATCATGCAGACAAATTTGGTTTTCCAGTATTTGGCTAAAGACTTTTATGCTCATATTCTTAAAAGATAATAGTCTATGGTTTTCTTGTGTCCTTCTTATTTTGGTTTTTATGTTGGAATAGTAATGGCTTTATATTATGGGTTAAGAAATGTCTCTTCTTCCTCTGCTTTTTGGAGGCATTTGTGAAGCTCTGATCCTCTTGAAATGTTTGCTAGAATTCAGTAGTGGTGCAGCTGTACTAGCGTTTCCCTTTCAGGTAGTTTTAGGGTCACACCTCACTGCTTAGAGATCATTTTAAATGGTCAGTTTCTTCTTGAGTCAGTTTCACCACTTTACTGGGATTTTTAGGAATCTGTCTATTTCATCTGAGTTTTCTAGTTTATTGGCAGAAAATTATTGATGGTATTTCTTTATAAGCCATTTATTTTGGTAAATCCTGAAATAAAGTTCCCTCTACAGTCCTTTCAAAGAATCAGTTTTTCATTTTCATTGTTTATTCTACTGTTTTACTACTGTCTGTGTTGCTTTAATTATTCTTTATTCATAACCCCTTCCTTCTTGCTTTTGTGTTCTTTTTAATTTTCTAGGTAGGAGATTTGACTATTGCCTTGAAATTTGTTCACTTCCCTTATTAGTTAAATAGTGTGTGTGTGCACATGTGTTTGCTTTTACAGATGTGAGAGGGTATGTGTGCACATGTGTGTGAGTGCCAGAGTTTGATATTTTTCAAGTGAAAGTGGAGTTCACTCATTTGCTTTGATTGACTGACCAACAAGCCTCAGGAATCTTCCTCCCCTGAGGTGAGATTCCAAGCATACTCTGTTGTACTTGGATTTTTACTCGGTTCTGTGAGAATCAAACTCAGCTCCTCACTTGTACAGCAGTCTCTTTTCAATATAAGTATATATAATACATTACTTAGTTTAATCATGTAAGAAAAGTAATGAAAAAATATGTGTTATGTTATCTTTCTAAATATATAGACATGTGGGGGGTGAACAGACAATTGATTGCTTATACATAGGAGAAAAAAAAACAAGTTGTTTTGCCTTCCTCCTCTCCTTTCCCCCTCCTGTTCTTCCTTTAAATCTTTCTCCTCATAATTCCTCTTCTCTTTTCACATATAATTATTTATATATGTAATTATACATACTTACAAATTGTAATTAAAGTTGTAGTTATATTAAATCTTGATTCTGTATATGAGAAATAACAATGCTTGCCTTTCTGAGTGTGGCTTATTTTATACTTACTTTTTTCCTGGGATTTTTGTTCTTTTGTTCTAATTCAAATTAAAGTTTGAAGTCATGTGATGTCTAATTTGTCTGCTTGACACACTCTAAAATCACCTGTAAAAAAGACTCTCAGTTGAGGAATTGTCTTAATTAGGTTGGCCTATGATGTCTGAGTTTTGAGGGCTGTCTTGAAAACATGAACTGATGGGAAGAGGCCCAGCCAAATTGTGGGAGGCACCATCCCCAGCTTTGGGTCCTGGATTGTGTAGGGTAGGAAAAAGTAAAGTGAGTAAGTAGCACGCCCACTCTCCATGGAGTCACTCTCTGCCTGTCTGTGGATGTGGCTACCCCACAGTGATGCACTGTAACCTAGAATTGTAAGCTGATCGTCCTTTACTCCATTAAAATTACTTGTGTTGACGTATTTCATAGCAACAGAAAACAAAACTAAAACGATTAGTTGCTTTGAGTTTCAGAAAACTCAAACTACATGATTTTTGTATCATGTAGGTTAGTTAGCCACAGATTCTCAGACTTTATCTTGGAATATTCTTTCTGGCTTCTTCACTTCCAAAAGTAGTTATGCTGTCCTTGGATGTCTAGTCAGCGGGGCATACAACACTCTGAGTACTGTTCCTTCCTGCCTTTTACAAAATCAGCACTTACCTTCTGGCTTCTGTACATCAGCTTTCTGCTTTTAAGATTTTTCTCTGGTATTTTCCAGCATTACTATTAGTATTATTAACATTATTTTTACATCTGTTGTACTTGAACTGAGTTCACACATTTCCTGGATATGTATTTTATTTTTCAGTAATTTAGGGAGAGTTTCAGGCAGTATTAGGAATATTGGTTTTATTTTTATTTGTCTGTCCCTGCTTCTTGATACAGGTATAATTACCTATGTGAATATGTTTGATGGTATCCAGCATAATTTAGAATCTGTTCAGTTTTTACTTTTATTAACTACAAAATTTCTGTAACTTCAAGTTCTTGGGACGTTTTTTCAGGACACAGAAGTAACATAGGTCTGTGCATATTTGGAAAGGAAGTGTTAATGATTACCAAAATTAAAACCACTGCTACCTCACGCAAAATTATTCAGTGCCTTTTCCTTTTTACATTTGTACTACTGGTCTCTAACTGCTGCAAGACAGACATAAAGTGCTGCAGACTGTTATAGAACTGTGTTTAGAAAAGCAAATAAACAGAAAAAAAATATGTTGCTGGAATGTGTTGGTGCTCTCTTAAAATAGGATCTGTAGTCACATGATGAAAAACTGGATACCATTTAATAGAAACTTAAAAGATACGTATATCATGTGGTTTGTGGCAGACTTTCTGGCAGGAACAATACAAGTTACTTCTGAGACAGTAACTTCCAGTTACGGGTAATGTTGACTCTGAGTGTTAGTTTGTTTTTGTTTTTTTTTAACCTGTGAGGCATTAAATTTAAATATCTTACATATTTACATATAAGCATACCTTTTGGTGCTTATATTTCTTGTATAGGTTGAATATTTTCATAAGGATGTAGAAACATTTGAACAAGAGTATGAAACAGTTTCATCAGTAGATCAATCTCAAATCAATCTCTTCGAGTATTTCCATATATCTCCTATCAAGGTAAGGAACTACACAATTTTTGTTTTTTAAACTAAATAGTTAGAAATTGATTTGATGTTTTAGGGAATTAGCACTTAAATTATCTTCTGTAACAACATAGTAATTGTATAGTTTTACAGTTACAGATATAAATAACAGAGGAATTGATCCTTTACATTTTTAAAAGAGTATATTTTATCATTTAGAAATAATATTGAAATTATATATAACCTATGTCTATATCTTGACCTTTTGACTTTATTTTTTTAGTAAATTGTGATAATTTTTAAAGTTTCATATATGATGATTGTTTTAGTTGTTAGTTCGTTATTAAGTGAACTTCAGAATCAGAAGGTCAGTGTACACATGCATGCATGCACACTACAGCACAAAAAGAGTTGAGCACAGAATATAATTATAAGTTTTAATTATTTTAGTTATTGTGTGTGAGTGTTTGGTGTGTGTGCATACAATGTGTATATGTGAGTATAGGCCTGTCTTTGTCATGGTGGATAGGAGGTTAGAAGATAGCCTTCTCTCCTTCCACCATGGGTTTTGGGTTTGAACTCAATTTGACAGAATTATCTTGCAAGTAATTTTACCCACTGAGCCATCTCGCCAGCCCAAATCTAAGTCTAATGTGTGCATGCGCTTGTCATTTGCGAACATGGAGACATGTAGTAGTCAGTTTTTTCCTTTGGCCATGTGGTTTCCAAGGATTGAATTCAGGCTGTCAGACTTGGCAGCTCCTTTATATACTACTAAGCCATCTTGCTAGTGCTAATCTAAATTGCTAACATAATTTCTACAAGTTATTTGTAGCACATTAAATTATTGCACAATCATACACACATACATATATACATACATACATACTCAGACAAATACACACATGCAGTACAACACAAAAGTGCTTTTAAACTGGTTTTATTGTGCTAACCTAATTCTAACAGTTGAATTTGTAAACTTTAGGAAATATGTGGTTATTATTAACAACTTCAAAATCTAAGTCACTAACGTTACTAACAAATATATTGAGTGAACATTTTCCTAGGATCAGCACAATGCCATGAGAATAGCGTCGAAGATGGGTGTAATAGTATATGTAAGCTCAGCACTCATGATGCTGAGGAAAGAAGGATTCCAAGTCCAGATAGTCTGGGCTATGTACTCACATCCTGTCTCATAAAAATATAAAAGGAGTAGAATTCAATTATGACATCTTAAATGGTGAAGTTTAAATTAAATTTTAAATTGCAGAGGTATGTTGGGTTTTGACTTAAGCTCTTAGTTACTGGGTTTTGGCATAATTCAAGGAACTTTAAGATCTTATTTATGGTTTAATGAACTCAATATTAAACTATTTTGTGTAAGTTAAAGTTGTCACTATGGTGAAAGTGCTCCAATGTATTTCTTTATCTTTTCAGTTGCATTTGAGTGTTTCACTGAGCTCTGGTAGAGAAGAAGCTAAAGATTCAGGACAACGTGGAGGACTGATTCCTGTTCATTCTTTAAATCTTTTGCTGAAGAGTATTGGTGCCACCCTTACAGATGTGCAAGATGTAGTTTTTAAGTATGGTTAATACTTAAATCTATAAACTGATGAATGGTTCATTTATGTTCACCTAAAATTTTTGTAAATGTGAAAAGCATATTGAAAATTATGGGTGAATTGTGGTTTCGGTCTTTAAGAGGGTTATAATCAAAATAATTCCGAGTATTTTACCTGACCTTAATGACTTAGTTAAGACTAAATTTTAAGTAATTTCCTTAAGAAAAAGAGATGTGGGATATTTAGTTTTATATATTTTAGAAACTCTACTTTGAATTAAGGTTCCTTGAAAGAAGTGGATACTTAAAAGATATGATGACACCCACTAAAACAGTTTACCTGAGCTAACGGGAGCTCACCCACTCCGGGCAAACTAGACCCTCTGAATGTGGGTGACAGTTGTATGAGTGGGGCAGAGTGCGGGGCCACCGGTAGACTCCAAGATTTATTCCTACTTCCTTTTTGGGAACCCATTCTCTTTGAAGGGATACTTTGCTCAGCTTAGATATAGTAGGAAAGGCCTTGGACCTTCCCCAAAGCAAAGTGCCTTACCCTCTCTGAGGAGTGGATGGGGCGGGGGTAGGTGGAGGGAATGGGAGAAGGGGAGGGAGTGGGAACTGGGATTGTTATGTAAAATGAAAGAAAGGTAGTTTGTTTTCTTTTTAAAAAAAATAAAAATAAAGAATAGATAAGGCTTGCAAGTCCATCAGATGAAGACTTTTCAGTGAATATGTGACTGGACAGAATAGAAGGAAGTGGACAATGAAGGGATCAATTTAAATGTATTGTAGTCAAGCATTTATTTTTAGACTAGACATTGCGGGACACACGTGCAGCCCTGCCCTTTAGAGGCTGAGATGGAAAGGTGACTGAAGTTCAGGAGTTCACGATGAGCACGTGCAGCAGAGTGAGAGCTCATCTCCAAAGCAGACAAAACTCATATTTATACTCGAGTGTGAGTAGCCTACAGGAGTGTCTGAGTAGAGACTATTTTAGAAAAGAATGCTCTTTCCAGGTAACACGTCTTAGCATGCCTGCTTAGTAAGAGCAGCATGAGAGTCAGAGGCAACTCTGAGTCTAACTAGAAAACAGTCAGCACAAGAGCACAGGTCTGAAGGCATCAGAATAAAGTGGGAATGGATCTTTCTGTTTTCATGGTCAGCAAAAAGAGTTCTCCAGTTAGTGAGTTAGTTGCTGCCTCTGTTAGTTAGTCCTAGTTAGTCCTCGAAGGAAGACCGGCAGGCAGCAGCAGAAACCTGGGCATTCCCAGGTGGCCCCTCAGTCATCTCAGCTTGTCAAAACATTTTTTTGGGGGGTCTTTTAGGGCAGAGTTGGGAAATAGTTCTATAAGTCCATGGCTGAGATCTTTGTCTTAGTCTTCAGTGTTTTTTTCTATAGGATATGAGTTAAAGATTTTGTCAGGTCATTAGAGAATTTCTTTCACTAGAATGTGCCAAGAATTATATTGAATAAATGTATTGGGAGACATCTGAAGATGAAAATTCTAAAGAAAATAAAACTAGTCATCAATATCTTTTTAAAAGAATTGTTCCCCTCCATGCAGACATAAATGTTTGTATATATACATATATTTGTTAACTTTTTTTCAGACTTGCCTTTATTGAACTCAACTACCAGTTCCGTACAACATCTGAACTGCAATCTGAAGTAATAAGACACTATTCAAAACAGGTTAGTGTGAGATTACCTTAAAAATGGATAGAAATATGTGAGCTAGTCAGGCCTTCTGCATGTCCATGCATGTGCACTATAAATGTGTCAGGAAAGCAAATAACAGTTTTCAAATTTTTAAACATGGTTTTTCCTCCTCAGATTTATTAAGAACTTCAGCCCAACCACCGTTTCAATTTTTTGTCCTTGTTCGTAAAACGAAACAAAATAAAAAACATCATTAGAATTTTTTCTGAATCAGTATGGATTAGAAATACATATATTTTTTAATAATATGTTAATTCATCATGCTTAGTTTCTTCAAACTTTCAGTCACTGATGAACACAAATATTTTTAGTGTGGAGTTATTGAGTCCACTACATACCTTGTTTCTGTGAATCTGTTCAACTTTAGAAAGATTCCTCTATCTCAAGATTTAGACCTGAGTTCTGGGCGTGCATTTCACTTTTGCCATGTGCTGTGACACTGGGAAATCTGTAAGATGCTGGTAGCAGTAGCTCACAAGTAATGGAACACCGAAAACCTTTTTTGTGTTCTAGACTCTGGAATCTAGAGTTTCTTTTTATCTCTTTTCACAGTAACACCAAGTTGCTTTTCAAAAACTAAGTATAAGGTTGTGTGAAGTGGCTTAGTCACTTGAAGTACTTGCCTTGTAAGCTTGACGACCTGAGTTTGAGCCCCAGAACCCATGTAAATATGCCAAGTGTGCTAGTATGTTCTTATAGTCCCAGCACTGAGTAGTCAGAGACACAGTCACTGGGGTTTACGTGCCATCAGTCTAGGCTCATAAGAGCCTGTCTCAAAGAAGAATGATCGTATTCCTCAAGATGATGCCTAAGGTTGACCCCTGCCTTCCACAGTTACCCACACACAGTATGTACCTCCACATACATTACAAACACATGTTTTTAGTAATTATTTTTAAATGACGAATCAAGATAAGAGGACTGGAGAACACTCACTGTTCTTCCCGAGTATGATGGTTTGATTCTCAGAATCCACATGGCAGCCCACAATTTCTGTAACTCCAGTCCCAGGGCATCTAACACCTTCTTCTGGCCTCTGAGGATACTGTATGCATGTGGTACACCAATATGTATGGAGGCAAAACACCCATATAAATAAAATAAAATGCAAAAAAGGAATAGTGATAAAGTTTAGGTCTTGAGATTTGTAATAAAGATGTTAGCCTGCGCAAACTGGATGTGTCTGCTATCCTCTCATGACGTTGATACTCATGTTTCATTTTTAGGCTATTAAGCAAATGTATGTACTCATTCTCGGACTTGATGTTTTGGGAAATCCCTTTGGCTTAATTAGAGAATTTTCAGAAGGCGTAGAAGCATTTTTTTATGAACCTTACCAGGTAAAATATTTATCTTTGTATTATGTAATGAAGAGTATAAAGTAATGATTTCTTACTATATAAAACATTTTTTGTTAACTTAAACTGTACGCATAAACTAGTTTTGAGAGACCTACAAAATTACATTTATTTTAATAGGAGCAACTTCTACCTTTTTCCTTCAAATTTCAACTTAAGCTTTTGTTAAGATCCCTAACTTTAAGTGTTGTTTTAAGATAAAACCATGAATACAGTTTAGATTGTAGGAAAAGGAAGCTTACCATGGATGGTAGTTTTGTTTTGCACAAAAGTATGTGACTGTAAAAATAACCATATTAGCTGGTGCTATACAAAGCAGTCTTAATAGGAAATAGAAAAGAAGAATTTGTTCTACATTCCTTCATGATTTCCATAAACATATTTGGAGTTTACCCACTTTACTTACGAAATGCATAACAAAAGCAAAGTAGAACTAATTTTTATTCTGTACATTGTGATATAGAAATCAGAAATAGTAAGAATTTTAATTTTTATAAAAACTTATCAAGAATACTATATAAACTGTGCATGTGATATGAGATGTCCTTCCGTAGATGTGCTACTTTTATTTATTCATGAATAAAATCAGGCGGGAAATCAGAACAGAGATATATAGAGAGAGTAGGCAGAATCAGGGAGATGCCATGTAGCCTCAGGAGACAAATGCCAGACGGAACCGGAACGTTCCCGGTAGACCACAGCCTCATGGCAATACACAGATTGAAAGGTTAATTCAAGATGTAAGAGCTAGCAAGGAATATGACTAAGCTATTGGCAAAATAGTATTGTAATTAGTATAGTTTCTATGTGATTATTCAGGCTGGGCAGCTGGAAAACGAATCATCAGTCTCCATTTACATGCATGTAGTTTACACTGCAGAGCAAACATCTTTTTTGTTTTTCTTTCTTCATCTGGAACAAGATCTGTTGTACCCTTTACACTTTGAGTGTCGTGAAATTACCCTGCAAACTGAATGTAAAGTTTTTGCTGGTATCATTGTCTTTGTTCCATGTGTCAGTGAGCTCATCCTTTTATTGCCACTTTGTTTTGTCACCTTAGGGAGCCATCCAGGGTCCTGAAGAGTTTGTGGAGGGAATGGCACTAGGACTGAAAGCACTGGTTGGCGGAGCCGTTGGTAAGCAGCAGAAAGCCCAGCAGCACTGCTAGACAGCAACCACAGTTGAGCCTCTAGCTAACATATTACTCTCTCTATTAGGTGGGCTAGCTGGTGCTGCCTCCAAAATCACCAGTGCGATGGCTAAAGGAGTAGCAGCCATGACGATGGATGAAGACTACCAGCAGAAAAGAAGGGAAGCAATGAATAAGCAGCCAGCTGGCCTTAGAGAAGGCATCACTCGTGGAGGAAAAGGCCTGGTTTCTGTAAGAAATTTCATGGGGTTCTGAACATGTTATGGAATAGCTTCTTTAATATATAGTTTATTTTTATGTGCATTGTCAGATCCCCTGGAATTGGAGTTAGAGCCAGCTTTATACTGCCATGTGGGTGCTGGGAATTGAACCTGGGTCTTCTGGAAGAGCAACCAGTGCTCTTAACTGTTGCCCCATCTCTCCAGCCCCAAGAATAGCTTTTAAATCAACATTTTATGAATAAAGAAATAGACATGTAAGTCTAGTTAAATTACTATTGAACATTGTAATGTGGCATATAAAATATTTAGGTAATCTCTAAAAACCTTTTGTTTAATTAAATACTTAGGAAGTAAATATGTTAATTTTGTGATCTATAAGAAGAAAAAAACTCTGAGATTTTTTTTGTCAGCATCATATGGAAATACAACTTTTCAATCGTGTTTTTCTTCCAGGGTTTTGTAAGTGGCATTACGGGGATTGTTACAAAACCAATTAAAGGCAAGTGTTGCAGTTGCTTTGGTTGTCACATAGCTCACAAGTTGCCTCCATTCTCATCTGATCCAATTGCTTAAGCTGGTTATGTTTTATAGGTGCTCAAAAGGAAGGCGCAGCGGGTTTCTTCAAAGGCGTCGGGAAAGGTTTAGTTGGAGCAGTGGCAAGGCCAACAGGTGGCATCATAGACATGGCCAGCAGTACCTTTCAGGGGATCAAAAGGTAAAAACTCTTTGGGAGTGACAGATGAGTAACATTCTGAAGCCAGGAACAATGAAGTGTATCTACCAGTGCTTCTCAGGCTCTTAGTTATGAACTCCGTGGTGTGGCAGATGGTATAGGACTTCCTAATCTTGATTCCTTCTAAGGTGCTGACATTATGTGACTTCAGCATTGTAGAGCTCTCCTTTGTCATCTGTTCCTAGCAATTGTTGGCAGTAATGATTTAGTAAGCTAAGCTTTTATTACGATGAAATTTATCAGTATATGCTGTATGTGTCTGTTTTAAATCAGCAAATCCTCCCTGGTTTTGAGAAAAAAATGTCATTCTTTAGTTCATATTGAATTTGTCTTTACCATACGTTTATGATCTTATTTTAAGATCTGTTACATTCATTCTTCTCTCCTCATTGCTTGTTTCTGGTTTTGTATAGTATAGTAAAATAGGGAAAGGGGTCAGTTTCTTTTCCCTGTAGCTTTGACTTCATAAGTATAACATTTTGAGCCATGGTTCTCAGAGAAGTTCAGAAGTTTGAAACCCAAGGAATTCAAAACATGTAGCAAGCTATACAGACACCTCACAAAGCTGCTAGATTTACCTTGCATTGGTAAATCCTTGCCATTCTGTACCTGGCCTCATTACCTTCAAGGATCAAGTACAAAGTAAAGCATTTTAGAAGGGTTAATAAAGGCCAGGAACTATTAAGAGATGTATTTATGAAGAAGCACATCAAAACAGAGAATAAGTTATAAGAATCAAAGGCAAAATAATTGAAACTGTGTTGGAACTAAGTTAGTATAAAATAATAAAATATGATTTAGAAAGGAAACAATTATCTTGAATCTGTTTAATGTCATTTGTAAAGTGCACATGCTTGTTAAGATGGAATTAATTTTGGGGGAAACCACTTTTGAGAATGAAATAATTAGCAAATAATAAAATCTCAAAAAGATAACAAACTTGAACTTGTATTCAGTTCAGTTCCTCAACTTTTATAAAACATAAACTGATGTAATTATAAGAACTTCTCAGATATGTATATAATGGAAAACTTTAACATTTCTCTCAACTTTGATGCATCAGGAAGGTAAAAGTAAGTAAATAGATTGAGACATACTAATCTACACATACTAATGAACTGTTGGCTACACACACACACACACACACAGAGTTATGTATCTCTATAAAATGAATTAGAGAGTAGTCTTGTCACTTAAGAAACCATTTCTGAACATTACTGGCAGTATTCCTGTCCTTACAGCTTATACTTTAGTAGGAGAGTAAAGTAAATGACTGATAAATATGTATTGTATGTTATGTTAAGTGGCAAAAGGAAAAAAAAAATATGCCATGAAGGCAAAAGCAGATAGAGTTGGGGATGGGACTCAAAACCCTGTGTTTAGCCCCCAGTTTTGAAAGACAAAAAAGAATGAAGAAGAAAAAAGGGCACATTAAGAGAGACAAGGCTAACCAAAGTGATGGTGGAAAAGTGTTGTCTTCCTTTCTTCCTTATTATTTCTCAAAGAGTAGGTGTAAGGGAGGTTGGTCCCCTCGGAGTCAGTACAGGACACACACGGGCACCGAGTTCTCAGCATAAAGGTAATTCATTACCCCAAAGGGTCAAACATTGGGAACAGGTTGCCTCTGGATCAAGCAAAGGCAGACAGCAAGCAGCAGTGTTGGCTTGGATTGGGACTGTTCATTGCAGCTTAGATACACAGTCCCCCCCTTTCCCTGACTCTATCCATAGAAAATAACAGTGAGGAGGAGGGACCCTTTGCCTGGCTGTTGATTGCTCTCATTCTTGTGTAGACTCAGTGTTGTCAGCTTTACTTGTTGAGAGGACTTTGGCTTTTTCTTAAGACTCTTAGAAGGTTTTAAGTCAGAGGAGGTATGTGAGCTGTGGTAAGCTACAGGGAGATTAAGGATAAAATGGACTCCTTGACTGTAATCAAGAAGAGAGGTGGTAACAATTTGACCATTCCCATGCCAGGAGCCATGAAAAGAGATCTAACTCGGTGAACATGCTGGGAAAGGGGTGAGAACAACAGAATTGAAAGATATTTTGTAAACTTACTGAGCTTTCAATTTCTCTTCCACACCCAAATGGAAATGTCAAATAAGTTATTTAGTGTGAGAGTCTGGAGTTTAGAAGAGAAGTCCCAAGTTCCCATGAAAAGTTTGAGGTTATCTCGGAAGTGGTGGCACACGCCTTTAGTCCCAGCACTTGGGAGACAGAGTTTAATTTGAAGATGATGGCCTCCCTCTTTACCTTTGTAGTCCCGCTCCTCTGGGTAGAACACCCTTCCCTGATCTGCACAAAGACTCATTTCCTTTTTTATGAGTTGCTTTTCCACTAAGGCTTCCTGTGGCCACTCTAAAATTTTATTTTACCCATACCTTAGCTCAAGATATTTTGAATTTCCCTTCCTCTCTTTATTTTTAATCTTAGTTTTTTTAACCACTATTTAATATACTATATTTTACCTTAACTGTGTCTTTCCAAAATGCAGATTCTATGAGTGAAGTGACTCTTACCTTTTCCCACTACACTTAGACTATCACTGAGCATATGGTAGTCTGGTTTTTGGTTGTTGTTATTGTTTTGTAATTAAGCTATTATACATTTGTATGCAGTGACAGGAAATAATATAGAGGGATCCTTTACATACTGCATAACATGTCCTCTGGCCACTGTAATAAATTACCACAAACCTGGTGACAAGGGAGAGCGTTTCTCTCACAGGGCCTTGCCTCTTGAAGATCTCAGTAGCTGGTGGCTTTTCTTGCTTTGTAGCTGCCCTTTTGCCTTTTCTGCCTTTATCTTCATATTCCTTTCTCCTTCATGTGTCTGCTCTCTCTCTGCCTGAGGACACTTTTGGTGGCATTTAGAGTGTGCCTACATTATTCCCTTAGTTTGCAGTTCTTGATTTAATCACACAATAGACTCTGCCATGAAGGAACCCTTAATCATTCTGGAGATTAGAACATTAGACTTCTATGGAGGCACCATCCAAACATTATACAGATCTTGCCCATTCTCCACAGGGTAGCAGTTAGTAAAATCATAGTATAATGAGACAAAAGGGAAATTGGCAGAGTCTACTGATCTAATTCAGATTTTTTTTTCCAGCTTAATGGACTAATTTACTTCTATGTCACTGTACTAATCTAATCATGTGTGCTTTTGTCATTCTTGTATCTACAACCATAGTAAAGATATCAAACCGTTCTAGCACAAAAAATATCCCTCCTATTTCTTTTCATACTTACATAAAACCTGCCTTTTTTTCTAAACCTTTTTTCAGTTCTTCAATTAGGTAGTTGTTCCTTTATTATTGAGTTATAAGAATTCTTCATATATTCTGGAAACATACTTTAATAATTATACCTTGAAGTGTACATTAGAGTAGTTTTTAGTTTGATGCTACTGCTATCACTAACAATTTTCCATTTTTATCAGCTCCAAAGGAAATCTCATGATTGTTAGCAGTTACTCCCCATTTCTATCTCTCCTTTGCGTTAGCCATCACTGTTAACTTTTTGTGTGTTTATTTCTCTATTTTGGATAGTAAATTTAAATGGAATCATACAGCCTTTTGTGACTGGATTCTTCTGGATTATAATTTCTTTTCTTTTCTCTTCTCCCCCCTCCCCCAAGACATAGTTTCTTTTCCTGACAGCCCTAGCTGTCCCGGAACTCACTTTGTCGACCAGGCTGGTCTCCAGCTCACAGAAATCCACCTTCCTCTGCCTCCCAATTGCTGGGATTAAAGGCATGCACTACCATGCCAGGCTAGAGACTGGCTTCTTTTATTTAACATGTTTTCAAAGTTCATTTATGATCTAGCATAAAGGAGCTTAATGAAATATATAACTGTATTAATTTCATTTCTGTTGCTAATGATAAAATACATGACCCAAGAGCAACTTGTAGAAGAAGTTGTTTGGGAATATATGTTCTATATGGAACTATAGTTTAGAGATTTACAATGGTTGTACAGTTCCAGTCTGAAATAATAGAGCGGGCATGGCAACAGACAACAGGAGTTGGAAGTTGGTTGGTTTCATCTCTCCACATGGAGAAAACAAAAAATGTGACCTGGAAATGTGGCTTGTCTGTAAGCTCTGATAGACTACTTCTAGTGCCACACTTCTGCAAGGTGTTCCACATCCTAAAGTCCATACCACTCCTCTACAGCCATACTTCCAGTGTTCAAATGTATTAGTGTTGTGCAATGTTTTACTCTTTTGACTTTTGGGGGGCCTGCCACCCAGCTCCCAAGTAAACACACATGGAGGCTTGTTTTTATTTATAAGCACCTGTTCTTAGGTTGGTTTGTTTCTTTTTTTTTAATTGATTTTTATTGAGCTGTATTTTTTCTCTGCTCCCCTCCCTGCCTCTCCCCTTCCCTTCAACCCTCTCCCAAGGTCCCCATGCTCCCAATTTACTCAGGAGATCTTGTCTTTTTCTACTACCTATGTAGATTAGATCTATGTAAGTCTCTCTTAGGGTCCTTATTGTTGTCTAGGTTCTCTGGGATTGTGAGTTGTGGGCTGGTTTTCTTGGCTTTATATTTAAAAACCACTTATGAGTGAGTACATGTGATAATTGTCTTTCTGGGTCCGGGTTACCTCACTCAATATGATGTTTTCTAGCTCCATCCATTTTCCTGCAAAATTCAAGATGTTGTTATTTTTTTCTGCTGTGTAGTACTCTGCCTCCCAAGCACCAGGACCTAACTCTGTCCATCGTAATAGTGTTTCCCATTTTTAATGTGGGGGAAAAAGCGCTCTCTCTCTCTCTCTCTCTCTCTCTCTCCCTCTCCCTCTCCCTGTCTCTCTTTTTAACTAATTCCTCCCTTTAAGAATTCCCAGTTGTCTCACCCAGTTTAGGATTAAAGATGTGAGCCACCACTGCTTGGCTCTTTCTCTTTTAGATAGACTCACTCTCATGTAGCCTGTGGCGGCCTTGAGCTCTCAGAGATCTATCTGCCTCTGTATCCTGAATGCTGGGATTAAATATTGAGGTTTATGTTGGGGTGCCAGCCCCCCTAAACCACTCAGGATTCCGAAGGAAAGCTATAGCAAGCTGACTTAAAAGGTCTGAGCATAAATAAATTAACTCACATAAGTCTTTTTATCATATTCTATTTATTCTTCCTATGCTCTCTCCACTGCTATCTAGATATCCCTCTTGATGCTCCTCACTGTCCCTTGCTGTCCTTTGCTGTTCCTTTTCGATGCTCCTTCTAATCTCACAAGGTTTTCAGTTTATATACACACACAGACGTAGTTAGCAATTCCATAGGTGATAACAACAGTACCAAGCATGCATTTCTTAGGGCTAACAAGATGGATGGGGACTATGTGAAGGGACATGGTTGTGAAGCTCCGCTGTAGAGACTAGGAGGATTAGGATGGGGCTCTAAATCAGTACGGAATTCTAAGAAGAGAAAAAAAAAAATGTGTGCTAACTATATTTGTGTGGTTAGTTAAGCTAGAGTTCGTAATTGGTAAATGTAGAAAAAGAGGGAGGAAAAATGCTGTAGTGTTATGTACTCTCTAAGCACTTCCAGTGACTGCTAAGAACACAGTGCTGTGATAACCATGGCAGCCATGTTGTGTAAGCCATGCAGGAGGAAAGGGGTTGGCACTTGGCCCCTGATCTATGTACCAGGGTGCTGTGGGGGTGCTGTATTCACTGACACCCAAATGTGAAGGAATTCTTTTCTCTGGGTCTGGTTTAGCGATCTCAGCTTTCTTCCTGTATTTCTGTGGGTAAAGGCACAAACAGTTAATTTCCTAGACTAAGATCTTGTGTCAAATGAAAGGTAAAGGTAAGTACATAATATTAATAACTTGTTAGGGTAGAGCAAAGATTACACCTTCTGAGTCTGCAGCTAGAGAATTCAGGGCCATCCAGATCTGTTTATCAGTAAGAACAGACATGCGGTCTTCCCTACTCAATGCCCGTCCCTATTGAGGTTCTTTTTTTTTTTTTCAAAGTTTATTAAATTATAAAAGTTTCCATTTCCGCCCCTCCTCCCAACACCCTCCCACTCCCCCCACTCCCTCTCCTCCTCCCTCTCCAGCCCTAAGAGCAGTCAGGGTTTCCTGCCCTGTGGGAAGTTCAAGTTCCTCCCCTCTCCCTCCAGGTCCAGGAAGGTGAGCATCCAAACAGACTGGATCCCAAAAATCCAGTATATGCAGAGGAAACAAGTCCCAGTGTCATTGTCAATGGCTTTTCAGAAAGACTCCAGGCCAGCCACATTCAGAGAATCCGGCCTCATTCAGAGAATCTGGCTGGATCACGTGCTCATTCAGTCCCAGTCCTACTGGCCTTAGTGAACTCTCATTAGATCAGTCTCCTTGTATCAGTGGGTGATCGCACCCCTCGCGGTCCTGATTTCCTTTTTCATGTTCTTCCTCCTTCTGCTCCTCATTTGGACCTTGGGGGGCTCAGTCCGGTACTCCAATGTGGGTCTCCATCTGTATCGCCATCCATCGTCGGATGAAGGTTCCCTCTGGTCTTGCCTTCTTTGCTCACGTTCTCTTTCCTTCTGCTTCTCGTTTGGACCTAGGGAGTTAAGTCCAGTGTTCCAATGTGGGTCTCTGTCTCTATCTCCATCCATCGCCCGATGAAGGTTCTGGGAAGGTGAACCTGAAGAAAATCATGTAGTTATCCTCCTATTGAGGTTCTTAAGTAACCAAGTTTGCAAGGCTCCTCTCTTTGTGAAAGTCCTGCCTGTAAGGATACTCGTGGGGGACTAGTTTTATGTAGATTTGACTTTGAGAATGAAGGTTTGGCTGAGTGAATGCTTTCACACCAGGGCCCCACAGTATGGGATAAGGTCACCCAGTTGCCAGTACAGGAGAAGTCATGTTTAAGGAATGATTTATGCATTGCTGGGATGTTTCAGGATGAATCCCATTTGGAAAATGGGAAAAGTCATGGCCTCACAAGATTTCTACAGAATTGACAGCAACTATTCCCGAGGCAGGTGTTACCAAAGCTCTGTAAATCAGGTTTCTCATTGGAATATACTCCCATGAGTTTAGCTAGTGATCTGTCAGCTGTACTTTTACTGTCTAATGCTTGTGGCTCACAGCAATTAAAGGTGTGTGCCACCACTGCCTGGCCTCTATGGCTAAGTAGTGTGGCTAGCTTCATTCTCTGATCTTCAGACAAGCTTTATCTATTAAAGCACAAAAAAAATATCCCCATAACTTAATCAGTTACTGTGTGTATATGGTTTTAAGCTGAGCACTCTGTAGACAACCAATGAGAGGGCTGTTCCTGGGAGAGGTTAGTTTTCCTGCTCCTAGCAGTCCCCCTGCAGTCAGTAGCTGTCTGTGGTTCTTTGTCTAGGAATGGGACCCTGAGAAATCTGTTCTTGTCCATGTTGACGTATTCATTGACGCTGCCATTGTCTGGTCTTTTTTTCCTTTTTTTTTTTTTCTTTCTTTTCTTTACAACTTCTAGGAGAGACTGTCTCACAGTAGATTTTCTGATGTTCTGGCTCTGGCATTCTTTCCATGTCTTCTTCCATGATGTTTACTGAGCCATAAGTGCAGTGTTTTGATAATTTTTAAGCTTTCTCTCTGTGTGTGTAATTTTTATTTTATTTTATTTTTTAGAGCTACAGAGACTTTTGAAGTAGAAAGTCTGCGACCTCCCCGGTTCTTTAATGAAGATGGAGTTATCCGACCTTACAGGCTGAGGGATGGTACAGGAAATCAAATGTTACAGGTAAGTGAAGAAACTTCTTACAAACGAAAATCAAATCATGAAACTTAGGGTGTTTTAAAATAGTTACACAATACCTTAAAAATAGATTAGACTTTTATTTGTCTTATTTAGCTCTATTTATACTTGTATTTACTTAGGCTTTAAAGTACATTTATTTACTATAAGATTCTTTTTTTCTTTTTTACAGGCCTCAAAAAGTTTGATATGAAAACTGTTAATGCATGACTTTGCAAGTGAAAGCCAACACTAGATTTTAGTCTTAAACTTGTACAGACTCTGTGAATCTGTTTCAGTATTTTGAATATAAAGAAAAGATTTTTGTATTGGTAACTTACGTTAAGATGTGAATCAGTTAAACCTTTCCATAGATCATTCTTGGTTCTGCTTTGTGTATTCTAGATCTGGTCAACACCAATATGCCTTGTATGCCTTTAGTGTTGATATTACATTCTTAGCTAGTTAGATTTTCTCTTCGGGGCACTTCTTTCATCTTTCATACCACTACTAGTTTTTATATTAAATATTTATATTTTATATTAAATATTCAATTCTAATTTATTCATGAAGGAAGAGAAAACAAAACTCAGGAACACTGCCACTATAGATCATCGTGGTTCTTAAGCATTTTTGAGAATGTTAGTAGAGCTTTGTGGGATTTGCTGCACAGTTCAGAGCAAGCAGTATCTTTTAGTAAGGAGATACAATTTGTGGGACAATAATCTGAGTCAGTAGTCTGAAGCTAGAATAGTTTGTCAGCTCAGACGATGTCATTACTTGATAACTCAAGTTATGGTAGAAGTAACAACTCATACCCCAGACTATCCCATTGTCAAGTTGTTTTGGTTTGGAATACTAAAGTAAACCATTTGAAAATAAGGAGTCAGCATTTTTATATTTTTGAAAATATTCCTAATAATAATAAACTGTTGAAACATGGAGTTTCTCAAGTTTAAATAACCAGGATAAAAAATTAAAACTTTTACTATTTTACTACTGTATGTAAAGTACATATTATTTCATTAAGTGTACTTTCCATCACCTCTGGGTCATCTGTTCAATGATTTAAAATATACTGTATCATTTAAGTTCAGTATTTAGTAAAGTGACTTTTACCTTGATTTTTAGTCCTATTAAAGTGCCAAAATAGTTTCAGATTACGATAGAATTGGCAGTCTCTTAGGAGTTGTACCTAAAGAGCATGTTCTGTAGTCTCTACAATGAGATTATTCTTCAGAGACAGGAAAGTTATAGGTGTCTCCTCTGGCTAATCCAGTTGAAGCACTTCCATCCTATATCTGCCTGCTCTTTTAAAGAGAAATTAACATATTTTTGCTATATTGAAAATGCTTTTCAAAACATAATTAAAAATAAGAATGTTTCTCAAGAACTATTTTAATACAGTTGCTGCAAAATAGGGATTCATAGTGAAGAGCATTTAGAAATAGGCTATCCTCATTATCCAGGGACAGATTATACCAAAAGTTTCTGATTGATAATTGGATTTCAGTGGCAAGGAAGTTTATTCCACACCGTAATTAATTGTTTCTTTGGAATTTAAAACCATGAATTTCTACTCATCACATTTAAGGATGCATATTATTTCTAGTAGGCCAGTCTTTGCTAAAGGTTCTGTTTCAGCAAATAAAATCTCATAATCTTTTTCAGCTTTGTGTATTTTTACAGTTAAGCACATTATTAACTTGAATACTTACAGGAATTCAAGATGTCTTAGTTTTTTGCAGTTATCACTGTTAGTTTACAAATGTAAAAAGTTAGTTTCTGTTCTGGTAGTAATAGTGCTTTTCTAAGTTAAAGCTACTTTTCTAAAATTTAAAAATAAAATTTCTAGCACATTTGTTAATGAGATAAAATACAGAATAAAAGTGGTAGAGCAAGAACCCCGAAGTTGGATCCCGAGCACTGCATCATCCAGCATGGTGTTATCCAGTACGTGCATCCACATGCATGTGTGTGATCCAGTAGTTGGAGGTGGACTCAGGAGGATCTTAAACTACATAGCAAGTTTGAGGTTAACCTGGAATAATGAGACCCTGTCTCAAAAAATAGGATTGTAATCTGCCTAGATTTCACCTAAATAATTTAATGACAGTGCTTTATAAAAAGTTTGTTGCTTTCTACTTTCTAATGTTTCTATTTTTTATCTCTTTTTCTACAAAAAAGGTTATCTGTGTTGACTAAATGACATATACTTGCTTATACATAATATAAATATAAAATATATTCATTTTATGCCATTCTGTCTAAGAAGCAGAATATTATTTCAGTGCTTTCTAGAAGTCAATTAAGTGACTTGTAAAGAAGTAGAATAATCTTAATATATTCCTAGAATACCTTATTGATACATGAGGCCATGTCTGTCATGAGTATGTATGTAGAAGTTATCTTTAGGCCTGTTAAGTTCTAAAGTATTAATACCTACGATTACAGCATGAATGACAGGTGAAAGCTCTGCTGTATAATTTCTATAACACCTAAACATTTCATAATTTTAACATGTTTTTCCTGCAGCTTTCCATACTTAACTAACCTTTATGCTTCTTTTTCCTTTACCATGCTGACAGAAAACTCAGGTCTACAGGGAATGGATTATGACTCACAATAGCAGTAGTGATGAGGAGGAAGAGACTTAGTCAGAGCCCAGTTGTTAAAGTTCATATGCTCCTTACCATTTCATTGGAACCTTTGTGTGACTGCTGTCATCATACCCAGATGTCCATTTTTAGAAACGTAAACACTGTTTACTTATAAAATGTTTTTCTGAACATCATGATGGAGCAAAGTAATTTATTTACACACAGGCAAATGTTTTTGTCAGTTAAGGTGTAGAGTATATCATATATTATGAATTTGCTTTTATATATCTTCGCTCTGTGTCCCACAGTGTGTTGTTAAGAACTGAAGTCAGACTTAAGTGAGGTTTTAATGTTCATGACTTCTACTCTAAATCATCTGCTTATTTGTTGACAAAATACCTTTTTTTTTTTTAATAAAATGTTATGTGAATTTTCTGGACCGTAATGAAAATACCATTGTTAAGAGAAACACGAGTGGGCGAGAGGAAGGACAGTAATGCCGTTCAATGTTTTGTATGTATTTAGCACTTAAAGCATTTTTGTCAAATTTCTTTTCATAATAAACGTATATAACTTGAAGCTGTGTGGATTTGTTCTATTCCAGAATCATCTGAGTTTAACTATTATATGAAAACTCGTGATTTGTCATAGAAAATTAGTTATAAGTATGCTCTAAAATCTTCGATAGTTATTTTAATGTTACTTATTTCCTTGTACACTTCTGAGACAGTGAGCAGTTTACTATCTAGCATGTCCATATATTGTATCCCTATTAAAATACTATGAATTAATTCAGAACAATAGAATTTGTATAATAAATCATAAATTTAGACATTTTTTGAATGTTGTGAAGAAAGGGCATCTTTTGTCTCTGAGTTTTACAAGCAAATCTATTTTATGTTTTGGTATTGAATTCTTTTTTAAACAAATATAATTCTCTTGTTCTTCTTTGTAAAGATAGTTGATGTGGTAAAAACAACAAAAAAGCAAATGCCCTAAAAAGGTGAATTGTTATAGTCATTGTAATGCATAATCACCTATGACAGTTAAGTCTTTTGATCAGTAAAGGAATAAGGAATATTTGCTTTAACTTGCACTAAACACTTTGCTTATATTGAACTTACATTAAGTTGTAGGAGATAATTTGCTAATTTTCGAGGATTCTTTTCAACTCATGATTTGATTTCTGCATTTACCAAGTTTTCATTCCTATAAACCACTATCTCCTATGCTCTTTGAAAATGACCAACCCACAAGAGCAGAAAGGGACAGCTATCTAGTAATTAGCTCTTTGTCTTTCCAGCATTCACATTAAAACAAAATCAAGGGCATGTATAGCAAGACCTAAAAATAAGCAAATGTCAAAGAATTTGTTGTTTTTATTACGTTAATAGTCTTGGAAATATGTAGATTAAAATAGTGACTAGAATAACACTTTCTGCATCACATTGAATGTGTTTTATACCTGCTGTTTCCTAACCCATAGCCAACGTCACAAAGCTGCCTCTTCTGCTAAAAAGCTGTACGAACACAATTGTCAAACTCTGTGTGCATTAGAAAGGAAAGGTGGAGAAATTTCTTAATTTCTGGTGTTGCAGAGCATAAGACCTTTCTCAGAGAGAAAGTGCCAAACTCTGCCAGGCATTTGCCGAGTATTCCTGTGGGCAATCTGTCGCTTATTTCTGTGGTTCCAATATCATGGAGATGTTCTTCTCGTGTGTGTGTGTGTGTGTGTGTTAAAAAGAAAACATTTATTTACTTTTAAAGCACAAAATTTTCAGACTATTTTCTGTAAACATTAGGTATCCTAGTATTATGGGATTTTTTTGGTTTTGTTTTGTTTTTTAACTGTTTTTATTGAACTATACATTTTTGTCCCCTTCCTCCCCTCTTCCCCTCTCCCCTTCCACCCTGTCCTGTCACTCCCATGCTCCCAGTTTATTCAGGAAAGCTTGTATATTTCTCCTTCCTATGATCTATGTATGCCTCTCTTAAGGTCCTCTTTGTTATTAATATTTCTTAACTATTAAGAATTTATCTGGCTGGAGAGATGACTCAGAGGTTAAGAGCACTGGCTCTAGAAGTCCTGAGTTCAATTCTCAGTATCCACATGGCAGCTCACAGCCATCTATAATGAGATCTATAATGAGATTATAATAACATAATATTGTTATATATACAGAATACTGTATAATAAATAAATCTTTATAAAAGAATACACCTAGAAAAATGTTCTAGTTATTTTGACAGTGGCTTGCCATTTAAATTAAAAGAAAATTAGAAGTAGAATCATATTTATTTAAAATCTCTTCAACAGGAAGATTAAAAACAACATCACAGTTACGTGTAAGCCTTATTGATGTGTTCTCAGGGTTTCTCATTATTTGGTTTAGCCCTTAGGAGTAT